GATTTGCCGCTGCTTTCCCCCTCTGACTTGGACCTCATGGTGTCTCCACTGCACGCCATCACGCTCGCCTCTCATTTGCATACGGTCGAAGGTTATCACGTTTTGCCAATCGCTCGGCCCATCGAACTCAAACGCGTCGTCGACAGTCGTCCCGGGGTCGTCAGTATGACCCGCCTCATCCATCCAACCCGCGGCCAAATCGATATCATATGCAGTTCGCGCCTTAACTCCACACACCCTCTCGTCTACTGCCCATGCTCATTGCTCATGAACTTCTTGACGGCGGACGGGCTGGCTGTCTCTTATCCGGCGTGGACTTTTCGCGGGCAGAGCGTTCACACCGATTTACTCCCTGGCTCGTCGTCGGCACAAGACTATCAGTCAAAAGTGATGGACTGGGGCTGGGTGACCACACCACAACCCGTGATACAGGTTGGTTCGTCATATTTCGGCCCGCTACACGTGTCCGGTGGTTTCGAGATTGTATGGCGAACTGACGACACAGCTCCGTAGGGTTCCGCGTTCCATCCAAGTCAGCGATCATTCGATGACGAGCACTGCTTCCGCATGTGTTTCGGCACCCCTCATCCCGTTCAACCACTCCCTCGAGCGGAATCCACGATTTGGGTAACGACAGATGGTGACATGCAAGACGATGCAGAGAATGACTTCGATGGTCACGTCGTCCCAAGTTCTGTATACAGTGATGAAGTCTCGGTGCTCGAGAAATATGTGTAGCGTGGCTTGCACAATTTAATTCCACTTGAAATATTGCGTCACCCTTTCGGATGTCTCACTGCGCTGATTAATTTTCTTCTTAAAAGCTTCGAGTGGCATGTTCTGTAGTTGTCCCTCTCTCGGCAACTTCACAGGTGCGTAAATCTCTATGCGCAGTCATTCGATGCTAACGTTTGAGAGCACAGAATGTGTTCGTCTTTGCCACCCGACACGGTCTCTGCATACGCTAACCCTGTGCACCACCTGTCGACGAATCGTGGAATATCACAGTACCTCGCGGACATGATACTCGGCCACCTTCCCCTCGTCGACATGTCAATCTTGCGGAAGGCCAATAAATTCTGGTACTCGGTGGTTCGCAACTTTCTTCGGCGTAAACATCGCTCGGTTCTGCGTGAGTATGTAACGGACGACATCGCGCTTCGCTCCCTCATGCGGGTGACCCGATCAGTCATATCCGGGTCCGAGGCGCTGGACTATTGCCTTCACGGTACACTCAACCCTTCGTTCACTCCGACCGACCTCGACATCTACACAAACTGCATCTACGCCATTCTAGTCGTGCGCCATCTCATGAAGCACGAGGGCTACGAGTGGATTGCGAGCGCCGATAGAGAGGATGATAATGAGGAGGAATGGGTGGAAGAGTACGGTGGTGCCGTGATATCTTGCTCAACCCTGGTCCACCGCGTCCGTGGAAGGAAAATCCAGGTGGTGTGTGTGTCCCGTCTCTTTTCGCTGCATCAGACGGCGTTTTTCTGGGGGACTCTTGTCATGAATTGTTTGACGGCGGATGGCTTCGCGATGGCATACCCGACCCTGATGACGATAGGCAGAGGTGCGCTGATTCTGATGATCTAACCGGTGCGGCTGACAAATAAGTTTGTTTGCAGGTCTTGTGTCGCCGATCAATATTCCAAAACCGGTGATCGATGAGTGCATCGCAAAGTACGTGGGAAGGGGATTTGATATAGACGTATTCTCTCGAAATGTGGTGCGCATTATTATCTCCTCGTGTTCGCCCCATTCCACTAACCATGATATTGTTCGCGTATAGATATCTGCAGACAGTATCACGTCTGGCGTCGACGACGGAGCTCCATCAATTACGGTGTGTTCGTTCACGGTCCCCGCTTTGAACGCTATCTGACCCTGGCTTTTGTCAAGACACTGGCGAAAAGGCACAAAAAAGACACCATTCTGTGGAACTGCCCTAACACGTACAGAGAATGGGGTGACGAGGGCTGTCTCGGTATGCCCTTTGACTCGGGTCCCGAAAGGGCTCCCGATTGGACGAACGGTGGTACCGGCTGGGTGATGGGCGGGCACGACTGTGGAGGAGAGTGCGACTATAAGAGTGTGCCCCGAGTTTGGTGGGAAACAAAGATTGTTTGTGAGTGGGACAAGGAGATGTTGTGAGGTTTCTAGCCTGTCTGTTTTCACCCATGCTGCTCTACTCGGCCGCCCTTGTGCAATATGAATGTGTTGCTCCTGCGCATATGTTTTTTTTTTGGGTGGAGCCTTTCGTGCTTGAAACAGCCGCATCACAGCACAGCCTGCGATGGTATCTCAAACATCCGCGTATCGGTATAAGAACTTGTCGGCGGCCCGATTCTCATGAGTCGTCAAATATGTCGACTGTCTCCGGTACGTTGTCCATGTCTAAATTGCACCTGCGCTCTGACATGTTCGCCAGCTACCGACCTTTCAACCCGAGGAGGTCTGTTCAGTGCGTACGCAGACACCCTCCTGTCAGCCTCAGTCGACGATGCCTTCAACTATATCAGATTGGTATCGAATTCTGGAGGGTCCGCTCCCGCAAGCTATCCTTTCGCAGTGCTGGACAGTAGAACGGCGAAACCCTTGACACTTACGGTGAGGGGTGTTGTGCAGGATTTTGCATTAGGCGACGAAGGTGACGGCGGAATGTGAGTTTCGCTTATTGCACTTTTTGCCCAGCCAGCAAAACTTTGTTGACTGACAAAAAAACAACAGGCATCCATCCGGTTTTGGTGGCTGGGAGCTGATAGCCTTTACAAGGCTTGTCCCCGGTTACACCGCTTGGTATGACCAATTTCGTGCGCAAATGCGCGGCATCGCAAACATCATACAGGCTATTTTTCTGCACCTCGGTCTCCCCCCCCCGGCCAATACCATCGACCTACCAACGGCTCTAGTTCTGAGGAGACGTTTGCTACCAGGAGACTTTCATCCGGAGGTGCAAGTACGGGCGTGTGATGGTGAGCTCTGCGCGGCTCGCGATGGCGACTTAGACGTTGGAGATTTGGTAGACGTTTCAGCGTGGTTCGATATCGCCGTGATGAAAGGGAGCGATGGGATCCCTAGGACTGCGGTTTTCCTGGCGTTTGACCGCGTTGTACGGATTAGGCGACAAACGGAAATAGAGATGATGGTACGTTGCCCGATTGAACCTTTTTGTTCAGGTGCTCATCTATAGGCAGGATCGGGTTGGGCTGTTTGAGCCTTCGCTGATTGCTTCGAGGTTTGATTACGTTTACGGGGAGAATTTAGGGTGGACAGTCTTCGACTATCTGAATGACATCGGTGCGTACTAACAGCTCTTCGCTGGGTCTCTCTGATATGAACCGTCCTATAGCCGCGACCGACGAGGAAGCACTGACAATCGCCCGCGAGGGAAACAAGAACAGGGAGGGTGTACTGCGATCGGGTGACATATGAATAGATGATGGCTATTTGTACGGGTGTAGACACGTTACATGTACAATCAACTGTATGCGAGCGTGCTCTGAGCGTTGTTTCCTTGGCACGTGTGTGAATTGTGGAAAAGCGCCACATCTTCGTCTCTACCACTCTCTCCTCGCGTGCGACTGTGCTTCGATGGCTGTCATAAACGGTAAGCCGACCGCAATGTTACCTCGTTCTGTTCTAATATGTAGGCAGACGATAAACGACGCCTGACTCTGGTCGATGTATCAAGATTCTCCGATGCATGGACTGGGCGTGCAGCGGTATTGCCCACCTGCGAAGCCGAACTCAGCGAGTGGTTCTCACTGGCTCTGAACGAGGCGAGGACGGGAAACAGCTACCCGCTTCATATCGTTCGCGCTGGAACAAACGAAGATGTTCGTTTGTGGATTCAAGGTGTGGTTTTGGAAAGACTGCTGAGAAATGAGGGCAGCAAAGGCTTGTAAGTACCATTGTAAAGCTCTCGTGCTATGCTTACACGAAACAGAGGCCTAGATGATGAAGTCGAGCCCTGGTTTGGGTGTCAAGGAATACGACTCGGTGCTGGGTGGTCCGATTGGGGCCCCGCGTTTAAGAAACAGATGGATGCGATTCGAATGATCGTAAATTCTGTTTTTCTCAAGCTCGCATTGCCACAACTCGACACAGACGTGCCAGAAACGCTATTCTTGCGGCATGTGACGGAGGATTGGGGTGGCGTGCCTTTCGGTGTACAGAGCTTGACTGAAGATGGACACGTATGCGAGTGCAGTAAGGGTATGATGTCCCGGGGTGACGTTGTCGAAATGAGGATTATTCCGCAGGTCGTGTTGGTAGTTGGACGAGACGGATTGCCGCGTACAAACATCTTCTTTGACTGGGATAAAATCGTCAAGATTCGCGACCGGTCTTGGTTTTTAAAAGTGCGTTTCCCCTTATCTCAAAGTTCGTAACCTCACCATGCGCAGATGGATCCCCCTGGTCGCTGGCTAGCCACCGAATGGAGAGGGGGTCACCACGTTGGTGCTCCAGCGTTTGAAGACATAGATTTCAAGCGTAGGGGTCCACTCATCAATTACTATTCACTGGATCTGATGCGCGCACTATAGAAGGCACTCTCAGCGACAACATGATTGCACAGTTACTCGCTAAGACTTCAGGTTCAGGACGTCCGCTATTAGACAGAAGTATAGACGCTCAGAAAAAGTTGAGCGGTAGAATAGTCGTAGAGCGAAATACCGAGACTGGATACCGAATGTGTGAGGAAGGGGAAGGGGATGGATGATACCGTGTGGCGAGGGTGGTGTTGACGAGCCGCTCATGTGGAATTGACATGCTATGGACTAAAAGTGGCGGATTATGTTGGAAGTACGTAATGGCATGTGGGTCTGTACAAAGTGTCTGCAATAAGGGACCAGGTGCCGCCCGGAGGGCAAGTGTATCCCAAACGACGATATTCCAGTCGACCTGCCCCATTGGGACGGACTCTTAGTACACTAGCAGTGCCTCTCTGCGCCGTATTCTGAATGTCGATGTAAAGGACACGATGGCAATGCGCACAAAAGTGGGCACTGTGCTCTCACCTCGTGGCCTGCAGCTGTGGCGAGATTCAGGGAGTGTTACAGTACTCAAGTGCATTAGCACTGAAGTTCAAGCCGAGCGCAAGCTCGCCACTGAAACAACACTGAAAGATGGTCGTGGCATCCACCACTTGTTCGAAGAGTGGGTCGTTAGTACTAGCGGCTAGTAATTTTTATCGCGCTCTTCAAACTGGGCGAAGCCCTGCCGCGAGAGTGGCCCGCCGTCTTCATTCCGTGAAGCCAAATTGGCCAGAAGATACAACATGAATATAATGGACAGCTGAAGGCCGTGGTCGCTAATCGACCCATAGGTGGGACCAGGTGGCGCCCGGAGGGCAAGTGTATCCTATGGGTCTTTGGGTAGCGCCTCCGCAAAAAGAAAGGCCTAAATGCGGATACTTGTACGATACGCCACAGCCACGTAGCTTGATCCATGTAGTTTGCAGTCATACGGGAGTTGTCAGCTTCCACCATCCCGCACCGGGCACGATGGTCGCGCACTGTGAAAGACAGATAGGGTGAAATTCAGCTAAATTTAGGGTGAATTTCACGTTTCACCCAATTTTTGGTGACCGCTGCTAGACCTACAGATGGCTTCATTGAAATTCACCCAAACTTTGCAGGGAACAACAAACCTCTAAGAGATCAAGATAAACTCAGGTATAAATATAACAGAGCAAGATATACCATGAGGTTGACTCTGTCAACGTCGAAACTGTACAGTACAGGGTGCTGTGAATCGAGACTGCGAACTCGAAGGGCGGTGGCCACAAAGCACAACAGAGTGGCGTAGCTCTGTGGTGCCGATGACGTCATAGCCGAGTCCCGCTCAGCTTCACTCGACTCGATGCTCTTTGCTCTCTGCAACCACCACCACTAACTCTGGCTTCTCATTGACGTCGAACACAGCTCTCCTTTTGATATAGTTATACTCTAGTATGTCTTCTGGCCGCCGTTCACGCCTCACGCTTTCCCTGTAGCTTGCCTTTCCTGTCTCTGTACTATGATCTCAGTCCTTGAAACTTGACACTTGCATTCTCGCTGACAAGGAACGCGATTCAACTCTCCTCGGTAACGATTGGGACAGGAACGTAGGGAAATTGTCGGAGACGTGGATTCTAAGGTTACTTCAAAGGTGCAGTCGTCCTCCTCTTCCCATTTTTTCCCGCTTTCAGGAGCACTATGTACTTCATAGTTAGATACAGTATAAGTGGAGATTGCTTGCTACTTCACAAGCTATCCAGGTACGCCACTTGCCACACCAATCTCGCCCCCCTCGGTTATCGTGCTTATGATGTCGGTCATATATTGATGCACTTGCTGACCCTTGACAACTCTCGACTTTCTTCCATCTCTCTCATGTCATTTCTTCCATTCTCTCTCTCCCTTCAGCCTCTCGATAGAGTTATATCTTGCTGTTTAACTTTTATGGAGGGTGGACCCGCTGAGGTAGGTCACCGGTGTGGCTTCTCAGTATATTGTACTGTGTAGGAGCATGCTACCCCTAATGTATTACTGTACACACATAATTCCTAATTAATCAAATTTCTCTCGTGTTCCTTGTTCTCTCGGGTGCCCAAACAAATAGACTCGCAACACATCAGCAGGGTCTAAGCTGAGAAGTGTGAAACGGCAGCCATACCTCCTACATAGAGTCAGCCCAAGATACGTGGATTTTCACCCGAACCCTGATTGAAATCTTCGGGTGAAAACGAAAACAAACACTGTGAATTTCACCTAAACTTTTCACCCAAAATTGAGGTGAAGCCGATATCCGTCACCTAAGAATTGGGTGAAAATCCCATGCGTCTTCGGGTGAAAAATCAGGGTGAAATTCACCCAATGCGTACCCCCCAGTGGGTCCCTCAAGGGCCTCAGGGCATGTTTTCCAATAATACTTATCCCGGCGCTGTTTCCCTTATACGGCTACTTTCAGCAAGGGTTCTATATCGTCCGGCTGCAGTAACTTTATTCACTTACTAGGGTCACACAACCTAACGGAGTCCCCAAAGATGCGTCCTGCAGAGCCTTGTTCTGCTATGTTTAGTGCACCTATCCGGCTCATCAGTCAAGCCCAGTGTACCCTATATCCTTACTCTAAAGGCGCCCACGTCTCGCACAGAGCAACGATCATCGTTCCTAGTCACTTGTCGCATTTGTCCAATTGCAAGCTCCTAAGCTCTCGCTATTGCTTTCATTGTGCTGAATGGCTCCGTATTGGGAAATTTACGAACAAGAACTCCATGACAAAGGCTTCGGCTTTCCCGTATGGCACGCTGATCCTAGCCAAAACGGGTTCGAGGGTGGGTTCGAGGTGAAAATTGGTGATGTAGGATACATGTCGTCAGTCGCCTGCTCTTTGTTCAGTATTGAGACTCATTAGTACTCATTGTTCTATTCACTCATATTCAACTGCAGAATGGGCAAATTTCATCGTGTCTTCAATGTTTGTTATGGCGACACTCGCTTCGACCAATACGGCAGTCTGCGGTCTGAAGATGACCCAGCCTATTACCCCAACATCTTTGGAGTACCACCAAATCATCAACCATTTCAGCCTCCGCAGCGACATTGGACGACACTGGAGGGGGATGTTCCAGAGGTGTTGAGTTCACACAGTATTGGCGTGAGGAGGACAGGTGTAGAGATGGGAATCCAGCCGATGAATTCGTGCGTAAACTTCTCCTGAAGCTCGATTGCAACAAAAGACACAACTGATGTACATCCTTGGCTACAGTCCCGTCTCCGCGAGTGTTGGCTTCGAGGTCACTGCTAGCAAGAAGAGGAGCGCCGTACTGTTCTTTCGCGAGCCAGGTTCATCGGAGCGCTTAAAAGCGCTTCCCTCGTTACTCCGAGAGTACGCCGAGCATCTCTGGGAGACCTGGGACGACTTCACCGCCTCCATTCCTCAGCATAGTCGACATGGAGGTTTCTTGTTTTTGGTATATGGCCATGTCAAGACTACATCATGGGCTTCGATGGTTTTAGAGCATGATAATGATCGATCCAAAACAACCTCTTTCAACGTCGCTGTTCCTATCGTGGGTTCACTCAATTTCCACCAGAGTCACCAGTCTCAGGTCCTCAGTGTATCTCCGATACCCAATCACGGTCCCCAGACTCCTCGAGGCCAGCTCGAACACCCCCATGACATGCCTTGTAACCAGACTGTGTTTATCCGTCGTCTCACAAGCGCGAATCGATCACTTCTAGCCAAATTTCGCGGCATACAAACTGCGTCCCGGAACTCGAAATCTAGAGCAATCCCTCAACCGCCACAACTTGGAATGCACAACTGGAGCTCCGTGGAATATGAAGCTCCCACAACGCGCGACTCGGATATGCAATGGTTTTCAAGTGCATCCAGCCGTCGTGAAACTTTGCCAGCCACTCCTTCCGATAGCGCAGATCCCGACCACCCACAAGAATTGGTCAGCAGTCAGAACATAAGTTATATTTCGTGGTAGTGCTGATACCCCAGACAGAGACCCGATCCTCTCGAATATCTGCTTCAATATATTCTCGAGGTAAATCTTCTTGCTAAACAATTGTTTCATTGACTCACCGCCGGCCTGTTCTGGCAATTGAAGAATAATGAAACGGCTTTCCGGGCCAGTGTCTCAGATGATGATGTTGACAGACTAAGACAGGTTCGCTGTACTTCCATGTCCCTTAATGTGTTGTCTGAACTTTGACGGCTTTCAGATATATCGGCTTACGTTTCCGTATCACGAGCCGGAATACCATGATATGATAGAGAGGCTAGCGCCGCCCATAGTATTCACAACCAAATCCACCGCCGTATTGGCGCTTAACACCACCCTTTGTTGGTCGCACACGGGCGAGGCTGTTGTCGGTCCCAAGACGTCAAATGCCCAGCTACTACACGAACCCATGGATTCCGATGGCCCTAAGCATGAAGACATGTCTACATCATCTTCGAGGGCCATCGAGCCAGAGGTACGTGAGAGGCCGTCAACTGACACGATTCCCCTCCTACCCCGCAGAGCACTAATATCAACTACTTGACTCACACGCTGGTAGATTACCGACATACAGGCCGAGGTGGCTTCGCCTGGGCACGTCAAGGTGGAAGAGGATTTATCGGACGCTCACCTTGTGAAGACGGAAAACTCAACCAGGCCCCACATCGAAAGTGGGGCGCTGTCAGGGGGGACGTATGAGCCGAGGACGGACGAGAGCTCGTTCAACGGTGTGATGCCGCCATGGTCACCGCCGGCCCAAACGTCCGCAAGCAACCCTGGTGAAGCTGGTTATGGGGGCAAAGTGTCGATACGTGGGTCGAACCGTCATTCGTTGGGGAGCGCGTCGTCGTCGCATTCGTCGATTTCGGGTCAGAGGCTGTTTGAAAGGCCGGGGAGCTGGAGGCCTGAACTCAAGACGCCGAGGTCAGGGCGGGATTTGATTATGGCGGCGAAGAGGGCGAAGTCGTTCCCTCGAGGTGCGTCTCATTCTTCATTTCATTCTCAGTTTTTCATATCTACTTCATTTCAATACTATCTTTTCACATTTTTGTTTCTCCAATCATATACCTATCGATAATCGAACACGGAATCTGACCCCATTCATCCACTCTGCGCACAACGAATTGAACTCGCAGACTCAGGCCCCCACACCCTCAACACCTACATCCGCATCACCCCATCCTGCGACTCCCCCTCAACCTACGACCTCCGCCTCGACCTCTCCCAAATTCAATTCAAAGACCTCAAACGGCCCGTCGTTGCGTACGACCTCGCGCAATTTGCGACCGAACCGCCCTCAAAGTTCATGCGGCTCTCGCACTCCCGTATCCCATGGTACATCGACGTGTATCCGCAGAACGCGGTGGGTGTGACGCTAATCGATCTGTTTTCGACGATGCATGGGTGTTTGTATCAGAGGATTGAGGAAATCGATTTTGAGAATACGGAGATGGGGGAGGAGGATAGGGCGAAGATTACAGCGAGTCGGAGGGAGAGGGTGGGGGGGTCGAAGGAGGAGGTGGAGCAGGGGGTTTTGATGGTGAGTTTTATTCGTGGGCGAGTGTACGTGCGAGAGGCTGATGCTGGCGTTATTATTTTGGCTGTGTAGATCGACTTCTTGCGACGCGACTGTATCTTCCTAGGCTTGAAGGGAACAGACAAGGAAGGCGTCTACGAGATGAGGACTCGTAAGGCATGAGCGATTGACCTGTCGCGCCTCCATCTCATCCACAGCCGGAGCCCATACACCTTTCGGTTCCTCCTTCGAATATGTTGCATCTGATCGCATATGATACTTCTCCTCACATCAAACCGCAGTTTTCCTCATTGTAGAACCACCACCTCACCTAAATCTCTTGCCACCATACCGTTCAAAACGAACACTTCACGCCTCACTCCTGCCATATCCTCATTCCCAAAACTATATCAACCATGTCATACACTGTTCTGCCACTCATCCATGTCGCAGCGCGTCCCCAGTTGCTGTTGCGGTCCCCTCTCCCTAGGCCTGTTCAAATGTGTTCAAATGTGCCACTGATTGTGTCGATGTACTGTACTCATGTCCCGTGTGACCCCCCGCCGTAGTATGCTTAGCAATATATAGTTAGAACTACGACCAAACCACCTCCACGTCTCCAAACCAAGAGATACTCATACCTATGCTGTCTTCAGCGACCTCGGACTACTCGGACGCGAACAAGGGCGCAACCACTGCCAACAGGGGATCGGAGTTTGAAAGTTAAACCTGCACGGCGAACTTCTACGCGTACGGGTGGCGGTGGCGCACAGACACAGGAAACTCACCCAGCCCTCCTCTTCATCGACACCTTCAACCACCGCCTATCTCAACTCATAACACGCTAAATATCGAGGAATGGAACGACAGATAAATATACGATTCAATCGATTTAAATTTATGTATGTTTGTATATATTTTCAATGCCACTGTCGGTGAGTCTTGTCAGAGTTGAAGCAACTACGTACGACCGCAAGAATTATTCAGAAGTCGAGTGAAGAGACGGATGGGATAATGAGAAGGGGCCGGCCTCGAAGCTTTCGAAGAGCGGACATTCGTCGCGAGTCCATGCCACGAAGGACCGCACTACTCGCCACCAGAGCACAGTCATCAGAACCAGAAAGCAAAAACAACAAAGCTATAGGCAACAATATACCACGAATCAGGCAACACGGGCATCAAAAAAAAATTCTATTACACACCACAAAGGAACCAGGCAAATCGTCCTAGTCCAACCAGGAAGAAGAAAGCAGAATCGGAAGACAAAACCAGCGCAATGCAATGCAAAAAGGCCAACGGATGTCTGAGCAGATTGCGAGTTGCACGTAATGTAGTAAATAAAAGAGGGCGAGCGCTGCACAGTGTCAGTCACAGAGGAGGGGCGAAAGGGATTCAGGGCCGAGTTACACTACACGTACGGGGAGAGCCAGTGAGAGATGTGTGGAGAATGCGTAGCGTAGCGTATCGTGCGATATAAGATAGGTGGTGGAGGATACATGTAGAGGGCACTGGCACTGGCACTGGCAGACAACGAACAGATAGGCAGACAGGTGACACGCTCTATTTTGATCCTGAGGTCTTGTAAAGGATGAGACCGCCGAGTGCGATGGAGTAACCTGTGTACGAAGAGGATAAACAGACTTGATTAGACTCCAAAAGCTTCGACGCAGGAGAATTCAAAACTCACCGATAACCTGCAACGGCGTGATCATCGTCGCAAATATGAGCACACTTCCGGTGATCAACAGGATGTCCTTGAACACGCCCGCGAGGGTCAACACAAGCCCGCTGCCAACACCGACGAGGAATACAGCAGCAACGTTGAGGAAGAACGCCACCGCCGCATTCGAAAGGAGGATGAGTGGCCCGAGGTTCATGAGTTCGTAGAAAGGCGCAAGACCCTCCGTGAAAGGGATGACGAGAAGGTTAATGAGCGCGCAGACGGGTGCGTAGTAGTGCAGGGAGACGAGGGGGTCCATCTTGAGGCCATGGAGGAGAATTTCGATCATGACGAGGCGGGACGCTTCGAACTGAGATGAATCGGGGGTACGTTAGTTGATATCATACGGAAGGAATGGGTACAACATACGGCAACGGCAGCGGCTTGGGTGAGGAAACCGAGCAGGTTGAAGTGAAGCTCTCCGTGCGAGGCCATGGCAACACCGCACGAAATCATCAGCACAATTGCAGCCAACCTGCGGTTAGGGTCCTTGAGGCGGAATGTCCACTGAATGAGAAGAATGGCCACTGGGTTGAAAGCCTGTCAATGTCATGATGCGAGATTGAATATATGGTGTCAGCAGCTGTCTAAGTTGGGAGGACTAGGGGATAATGCGCACCTTGAGCATTTGAATATAAGCGACCGAGAGATGGAGGTAGGCGGTATTGGAAAGGATAAGGGAGCCGGAGAAGAGGAGACCGATGGGGAGAATGGAGCGCATGAACATCTGCTTCGTCATGTGTACATCTTTGACACCGTCGAGGAGATGGGTCGTCCTCTGTAGTATCCGCGTTCCAATGGCCTGTAAATGGACCGACGGGCAATAAATGCCGAGAGGAGAAGGGAGAAATAAGCGCGCGTTCATCACAGAAGAATTCCGACGGTGTGCGGTGTAGATATGCAAGTATAGAAACGTGCGCACGTACCGCAAATGTCAAGTGGAAGGTGACAAGGAAGACAGGGAACTTGAAGTTCAGGGTGTTATAGAGGTAGTTGTTGTATATGATGACGGCCGAAGACAGCACAATCCAGACTGGAATGATGACGGTGATAGGTATCCTGGGTTTCGACGACTTGGGAGCTGGTGTCGACACCGGTGTAGGAAGCGGGCTATCTGCACCATGCTCAGCCTTAGGGTTCACCTCGAGGTACTGAGCGTTTGCCTCCTCATCTCTGGCTTCGTGGTCGGGTTTCTCCATTGGAATTGCGGGGGACGAAGACATTGTGGTCTATGGGTGTGGCTGAAGGGGGCGAAGCAAAGATGATGGTGGAAGTGAAGAGAAGAGAGGACGCCGGGACGAAAGGAAAGAGCGACGGGGTTTATGAGGACGTTGACGGTATAGAACAGGGATGGACGAGACGACCGACCGAGCCTCCCCAGATAACACCCGGCCTGCCCGCTCTGTTCTTCCGAGACATTCTCGTTCAGGACATCCGGCGGCCCGAGGCCGTGCACGACGCGTCCTCCTTGGTTGACGCGCATTGTCGTTGAGCGCATCCCACAGCCAGAGCCGACTGTGCCCCAGGGAATCCAAGACAAGGGCCGCATTATCGTGCTCCTATCCGCTCCCGCCGTGCTTGACGATGTCTAGCCTTCAAGGCTATGTGGATCGTACGCCCATCCGATTCATTTTTCATCCGTGTCTCACCAACTTCTTTTATTTTAGGCCGCGTACTCCTCATTCTACAGGACGGACGCGCCATCGTCGTACGCTCGCCTCTGGTCGTATTTTCAATTTATTTTAGTTGCTGATATCAGATGGCTGTAGGGCATAATGGCAGGATACGACCAAAAATCAAACGTCGTGCTTTCAGATTCGAAAGAACGCGTGTATAGCATGGATGAGGGCGTCGAAGAAATCCCTCTGGGTCTCTACCTCGTCAAAGGTGATATGATGTATGTGTTGCATCAAGTATTTCTGCTGCCAATTGGACCCTCTATTTTAATCTGTCATCATCGTCTCGTATCATGCTTTCCTGTTTGTTGACGCGACCTGAATGCTTTTCTTCACACCGACAGCATCCTCATTGGCGAGATCGACGAAGAACAAGACAATGCACTCGATCTTTCCACAATTCGTGCCGACCCGCTTCCTGCCATCCACTGGTAAAAGCACCTCCGGTCTACCCAAACCGACCAAACCCGCCTCCATACCTGTCTCTCTACCATCCAAACCCGTGTACTCTACGCCCCGCCGCCCCTACCCAGCATATCATTCTCCCCGACGTCGAACTCCCGCGACATAGCCCCCCAACCGACCATCCAGCCAATGCCCCCTCCCGAAAACCTGAAAAAAGGACCACGGCACGTCATACACTTCACCATACTCCTACATCCGCCTCATCTCGCAATTAATACCATATACATACGCCCACCCTGCCACCAATCCCCCTGCAGTTATTCATACCCTTATCACGCCGGCGGAGCAAACGGTCTGGTCTAGTCTAGTCTTGGCGGCATCTGCTGGCGAACAGATATTACGCCGAATATATCAAGAAATAAAGAAAGCGCGTGTGGTGTGGGAAGGAGGTAACTTAGTTTGGACGAGGGGATTCAAAAATACCTGATCGTGCCTCGTTCTCGGGTTTCGAGAGTTGGTACATATGGCGTAGGCGTATTGTCCAGTTTTATTTCTGGTGGTTGGGCGGTTGGGGAGGTTATATCAATCGCGGCAGAGGTTGGTTGGTCCGAAATGACAAGGCGCACGTTCTTCGGCGAAGACAGGTTCAGATGAACATGCTCTTGTCTGTGTCTCGAGTAGAATGGTTAGGCGTGGTTGGTTTTGGGTTCGGGTGTGGGTGTTACGTGGGTTGCGAGAAGGCGGGGACGATTGCGTTGCGGGAGGGGTTACGGTCGGAAGAGGCCACGGGGGGTATGAATGGATGTAATGGGCTCTTAGAAGTGATGTGCAGGTGCAGATTCGACATTGTGATATCAATGCTGTAAGTTGGTCCTGAGGCCTTTCCAAATCGATTCCGACGACACGAAGTACACAGGCGTGCTGGGATGTCCAGTTCTTGAGATGATGCACCTTGGTTCTCATTCGATTTGTCAGAAACCATGGTGTGCTGGCTTCGTCTCGTTCGCTAAGTTTGACTCTCAATGCCTCGTATGTATGTAGTTGCCCTCCGTTCAACCGAACCACCTGTGACCTGCAAAGCATTAACCGGAATTATTCACGAAGTCGGGGCCATTGGCGAGCCTGGAGGCAGTGAACTGATACCCAATCCTGTCGACGGCGATTCCGACCTCGGACACGCGTGCATCTGGATGTCGGCTGGGAAAGCAGACCGAGAGATATATTCACGCGGGGCTGGATACTATCAGTGGCCCTTCGTTCAGACAGAGCGAGGAACACGCCCAAGTCGTCATCGTTCCCCGTTCACGCTCTCATAAATCACGTTAAATCACCACTAGACCATTTGCAAATTTAAAGTCATTTGTGTACAATGATTGCAGCGGGAGGTCGAAGGGAGGGGGGGTGTCGGGTGCTTTGACGGGCGCGGCTGTCCGAACGACAGTCCCACCCCTCAGACGACGACCTTTCTCTCGAGCAATCGACAGCAAAATTGCACGGGCATGTAGCTAGAGTAGAGGGCATCATGTCTGTCAAGCCTTATGGCAGGAGGACTTGTACCGCGTGAGCTAGATTTTTTCCAGTCCGAAGTGTGCGAACGAAGGGCCGATGATAGTAGAACGATTGAGTAGTCCACTGTAGCATCAATCGTCTAACATATCGAAGCGAAAAGGCATCCTCTCCGGTCTCACCAGATTTTCTGGTTCGCTGCATTCCGGTGGGTAAAGCTCTCGTACCATCCCAGGCGCTTCTCTGAAGCCGCATATCGCCCTGTGATCTTGCCAGTCCCTGTCGTCGTCGGTAGGATGATTCCAAAGTCAATGCTATGAAAGAACGAAGCGCGACAGGGAACTATACGCACTTCACCTGACACTCATACCCACAATATTCCGCCGTCCGACACGCCTTACACCTCACCCTCCTTCGCTTCTTACACCCAGCTCTCGCGCACTGACGATCCATGCGAGCCAGTTCGTTCAGAGCGTTAACAGAGATCCACCCTCGACGGATCTCGCAGGTCGCAAACACATTGCTAGTGTTATCCAGCGCCCACTCTTGCAGGAGCGGGGATGGATCGAAGGCCAGGACGAGACAGGTTCGTAGGAGGAGGTTTTGTGGGAATCGAGGGCGAAGTAGGTGCAGGACCGAAGGGGCCGCTTCGACGAGGATAGGGAGGTAGTTAAGTAAGTGGCATACCAAGTCTGTTCGCGATCGTGAAATATTGACCGTACGTTAGATGCAAAGATCACTGCCCTGGCTAGGTATGTACTCACATGGTAATCCTTTAATGACGTCTCCCTTGTTTATCAGAACTCCCAACAGAGCCTCAAATATGTTTCCGCGAATACACGTCGTCAAAAACACCTCAGGCTCGCATACACGGTTGACTTCGACACGGTCAGCGACGACAGTGAGATGGTCGAGGCACGAGATGAAGAACATCATAATAAGCGAAATACACCCATCCTGGTCGTAACCAGGCGAAGGCGTTATTCTTTCTGTGTGTATGAGCCTGGAGAGGAAAAAGGAGAATAGATCCCTGGCCCGGAAGAGTGCGTGCATAAACTCTCTCGCCCCCGCAGACCGCTGGAAACTCGCCTGCGAATGCGATTTACACCTTTCGGAAAGAGCCCAGAATAAGTGGACGAGGGCGCAGAATGTTCGCATTGGGAGCGATGAGACGACGTTGACAGCCCATTTGATGAGTGTTGTAAAAGATTTGGGCCGGTCTGTGGCACGATTCGGATTGAGCACGGACGGGGGTAGTAAGCCAGCCAGAATACGATCGAAAAAGTCTTCGGGAAGGGGACGGTCACGACGATAATCGTTCACCTTCTTGTGGGCTTTAGTTCCCATAATGGAACCGAGTGCTGATGTGCAGGCTTCGATCTCTTCCGGTTCATGTGCGCGAACGAGGAACCTTGACAGGAGAGCGACTGTGTGATCGTTCGGTGCGTCTATGATGCTTGGATTTGTAACGGTTGGTCAGTTGCGGAAGGAGACGATGCCAATGGGTATCAACCAACCTTGCGAGTGAAGGGCCCAATCTCAGAAGGTCCGGTATCAATGCCGCGAGCTCTGCCCGTTCTTCCTTGCCGTTTGCCTCTAAGGAATACTGTGGGTCGTACCAGATCTGTCACGAAGTTATGGGAACAAAGGGTAAGGCACTTAATGCGACAGTATCATAGGAATTTCAAACTGACACGCATGGCCATCGCAGCCCAGTTGGACTGTACTTCATCGCAGAACCGGCGGAACGACGACGAAGTCTGAGGTTCAGCGGAACTCTGCCTCAGTATCCTTGCACACCCGCTCCGTAGAATATGGAAGTATGGGAACCACCAAGACTCGGCATCTTTCTGGAAAGAATATCAAGCACGCCATGCGAGCCTGTTAAGCGGAGCAGCTGGCGGGGAGGGATCAGAATGGATTTGCGATAATCGACTGACTTTGATGTGTCCCCTTCTGAAGGCCTCTTCCAAAGTTGGCGCAGTAAGTATGCATTTACATATAGCATCTGTGATGCCTGCTTCAACGAGACGCAGCCATCTGATACCCGTAGACGCGATATGGCTCCCAGAGTCCGATCGTAATTCAACCTCCGCTGTCTCTTGCAAAATAAGCAAGATGGTAGGGAGATTCTGGAAGCCAGTGCCGTGAGTGATTTGATAGAAATATGTGGTCAACGTGAGCCCATAACGGAGTCGAGTCAATACAAACTGCTATATGTGAGTACCCTCTTCTGTGGACGTGCATACCTCTGCGGCCTCGTGAGTGCTGGCATGAGATCCGTGTTCTTTGATCATAGTAACGACGCGCTCAGGCTCTGAGTCGAAGACACGCGTCCAGTACTGCTTCGAATGCCTCATCGAGGGTAGAGAAAGAAGGACGGTCGAGATCACTGCACGCCACGGAAGCAATGTCCGTCCGTCCGAAATAAGTTCAACAATAGCCTTCATAATATTTCCCACGGTGTCGGCTCACTTGTTACCTGCCCCTATGGCCCGTGTGGCCCAGAGGACATTCCCCTCCAGACCTTCCCTTTGCATAAAAATTCCCAGACACACCAAATCGTAGGTTCGGTGGCTCCACCCATACAGCTCACATAGCCAAGAAATAAAGCAGCAACGGACAAGGCGCATGTCAACATTGGACGCTAGGGTACATACACAGTTCCACTGTCGAAAGATACCACGACCTCGCCAACAATAAAGATAAACTGCTTAGTGCAGCAATAAAAGCAGGGATAAAAAAGGAGGCTCGAGGCGGAGAGAAAGACGCGTAAACGGCTGGCGCGATACGCTGAAGTATTCAAGAAAAGCGGCCAAGAGATATAGACGTCGAGTCAGAAGGCCGAGAGGCGCGAATAAATATAAGTCATGAAAGAGGGGAAGGAGCGATGAATGCGAAATTCCGAGACAAAGTTAATTGCTGGAACTTGCAAGCATCAATATAGTGACACGTGATGCAAACGCGAGGGCTTTAAGCGATAGCCTGAAGAAGAAAACAGCGAAAAGATAGGCCCAGTCAGCAAGTTACGCCCTATATCAGAGGTCAAAGAGAAGGAGTGCGCACCGATGCGGACTGAAGAGGCGCGACCATCGACGCGCTCACAGAGGGGACAGCGCCCGATGCGGAAGCACCACCAAAGCCACCGGCACCAGCAGATGCAGAAGCACCGTCAGTGGGGAAAGCACCTCCAGACGCAGAGGCACCACCGAAGCCACCTGCAGCGCTGCCGGTGGGGAAAGCACCATCAGCAGAGGCAGAGCCCGAAGGCGCACCACCCTAAAAGCAAGTGCAGCCGAACATCAGCACAATTTCAATTTGGAAGCGTAGGGGGGATGAAAGGCAGAGCAAAGGACACGTACGAAGCCACCAGTCTGAGTGGAGTTGGCACCATCAGTCCCATTCGCAGCACCGGGTGCGCCAAATGAACCGCACGTGGAGTTACCAGAGGCCGTCGAGTTACCAGAGGTTGTCGAGTTGCTGGCAAAGCTGGTGGTGTTGGAGGAGCCTGTTGAGTTGGAAGCGCCGCCGAATGACCCAGTCGAGTTGGTAGGACCACCACCGCATCCTGGGTCGGTGGCGTTGCCGGCATTGGGGAAGCCGGTCGCGGTAGAGTTGTCACCTGGACCTCCAGCGGAGCCAGAGGGAGCAGGGAAGGACGCAGATCCGGAGCCTGAGGGGAAGGCTAGAGTGGCGGAACCCGAAGGGAGGGCCATAGAGACCGTACCGGTGGGAGCGGCGATTGAGGCTGAGGCGGATGACGAACCATCTTGGCGGCGGAGCTGAGCAGTCAGAGCGGTTTGGCGTCATTATTCTAAGCGTGATGGTGAAAGAAAATTGACTACACACCAGGGCAGGAGCTGCACCGACATGGGCAGAGAGCGCAAGGAGAGAGATGAGAGCAGACACGGGTGCGAAGATCATATTGGGAGACGCGTGAATGAAGTGTGAAAAGGCTCTGAGTCGTGCAGGTGCGTGGAAAGTCTGGAAAAGACTGAAGTGCGTAGGACTAGACGCGGACGAAGGGTAGGGATGGAGAGAAAGTAGGGACTGAAATCGATCTCTGACCGAAAGAGAGGAAACTGTGTATGCTGCCGTTCTGTGCAGGCTATGGCACCTCTTATATACGATAGGGGCTCCTTACGACTTCAGAAGATGTATCTGGAAGATTCGAGGGTACGTTGCACTATGAGCAAAGACCCCGTAATGCGGGGGAGGACAAGCGGATGCCGCAGACCCGCAGTATAGACCTTGTTGTCAATTGGCGTGATGTAGAGATCAAAGCGTACGCATCGTATAACGCAATTTCCCCGCAGCCGCAGTTAGAGTACAATGGCCATTCCGAAGAAGAAAGAAAGGACATGGACACAGTAAAGCTAACAGTGAGCAATCCCTCGCCACGGGTCCGACGGCATGGTACCAGCTAGTACCAGAGTAGATCAAAGCACGTACGCAAACATTTTTCATCGAAGCTACCCCAGTCCTGCAGGAATGAATAATTCCATCACGAGGGCGAAAGTTCGGCAATTGTGAGTCTGGGGTGGACATGGGGCCCTTTGATATTTCCTCGCTCCACTCGGAGCATGTATGTAAGTACACAGATCAGGGGAATGTCCACCGCACTCCCCTGTCGTCAGAAGAGTCGAGAGCAAAACGGACAGCAACACCTGCGTCGTCGCTGCGCATGCAGCTGCTCTGCATTATACTTTCTGAGCATCTATCCCGCAGCTGAATGCTGTACTCTATTATATGAGTGTTCGAGAGAGCTCCATACAGATGGAGAAATTGTGCGAGTGCGAGGGACATCATGGATGTAAGCGCAGCGCGTGGATACGAGGTCGATACAGGTCGAACCTACCTTACGCCCTCGAACACTGGCATACGTCAACATCGACTCGAGACTCTGCAAGAATCTTCTCGAAACTCGCATACGTCCAGCCTCGTCGTCTTTCAGCTCTCACGATTGCTCAACAAAGTTACTCACTGGATGGCTGAGAAGCAATGGTAACACCACTTTCGTCAAGTACGCTGTAGCCTGTCTCGTACTACTTACCCGCCTTTGCCATGTCTCTAGATCGCTGATCTCGCGCACAATTTCGGCGCCAGATACCATCTGGGCTGTCAAGATAAAAATGGCCACATACGGATAACGCTATAAATTGCGTGGCGGGTGCGACCACTGGGTCGGATAGTAGGTGGTTATTTTCCGATTGTTTTCCATCGAGCTCATGAAGTTGAGAGTGAGGTCAACTGTCATGGTGTTGACGTAGGCGAGATCAGTGGAGGTGATGAAGGTTCATTGGAGACGGTTGGTTTCCGACGACCGTTATATGTAGTTTGGAATTGGTTTGTGCGGAGGGTGAGCGGAAGCGAAGGCTGCCGTTTGTTCGGTAAGTGTCCCACGTGGACTTTGATCCGCTGTATGGTTGCAAATTAATGTGACACTGATCCGCTTGTATCTTATCAGCAGGCGGAATAGCTTGGCCTGTCATCTCGATCTCAGTCCTGTGCACGACGGTGCACCCTCACCTCTGTACATGTATGATTTCTGTGTTACCTTTCTCTGGTAGGACTGGTCTGTGGCGTCTTGGCTTTCTGGGATCAAGCTTTCGCCACATTTCTCCACGAGTTCTTAGCGTGCATCAACCCGAATAGCGTCAGATGAAACCTCACTAGCGGCAGTCTAAGACCGCGATTCTATAGTGTCTCATTCCCATGCTCAAATTTAACCTGATACTGCAAGCATGCCAAGCGCTCTTGAGCCGATAAAAATGCGTATCGCGGCTGACGCTCCCCAGCTTTCCCCTTTTTCCTCGCTCCTCAAGTGCAGGGTGTAAAAGCAGGCCTCCGGATCAGTTCGTCGAAGTCCACAACGCACCGACAGACCATAATGTTGTTGCAGGCTACCACTCTCCTTTTCTCTTTCGGTGCGATGGGCGCTTACGCTCAGACCTATTCCGCGACGTATCTCCCGGGCAATGCTCCCAAAACGACGGAGGAGGGGCAAAGCGGGACAAACCAGTGCGGTGGAGGCTCCTCTCAGACATCCAACTGTCAGAATGTTTATGGTGCGTGATCCCATTAATAGGAGATATCTTTGGCTGATCGTCATCCATAGTCAACTCCATTGACGACTTCTGTCTTTTCGCACCTCCTGAAACCGGGACCATCGGAGAGACTGAGCGAATTGAGGTCGCATGGTGTATCAAGGTATGTTTTCCTTGGGTAAAATGTCTCTTTACATCCTGATTTATTCTCAATAATCTAGAGTGGTTATGGCACACGTTTGATCCCCGAGGGCGCTATCACAGGAGCTCACTTCGTCCAGACGCCAGACTACGTGCAGATCACTGGTTCGTTGATCTCATCGTCCGTTTCTCTAATTCTGCTTACATCAGATGATAGGTGTTGGTGACTTGACGAAACTCAATATCGCTGCCGGTGACGAGGGAGGCGAGCTTGACCCTCACGGAGCTGACGGCAATGGTAAGGAAGCTTGGCGTTCAAACACGGTTATATATGTTGACTCCTATTCTAGGCAACCCCATTGGCGGTTTGATCTTCTCCTCTGCGTTCGGCCAGCTGCAACAGATCCACGAATGGACGGTGAGTGTGCAGTGCCCGAACTCCACGTCACACATGCTGATATGTATTCTTACGCTAGAACTTCATGGCTGCCGATGAATTCTGTCTGCGCGCTTGCAAGGACGGACCTAATGCTCCTGCCCTTTGCGAGCACATCTATGATGTGATGGGCTGTGCATGGAACATGCCCGGCGATTACAGCAATGACTCCTTCGACTCTTGCGAAGGTGATACCGGAGAGGTAGGCATTCCTTCTGTCTTCGTTTCTGATTGGCATGTAGAGTGACTCACGGTTTGCGATCTTAGCCCATGGGTGTCTACGGCCATTCAACCTTCCATCAAGGAGACCCATCCACCCCGGCCGCCCATCCTGCTCCCTCTTCATCCAACTGTGCCACTCTCACCGCACTCGGGAATGGCGCGACCGCTTCAGGCGTTACCGCCGCCTCGACCTCGTCCGGGGTGAGTTCCACTAGCGTCGTTTCCTCCGCGTCCGCGTCCGCATCCTCAACGGTCACTGCTTCCTCTAACTCCTCGCAGTCCTCTGCCTCATCTACCGGCTCTCTGACATCGAGTGCGTCGAGGAGTGTGGCGAGTGCAACGGGGACGGCGTCGGCAAGTGGGACGAACTCGGCGAATGGCTCTGCGGCGTCGGACTCCACGAGTGGGGCCGTGTTTGGTGTTAGGATGTCGGGTTCTGTCGTTGCTATTGGGATGGCAGCAATTGGGGCTGCGTTGATGATCTGAACGAACACTATGATCTTCTTTGGGGCACCTTACAAGGAGATTTGATAATGCAGCGTAGTTTCAGCTCGGACTTGTTTTTGGTTTCCGTATTTATTACGGTTTGTACTAGGCTCGTAATGACTTTTTCCTGACAACACACCTCATCACATTCCTATTTACGATGACGATGTTTGTAATGTCTCTGGGCTCTGTTGTTACATGCTATAATACTTTGTTGTTGAGCTCAAGTTTTGCTCTCGAGCTTCACCGCCACGGCTACCTGTCGCCACACAGCTGAGCCGTGGCCCATTTCCCACGCAACCATATTGGGCCAACGACCTTTTCCTCTTGGAAAACGGATCAGGCTTCAACTTGAACTTGTACGATATCCATCTCATTATCTCCTCGTCCACCAATGCTAGCACAAGGATAATAATGCTTGTACCTACCATTCTCTGGTCAATACGGTCTCAGAGCTAAAAAAAAATATCTTGAAGCTTGGACTCAACGTGAGAGGTATATGGCCGAGCGCATTTTCGAATCTAATTCGAGTAACCCTAGGGCCAGAACTTATGGATGTATGTGGGTGCGTGTTATCCTATCTCACTATCTACAGTAGGCTCATCATGTTAGATACAGATCGGCGAGGGACTGGAGAGCTATCTTTGGAGTTTATGTGGCGGCAGATGTCCTACCGCTCCTTTTCGACGGCTCTGAGGCTCGTCCGTCTCCTTAGAGCTACCTCTACGACCGACGCACTCTACTCGCTAAACTCGTACACAGGCTATGAGTACCAATAACCCACGAGCTCTCAAGCTCAAGAAGCAGTTTGACCTGCTTATAAATGGGAAGCAGCCTCTAACGAGGCAGAACTATTTGCTCTTCGTCGAGGCTTTATGTCTAGAGCCGAATGTCGCTGCATGCATCAGCAAAGTCGCTGGGAGTCCCAAGGGTCTTGACTGTGTACAGTCATCCATGCGCATCGATCTATCGCCAGCCTTCCTGAATGGAGTCGCCACTGATGTGCTCAAGTACCTCTCCGCCCCTGAGCTCGCAGATATTGGAGGCGGCGTGTACCTCCAACGCGTCGTAACATCCATCGTCGATCCTCCCATCTTTTGGGATGTCTTTCGCATGGCGTTTCAGGCGGGGCAGCTCCAGCATCAAGCCGAGTGTTGTTTCGCCTGGCTCTTGCTTCAACTCGTCTCACTTCCAGGAGACCAATCTACTCCATATCTCGAGCTCGCGGAGGATCCCAGTATCACGGATGCGCTCATCTCCTCATCTTCGGACGATGCACGGTCGTTCGCCCACAAGATCAAACATATTCTCACTACTCGCGGCACAGGCGCGGTCGTCGACCTTGAATACGGCCCCGGTGGCCGTCACGACAACGACTTCACCGACTTCAGGCAGATCGCCATCCTTCCTACTGCCGACGAACTGATGTCCAAGGAGCCCGCCTTTCTCCGTCCAAGCGATGCGCTGGACGTCGTCGAGACCGAAGCCGAGCGTGTGGTCACGCACCTCGACAACCAGTTCCGTTTGATGCGTGAGGATATGTTGTACGAGATGAGGGAAGAGTTGCAGATGAGCGAGGGAAAGATCGCGATAAAGAAGGCGAAGAGGAGGGGGTTTATCATGGATGGACTTCGACTTTTGGATGTCCACTACGAGGATGGGAAGAAGTGCAAGTGGGGTCTCACTTTCCAGTGCCCGGTAGATTTCTGGCAGTTCAAGGGCGTAAAGCCTAAGGACCGCAAGGACTATGCACTGAAGAATCCCAAGATTTTCAGACATCAGTCAATGACGTGTCTCCTTGCAGACGATGGTGTTGTTGCCTTTCCTTCAGTCAACCGCGACCTCGATCTCCTCGCAAAGAATCCCCCAGTCATCGTCTTGCAGGTCGAGGGCCAAAAGACAGCAGCGTACACACTCCTGAAGTTACGCATGGCGAATCGCATCAAGCTCATTCAGATCGACACTGCCGTTTTCTCCTACGAACCCATTCTCACGGCACTCCAGGAGAAACAGGACCTTTCCCTCTCACCAGAGTTGTTGTCGTGGACGACGGAGAGCTCCCTTAGAAGTCCCTTTGACCAGCCTCGATCGGTCGTAGACGCAATCAAGGCGAATCCTGGACAAGACCTTCAACCTCTCCTGAAGTCTAGTCGCTCGATCAAGCTCGACAAGGCGCAGGCAGACTCTCTGCTCGCAGGCCTGACTCAGAAAGTATCGTTGATACAGGGACCGCCTGGTGCGTCGGTGTTCCTTGACTTTTGACGTTCATAACCTTATTCTTCTCTTCAAAAGGCACGGGAAAGTCGTTCATTGGCGCCTTGTTGGCCAAGGCCATCCACGACTTCACGTCGCAGACTATCTTGGTCGTCTGCTATACGAACCACGCCCTCGATCAATTCCTCGAGGACCTTCTGGACACCGGTATCCCAGAATCCAGTATCGTTAGGCTCGGCGGTAAGTCTACCCTGCGCACCGCCAACCTGTCCCTCCGCAACCAGCCAAAGAATGCCGGACCGAAATGGGGGAAGGGCGACTGGAGCGAGATCAACTCCCTTCGAACACAGGCTGACATCCTCGCCGATGCTCTCGTCCGCGATTTCGCTCAATACAAAGCCGCACACGCTAGTGCCGACCAGATCATGATGCATCTGGAGTTTGACCACCCCGAGTACTTCGAAGCATTTCAAGTTCCCACATCGCAGGATGGTATGAGAAGGGTGGGAAAAGGGGGGAAAGATGTTGGCGAGGACTATCTTCTCAACCAATGGCTGAACAACAAGGACGGCGGTATGTTCAAGAATTCTCCAAATATAAAGGATGCTCGGGAGATCTGGAATAAGCCGTCGGATCAGCGACGCGCTGAGGTTCAGCGTTGGCAGGAAGAGATTCTCAAGGATGTTGTCGACCAGTTTGTTGACACCGCGGTTCGGTACAACAAGACCCAGACCGAGATCGACCGAAAGTATGGGGAGAATAATGCAGCGATCTTGTGCAGCAAGCGTATTATTGGGTGTACGACGACTGGAGCGGCGATGCACAGAGAGATAATCGAGGCGTGTAAACCGGACGTCCTTCTGGTCGAGGAGGCCGGTGAGATCCACGAGAGTCACGTTTTGACGGCCCTCTCCTCTCACACCGATCAGCTCATTCTGATTGGTGACCACAAGTGAGTTTTCGCTTTGTTGGCAGTATCGAAATACTGACTGGTTCCATGAACAGGCAACTGCGACCCAAGGTCAACAACTATCTGCTTTCGGGTACGTGATTGCGACTTGCTCGACCGCTCATATATTCTGTCTCACAATTTTGGTAAACGCCAGTCGAGAAAGGCGAGGGCTATGACCTCAACCGAAGTCTCTTCGAACGTTTGGTGCTTAGAGACTACCCCCACACGACTCTTCGCGAGCAACACCGCATGCGACCAGAGATATCAGAGCTTGTTCGTCACCTCACATATCCGGATCTCCTTGATGCTCCCAGGACCAAGGGCCGAGCCGACCTCATGGGCATCCGTGACAATGTCGTCTTCATCAACCACGATCATCCGGAAGACGAAGACTCTCAGCTAGAAGAGCGTAGGGACATGAACGCCAAGTCCTCGAAACAGAACAAGTGCATTGAGCAATCTCTGAACCTGAATATACAACTGGCATACTGACTCTGTTCGCAATCCAGATTCGAAGTCGATTTGGTTTTGATGATTGTCCGCTACCTTGGTCAACAGGGCTACCGTTCAGACCAGATCGTCATTCTCACCCCTTACCTGGGTCAGCTTCGGCAACTTAAAGACGCCCTCTCGAAAACCAACGATCCAGTCCTCAACGATCTCGATACGCACGACCTCGTCAAAGCCGGTCTTATGTCACCTTCAGCAGCAAAGGTTACGAAGACGCCTATACGTCTTGCTACCATAGGTGTTTTCCCCTCTCAAACAACTTCTCAACCAACAGCCTACTCATATACTTCTTAGACAACTATCAAGGCGAGGAGAGCGACATTGTCGTTTGCTCCCTCACCCGAAGCAATCCGTCAAATGACATCGGCTTCATGGTCTCTTCAGAACGAGTCAACGTCCTTCTTTCCCGAGCTCGCATCGGACTCATCCTCATCGGCAACATGCATACATTTATGCACTCTCGAAAGGGCGGCGAGGTTTGGAAGAAATTGTTGGAGTTCCTGAAAGAGAAGGGCCATATCTACGACGGACTGCCTACGCGATGTGAGCGCCACCCGGATCGACTGGCGCTTCTGAAGTGTGCAGACGATTTTGACAAGGAGTGTCCGGATGGCGGTTGTACTCAACCTTGGTATGTCTCGTCCACCTGTACGCCGTAATATTTCCATTGACCCAGACGGAACTTAGTGGAACCATGTTGAGCTGCGGTCTCCACGCTTGCCCATCGAAATGTCACCAACTCTCCGACCACTCAAAAATGGCATGCGAATACATCATCTATTCGACTTGTTCGAAAGGTCATCGTCAGCAATACAAGTGCCACAAGGGACCTCCTGCGTCATGTACGAGGTGCGACGCGGACCAGAAGGCGGCGGAGAATCGAAAGCAGGAGGAATTCGCGCGGCAGGAGAGACGTGACGCCGATCAGCGCAAACACGATCAGAAAATGGCTGCATTGAACGATGAGATGGCTCGTAAACAGGCTGCACTCCGCGATGCCCAGCTCGAGCAAGAGAGGATGGACGCAATCCTTCAGAAGGAGAAGGATTTGCAGAACATGGCCAACTTCACAGCACAGGCGATACATAACATATCTGCTGCGCCACCTCCCGCGCCCTCTCCGCCCCCCGTACAATCTGCTAGTACTAGTGCCGAGCCTTCGTCCTCTTGTCCCCAGGGGCAGCGCAGCCACCCGCCTCCCCAAGCTCCAACGAAGGACAGGGCCAATTCTCCTCAACCCGCTCTTCGTGTGGCCGAGTCCGAAGCGAGGAAGCAGTGGCAGCATCAGAAAGACATGGAAGGAGCTTCAAACGACGCGATAGACTCTATCATGGAGATGACGGGCCTAGAAGATGTCAAGATGCAAGTCCTCAGGATCAAAGACAAAGTTGATACGACCAAGAGGTTTGTACTGTGATAAATTTCTGACAGCTGGCACATTTAAATTTGCATTTGTACAGACAGGGCACGTCCCTAGCTGGGGAGCGTTTCAACGTCTCTATGCTTGGTAATCCTGGAACCGGTAAATCCTCATCGATATTATCGACGATACACACTTACTCATCTTTTCTCCAGGCAAAACCACAGTGGCCCGACATTATGGAGCCTTCCTTGCGAGCGTTCAGGTCATTCCCGGAAATATGTTCATCGAAACGACGGGCTCTCGTCTTGCTAACGATGGAGTTCCCGGTGCAAAGAAAACCATCGAGACCTTGATAAACGCTGGAGGTGGAACCATCTTCGTCGACGAGGCCTATCAACTCACCAGCGGTCAGAATCATGGAGGTGGCCAGGTTCTCGACTTTTTGCTAGCAGAGATGGAGAACAACGTTGGTAAGATCGTCTTCATCTTTGCGGGTTACAACAAGGAGATGGAGAAGTTCTTTGTAAGTTCATGAATCTCATGCTACCTTTCGGAGCTTACGAGTCGTATTCAGGAACACAACACTGGTCTTATGAGTCGCGTTCCTTACACTCTACAATTTAAGGATTACGAGGACCCGGAGCTCTTGAGTATGCTCGAAGCCATGGTAGAGAAGAAGTGGAGGGGGAAAATGTGTATCGAAGAGGGTGTAGAGGGTCTCTATGGACGTATTGTTGTGAGGCGCTTGGGGCGCGGACGCGGGCGGCCTGGTTTCGGTAACGCAAGGTCGCTACAGATCATGTTCAGCAATATCTGTGAGCGACAGGCCACTCGGCTAAGCGAGGAACGTAGGAAGGGGATGCGGCCTGACGACTTTCTCATCACGAAGGAGGACCTGATAGGACCAGATCCATCGAAGGTTATGGCGGAGAGTAAGGCTTGGAAGAAGATGCAGACGATGATTGGTCTGACCGCGGTGAAGAAAACGATCGCCAATTTCTTCTTTTCTGTCGATACAAACTACCACCGAGAGTTGCAGGAGAAAGCTCCCATGCAGGTGTCACTCAACCGCGTGTTCCTTGGATCTCCAGGTGAGTATACTGACTTTCATGTAGAAGTCTGCTAACCTCATAGACTTTCGATGCCAGGTACGGGGAAGACTACAGTCGCAAAGCTTTACGGTCAGATCTTGGCAGACCTTGGGCTGATTAGCAACGGTGAAGGTGTGATTTCACTCCAGTGTCTCTCTCGGTTCCGTATTGACCAGATCTCTGTCTTTTTTCTTCGCCGAAGTTGTCGTCAAAAACCCAGCGGACTTCATTGGAAGCGCTCTGGGTCAGTCCGAGAGTCAGACCAAGGCTATCCTTGCCACTACGGTTGGGAAAGTCTTGATCATCGATGAAGTACGTAGCTCGGCCATCATATTACGCATATCCTCATAGTCTCTCTAGGCGTACATGTTATATGGCGGCTCAGGAAATGCTGGCGGGGTTTCAGATCCGTACAAAACGGCTGTCATCGACACCATCGTCGCCGAGGTGCAGAGCGTTCCAGGAGAGGATCGTTGCGTTCTCCTATTGGGATACAAGTCCCAGATCGAGGATATGTTTCAGGTGCGCCCGACATGGCGACTCGGGGATCACTGTCTCATCGATTTATTCCAATTCAGAACGTGAATCCGGGCTTAGCACGACGCTTCGCTATCGAGAACGCATTCCACTTCCATGATTACTCAGATTCCGAGCTCATGCAGGCTTTGGAGTGGAAGTTGAAGGACCAGGAGCTGCGTGCTACGGATGCAGGCAAGAACGTCGCCCTAGAAGTTCTCAGTCGTCTACGAAACAGACCCAATTTCGGGAACATAGGCGAGGTAGGTCATTGTCTGAAGTTGTTTTACGACCACTGGCTAAATCGATGCGAACTTTAAGGTCGAGAATCTTCTGTCCCAAGCCAAGAATCGGTGGCAACAACGTCAATCTGATTTGCCTATGGATCTGCGCTCCGCAGACGCGCCATTCGAGCCTCAAGATTTCGACCCCGACTTCGAGCGTGGCAAGACCGCTGCCACAAACTTATCGAAACTCTTTGAGGATGTTATCGGCTGTGATGATATCGTTGCAAAGCTGGCTGGCTGGCAGCGTATGACGCAAAACCTCAAGAACAAAGGGAAGGATCCACGCCAAACCGTTCCAACGACATTCATCTTCAAGGGCCCACCGGGGACAGGCGAGTTGATCATCTTCCCAAAATCAAATGTAGTTGCTGACAGAATAGACAGGCAAGACTACGACCGCCAGAAAGATCGGCTCGGTATTCTATGATATGGGGTTCCTCTCTTCTACGGAGGTCATCGAGTGCTCTGCCAGTGATCTTGTAGGCAGTTACGTCGGTCACACTGGCCCGAAAACGAAGAAGATGTTCGAGAAGGCTCTAGGACGCGTTCTGTTCGTAGATGAGGCATACAGGCTTAGCGAAGGGCATTTCTCCAAAGAGGCCATGGACGAGATCGTTGGCATGCTGACTCAAGAGGCTTTCAAGGGAAAGCTCATCGTAGTCCTGGCGGGCTACGATCGCGAGATGGACGACCTGATGCGGGTGAACCCAGGACTCTCCAGCCGTTTCCCCACAGAGATCATCTTCCGAAACATGCCTCCTGAATATTGCCTGGAGGTCCTCAGACGGAAGCTGCTGAAGGATAACGTTCGCGTCGATGGGCTAGATGATCAGTCTTCCACAGATTACCTTCACATGAAAGATCTGCTTCACGAGCTTTCTTCATTTCCATCGTTTGGCAATGCGAGGGACATGGAGACGCTCTCAAATCAGATGATGGAGGTCGTATTCTCTGCTCCAAGCTCAGAAGATTTCGCCGAGGATAGCTCTAGCGAGTTCCGTCTTACTGCAGACCGAGCCATAGCCTGCATCGAAACCATGTTGTCTGGAAGACGGTCGCGCACAGCTCTCCCAAGCAGCCCTGCTCTGTCACATCATCTACCACAGCTATTTCCTGGTCTACAAGACCCTCCTACCCCTCCGACTATCCGCACAGCGCAGAACATCAAACAAGAAACTGCACCTCCACCGCCCCGTGTTGACGAGCAGTCGACTGCACCTGATGGCCGAGACCCTGGTGTCTCAGACGAGGAGTGGCGCCAACTCCAGGAAGCCAAACGTGCGGCAGAAGAGGAAGAGAAGCGTACTATCCAGCGGATGAGGTTGCTTGAGAAGGAGCGACAAGAGGCTGAGGAGCGCGAGGAGAGAGCGAAGGCTGAAGCCGAGAGGCTGAAACTTGCAGCTGCGAAAGCGAAGGATGATGCCGAACGTGCAGAGTTGATGCGGAAGAGAGAGCAGGAGAGGATCAAGGCGGCGAAGGCGAGAGAAGAACAAGAGAAGCGACGTGCTGCTTTGGAAGAGGAGAATCGCAAGCGGAAAGAAGAGGCCCAAGTCCAGACGAAGCTACGCAGCATGGGCGTTTGTCCAATGGGTTATCGGTGGATTAAACAGCCACATGGTTATCGTTGCGGTGGCGGCAGTCATTTCGTAGACAATGCATCCCTGGGGCTCTGATACACGCGCTTTCGTGTCTGTTCGTTCGAAGTATTTTGTGTTGCAGTCAAGTCACGATATTTGTCTTGTCAATTGTAGTATCATCTTCCCAATGCTCTGTAGTCGAATCATGTAGATATTCAGCTCATTCTGGTCCAAGAATATGTGCATATGTTTGCTTCCAACATGAGTATTTCTTGTGCACGCCTCGTTACTCTCAAAGTGGCTCCACCGACGCCACAACACCGTCCATATCCTTGTCTCCCTTCACACCGGCACTCCCATTGCTGCTGATTGACCTCCTCCTAACAGCTTCTTGCTTTCCATAATCATATCCCTGAATCTCGTCGTCCATCCCCGACTCATCGATCTCCTCAAACCTCTTTCCAATTTGGATGCCTTGAGGAGGAAATACGCGGCTCAGAGTATAGTACACGAGCGCCGAAACTCCGAAACCGGTAAACCACGACATCTCGTAAATGCGGGTGGCACTTAACGGGACAGTCTGTCCTGCGACGCCGGCAAAGCCAACGACGTTTATGCATATACCGGCGATATAGGCGGCGTAGGCTCTATATGGCACGGTCGTCAGCCCTCTGGAGGAGAGGTTATATGGATGCAGCGGAGAAAGAAACATGCCGGAAGTTGACGCCGTAGGTATAGCTATACCACCCATCTTTTCGCGCGTTGTAGAGGTCAGCAACTCGATAGTGCCCTTTGCGGATGAGATAGTAGTCCGTTATCTGCATTCGGCCCAGTAAAGTTCCATGATTGATCGTCATGTCCGCGCAGCGAGATCAAAGAAGCAAGAAATACACACCATAACGCCAGCGATCGAGCTCAAGAATACTGAGTACGCAGAAAGGTACGTCGCAAAAGTGGTGCCATCCTTGAGCAAATTCCATGGGCACATGCAGAGACCGACAATAGCTGCAACATATCCACCACGACGGATATTCTGAGCAGGAGAAAGGTTGGTGAGCGGTGAATTCACTGCCAGATGGGCACAGGCTGTGGAGTGGGAAACGTACGATGAAACGAGGGAATAGCGCTGTCAGGTCACAACCCGCAGAAATTGAGTTCGCGGAGATGTTGGTTCTGGGAGCGGGCGAGGGTGTTCAATCGATCCGTAAAATTGAATGGAAATACTAAAAACGTACCCTAACTGTAGGGAGAGACAGCCTATGTCAAAGGCACGAAGAGGTAGAGATAGGGTATTGTATTGGATGCGACGTACCTGCGCAATAATGAACGAAGCAGCGATGAACCATACCTGTAAGAATAGACCAAGCACCGAGACAGTCAATACCCAGAAGAATACCCGGAACTGATCACCTCTTCTCCGTCTTCCTCATAGACTGAAACGCTAAAAAGCACCACAACGCTCTGGCACCTTCCTTGCCTTGTGCGACGTGGCTCTAAGAGGAAAGAATATGCACGTACCCCAAATCTCGTCGCATGGCTTGGATTCCCGTCCAAGAACATCCCCAGAAGGTCAACAGGTGACCATACCGTCTCCCCAAATATAACGGTCGACGAGGAACTAACGATAATGCCAATGAAGCTGACAAGGCTGAAAGTGAGCGGAACCGAGAGGAGTTGAGGAAGACCAGCGGCTGAAGGTCGTGTAGCACGGGAGGCGAAGTCTGGTGCATTTCTGGGTGAATGACGAGATGTGAAAACGAATTGAAGAGAGAACGAATCGAGAGGTTAGCTTGGTGATGTCAAAAAGACGTGGGCGCGGGGTCGAGCAACATAATACGGGTCAGATCGGGAAGGCTCCAAGGGGTTGAAATGGTAGAAAGAGGGGAGAGGGAGATGAAAGGGAGCAAGAACGAGGCGAAATGAGATGTACGAACGTGACCAGGGTAGCCATATTACTGATACAAGACATGAGGTTCGTCACCATGCCCTATCCGGCGCATTCATGAAGTCCAAAAATCAAGACCACACGTGCAGGTCAATACCATAACAGCAAGCAAGCTCCAGAATACTACAATAAGCCCAAAAGCCGTACTCACCCATCCAAGAGCGCTCCCATGAAGGGTTGCGGGTTGGTGAATGATCGGGCCAACGCCCTTCGCCTGATTGACGACGTAAAAGAGACAGATGTTAGCGCTATCAGCCGGTGTTAAAGAAGGCGAAGAGGGAGGATTGTGGCATGAACGGAGGCGATGAACGGCGAAACCTAGGCACTGAGTCAAACGCACCTTGACGATGCACCAGATAAAGAAAGTGATGCCCGCTGTAGGCGCCACGATCGCTTTGAGCGTAAACAGATGGCGACTGTAAGTGCGAAATCAAAGCAAGGCCACAACGCGACCACAGTCAGTATCATTATCACAGTGAGGATCAAATCGAGAAACACGTCGTGTATGAGTGGTGTCGGCTATGCTCCGAGAGCGCGAAGGAGTAAATATGTGATTAAGACCGAGATGGGAAGGGTTGAAAAGCGAATAGAAGACAGACATGCATTTTGTGGATGGGAAACCAGATCGCCGGGAGAGAGATGAGCCAGAAGAGGAAAAAGCACATGAAGTCTTCTGTGGTCGTCCCCGAGGATGCAGGTAAATGGTTGGCTATAATACCGCGTCGACCAGTATGTCGATATTAGCGCGTGTGTCCTAGGGTGTCAGCGCAGGAGTGACGTACGAATATTCTGAATGCTGGGCCACATTGCTCGCAGCATGACCTTGACATAGCCATGACCCACATCCTTGAGCACCGTAATGACTTGAGCGCCACGACAAGATACTCACCTTCATACAATCCCCCCCAATACTGGCCTGCACACCATACCATATACTGATATAGCACCGTCAACGTCAGATCCATCGATTCACACCGGTAATCCAAAGACCGCAGTTCCGCTCACCATGCCATAACACCGCGATTAAAAACACACCACATACTACCCCACAATCCGAAGCTCGTCCTCGCAACGACCGGGAAAGTGATATGATACACCGCACCCGGCCGGGCATTCGCAACGATGAAGGGTGCGACTACGCCGTAGCCTATCCAAACGCAGATCCAAGCTTGCCACCAGGAGAGGCCTGCTTGAACCATCGTGGAGGCAATCATCCACCTGGCATGATTATCATCGTCGCGGACAAGAAATGTTCCGTGTGGCGGTCATGTGGCGGCGTCAGCATAATCTCGTCCGAATACACTGACGAGGTGTGGAGACTGACGTGTTGACGTTGAAACTGTCTGCTATCCAGCTGAAAGGGCATTCCAGTGTCAGTCGCAATTTGAGAGACGAACATTCAAATCATGGCAAGGCTCACAATGCTATAAAGTTGATCGTCGACCATGTCTGCTTCTCAGGGCCTACAGGAAGCAGATCCTCGCTCTTTCATATCGTACCCAGCAAAGGAATTCAAGCGAGATGATTATCAGTTCACATTGCGAATGCACGGTCACGGTCCTGAATGTACAAATGAAGCACACCGTCAAAAAAAGCTGCGACCAACTCAAGCTCCTATCGAATCCGGGGACTTCAGCCCAACCAAGAGCCTTCCCAAAGGCAGTCATATTCGATCGTTTCGTATTTTCGAGAGTACCGATTGATGGTGAGAGACACGGAGGTGATGTACTCGCGTTCCAAGCCCCGAACTTGACGTCGATGATGGTGGTGCTCAGCAAAGGAACACGCACACTGTCAAACGAGCGCGCACAAACTCGGAGTGGCTTCCATAACGTACCCAAGCATATCACGGTTCCAGAAAAAAATCGTCCAAGCGAAGGCTCGAGAAGTCGAGTGAGTTGGTGGCACTGCCGTAGAGATAAGGAAGAATCATGAGGTTGCGGCTCCCCGTGGGCACCATAAGCTCGAATGGTCTCCAAGATCAATCCACAAACCATGTGTCGCGTCACAAACCATCATCGACAACAGTCGCTTCTCCATTTGCAGCCATGCAGGGCATCTCGCATTGATAACGAAAAGTTCGCCGCCGCGAGACTTGGGCGTGGGACGACAAGGGTTGCCTTTTCGGGACCAGAGGTTGGATACGCGGTCACGTGGCAGATGTTCCAAGTCGCGTCCTGTCGCGTCGCGGCGAGCCGCCGGCATACGAATAGCGAACTCAGGAGGAACACCTAGAAGAAACTCCAAGAAGTGTTATTCGCGAGCAGCCAACACAGTGCAGTAAGAGTAACAGGAGCTACCCAAACGAGACGAAATGGTAGCCATGCCTTGGTCGAGCGTAAATGAACACAAACTTCAAGCTGAGTGCGTTGAGACAAAACAAAGCGAGAGGGGGACGAGGTGGATAGAACGATGCAGAGGTAACCAAGAGATCGCAAAAGGTAGACTGTGGACGGGGACGGCTAAAATGAGAAATGCAAGAGGCAGGAGTCAGGAAGGAAATCCATGAGTCTGGGCCATGCAAGGTATCCGGTATATGTAGGGGAACGTGGAATGAACAATTGCTTGGGGTGCACAGTGAAGCCGAGTCCCATTGAAGGATTACATATGTACGGTGATAATGGAAAAGATTGGCTGTAAGAAAAAGAAAGAGGGATGCGAGCGGTGAACAGTAAATATCGGAGTGCAGGTATCGGCTTGGAGCGTGTTGTCGAGGAAATGGGATGCAGGTTGGTACGGAGGACGAGTGGGACGGCATGCACAGTATTCTGAACGATTGAAGTACATGCGACAAGCAGAGAATGGGTGATAAATATTGGGTGTTGGGATGTCCCATTGAATTTCGAACGCAAGTATGCACGAAAGAAGATATATGTTCATAGAGATCCCGTAGTCATGGCGTAGGGAGGATGGACGTTGAACACAGGGTTCGCTTGTCGTATCACCACGCGGGGTTGAATGCTATGTCACCGAACGCAAACGCGCCACCGGTACCACGAGACGCAGCGAAACGCTTCGCGGAGGGCGAAGGCGAGGAGAACGTGAAAGCGGCATAGATCTCCTTGCGTTCAGGGGTGGAGAAATCTTTGGAAGGCCCTTTGTCTTTCCTCAAAGCTTCCGAGATCGCTGCGACGGAAGGGAGTGCTGCTGGCGGGGGTGAAGAGGCGCGAGCGGACCCGCGAGAGCGAACACTCTGGGAAGGCGTTTTGGCGAGTAGATCGTTTTTGGAGGTGACTCGGATCTGTGCGAAACAGGAATGTGAATCTACAAAGAAAAAGGTACAAAAAATTATAGAGGATTACCTGAGGGCTAGGCTTCTTGCGCAAGGGAAGATCACTGGCAATCATTTGCTCATAAGCCTCAGAGACATCGGCGAGAGGCGAGACGGTGAGGTCGTAGCATTTCGCATCGATCACCGCCTGAGCCTGCTCACTCAGGGCCTTCATCGTCTCCTGCTCATCCACCATCGTCTTCGCCTTTGCCTTCTCGACCGCCTTCACCACCTTCGCGTCCTTCACCACCTTTGCGTCCTTGACCTCAGACTCCTCCTCAACCTTCGGCATCTCCGCCACCTTCTTAGTCAAACCCGCCCTGGAGTCCTTCTTACGTGGGATCTTGGACTTTGATCGCAAGTCCGTTAGGGTAGACTTTGTAGACTTGGCAATAAGGGTGTTGGAAGAGGTCGAAGAGGTCGAGGTCGACGCAAGCCTGCGCTTCTTCATCTCAGGCTTATCCTTCTCGATCCTTTCGGCCTTTGGAAGGAAGAGTTTGGTAGTCAACGCACTCTTTCCCTTACTATCCTTCCCCTTTTGCTTCAGGGCGCCATCAAGACCAAGTCGAACGCTCGTAATCGGGTGGAGGTTCTCCTTTTCGCTAGAGGTCGCGAATGAAGGAGCAGGAGCAGGAACGTTGGTGTTCGAAGAACCAGCGGATTTGTCTTGGGTGAGAATAGCAGCGGTGTTGTTGGAGCCCTTTTTGGTCCTAGGGCGTACGGGGGCCTCGTCGACGAAGATAGTAAATGTACGAGCTGTGGTAGCGGTGGTGGCCATTGTCATATCACTGTGCCGTGTTGCTGGCAATTTGTCGTAGTCGTGTGGTAGCGCAGATACAAGTGAGATGTGTAGAGATATGTTGTGTCGTTGAACCAAGAAGATAAAATGTCACAATCGGATTGATCAAAGGTTGTCGGTCGATGGCACGGGTGGCGGTCACAGATGGAAGCGACTGTTGACGACGACAACGAGCAGAGTTCAACCGCTTGCCGCGAATTTGAAACTCCGCCGGAGCGTGTCCCGCGCGTTTTCCTTTCGATCTCACGTGATCGAGTTATTCTGTGGCACTCACTCATTTTCAGTTTCTCTTGACCCCCTCGACGACTTGCCTTGATTTTTCGTATTCCACTGTTCTGTTGTCTATTTTCTATGTTTCATTTTCCCCAGGTGAGTTCTTTTCCATAAGTGACACATGCGGCGTCGAACCTAGACCTTACCAGGATGCATGTTCATCGACTTGGCTCAGTCCTTCGCCGGAGTTGATGGGAAAATGTGTAGTTGTACCAGTCAATAAGGCGCTGCCATCGATGTTCTATCTCACATTATAGGAGGAGAACATGGTCCGCTTACTGAGATCACTGGACCTCCTGACTGCCACCAGATATCTGAAGTGCCCAGTTCACCGTTCCGGGAAAATCTCCTATGCCTGGACAGCTCAAGAGGAAGGGATATGGCACGCTCTCTTCGTGGTCTTTCGCGTTACCTTCTAAAGCTTTGACACATCTATCAACGGGTAAGCATGAATGCCCAATTTTGAAACCGCAGCCGGTGCTTTCGATTGTCTTCGTAACAGATCAATTTCACATGAATAGTATCTCAATGTTGCCTCTATCTAGAGCTGGTACATGTCGGGTCTTACTCCACTTTGCCATCTCGACATGTGGTGTCGAAACGTCTATATATCTTCTCAGAAGACGTTTGCTCCTCCAGATTTCAATGTCATTTCAGGGTGTTCGGGTATTGTGTGTCACTGAATGTGATATTTATACATCGCTTTGCACCACCAGCATCGAAGGCAAATTCTCATCTACACCCTTTTGTCATGCGTAAGGATCGTGGAGGAGCTCAGTCGGGTACCTATCCGAGAGACCAAGAATACTTTTATGGATCATGTCTCGCCCTTGTTACCAGTTGACTAGCGAAATATGGCGAGGTCAGGTTAGTCTATCCGGCGATGGCTGCTTTCAAATCGAAAGAGCATCCGCTTGATCAAGACGACAGAGATTCCGCTCCGTTCCTCAGATACGATTGCATGCCATGCCCGATATTATGCCAGGCAAGAAATATAGGAACATATGCTCTGTTCCCGGTGCCGGCCCTGGGGTGGCCCCACGTCGAACCTGCCTGGAACGGAGGTCAACTCGTTCGTTATCCCTATCTCCATGACGTTGTATGCGTCTCCCAAATGTTCCTGTTCGTCATCGTCGACGTTGAGGGCGTGAACCTTTACCGCTCTACCGTGCTATCTTTACACAATTCGTTTGCCCCTGTGGTAAAGAGTGCAAGTGGAATGTGCTTCGACTTCGGTGCCGTGCACCTTATTGCCGCCATTTCGCTCCGAAATTCTCGGATTTGACCTGGTCCCATCGGCTGCGATATTTGCATAATAAAGCTTATATGGCACGAGCATATCCTTGGACGCAGGTTTTTTTTGGACGCTGTATGGATCGCGGCTCGGGAGGGATATATATCGAGCGAGCGTTGGCTCCTGAACGAGGAGCCGTACAAGCTGACAGGGGGAGCCGAAGAGCCGGCGGGAGAAGACGCAGGGTCTTTGTACCGATCTGACGTTTTGCGTTCATTTTCCGTTTGCGGCTTCACATACGATCTCGGCCTGTGCACGTCTGTCAGATCTGGCTTGACTCCCTGGAGTACAAGTATGGCCGATCTAGCTTCCGCCCATGCTCTCTGCTCTCGCCCGGAACGTGTTACGCTCATGGTGGACACGCCCAAGCCTCCCCGCCATCACGTTCTCCACACGTAAAACCCACTCGCCGCTTTCGCATCTACACCTTCTGCTTTGACCTGCCCAAGTCCACCTCTCGCTCCTTCCGACGAGGCTCAGGCTCTCCGTTTTCCTTCTTCTTTTCCTCTCTATTTTCTATGGCGTCAACCACCCCCCCTCGCCCGCCAGCCCTCGGATCTCTCATCGATGATGGTGCACTCGAGCTCGTCTCCGTCCTTGGCTACGGAGGTTACGGTATCGTCTATCGCGCCGTCGAGACCACCTCCACTTCCGCGGAGCCACGATCCTACGCGGTCAAGTGCCTCTTCCATTCACAGATGCGCCACTCTTCCCGCCAACGCCGTCTACATCTCCAGGAGATTACCCTGCACCAACTCGCATCCGCTCACCCAAACGTCGTAACTCTCCACCGCGTTATTGACGATGGAGCCTACATATTCCTCGTTATGGACTACTGCCCCAGTGGCGACCTCTTCTCGCAGATTCTCCACAAACGGCGATATCTCGGTCACGACGGTCTTATCAAACACGTTTTCCTCCAGCTTCTCGATGCGGTCGAATATTGTCATTCGCTGGGCATCTTTCACCGAGATTTGAAGCCAGAGAACGTCCTCTGCTTCAACGGCGGCCTTCGACTTGCCATAACCGACTTTGGGCTCGCCACAACTGACCGCGTCAGCGACGAGTTTCGGACGGGCAGCGTTTACCACATGAGTCCTGGTACGTCATTTCCAGCGCAGCTTGACATGCATTTGACAGCCAGCCACTAACTGATTCGCAATTGACTTCAATTATAGAATGTCAAGGCGGGGTCTTCGCGCCCACTGGGACGTACTCACCACCGTCAAATGACATTTGGTCCCTCGGTATCATTCTCCTCAACCTCAGTCAGTCTTCGTTTTCCTTTCTTCCTCAGTGACAGCGGCTAACCACGCGGCTCATTTTGCATTTCGGTTGACTTCAATAGTCACAGGTATGCTCACCCTCGTCTCTCCTCATCCCATTACTCCGAGTAACAAAATTCCCTTCATGTAAAGGTCGCAATCCATGGAAGTCTGCATGCCCTTCAGACCCAACGTTCCACGCCTATCTCCAAGACCCATTACACTTCCTTCCCAGTGTCCTCCCTATCTCCTCCGAAGTCAACGATGTTCTCGTCCGCACCCTCGACGTCAACCATCGCAATCGCATCTCCATCGCAGAGCTCCGTCGCTCTATCAAGGGCATCAATTCCTTCTACTCAGAAGACGTCGTCTTTGAGAACTCCATGGCTCGTTGCGCTTGGGAGATCGGCATTGACATCACCAACGGCACGAACCCTGAAGACGGACCCAACTTCAGCATGCCCGTCCCTCCACCGGAGGAACCTAAGTCTGCTTGGAGCGTCGATACGGAGCCGGAGATGGTCTTCGCGGCGCAGGAGGAGCTCGACGATGCGTTGTCGGATAAATCGTGGACATTGCAAGACTCGAGGGAGACTTGGGGCGCCAGGGGCGACGAGGAGCTGAGGTCGAGGTCGCCATCGCCGGCTCCTTCGACACCATTCCAACAGGCCTTCGACGCTCGGAATAACCGAAGAGCCACTCCGTCGTCGTCATACTCGATGTACTCGCCGGCGCTCTCTGAACCATATATGTCTACGGATCCCGCTTTTACGGATGCATCTGTGAACTACTCGAGTAGGATCGTTGTTCGTGAGGTTGACAGCACCGCTTACGACGGTAGCGTCATCATGCGTTCGACAGACTCTGGGACGATGCACACGGCACTGGAGAGTATCGGCACGACGGGCGGGTCTTCTTATATCGTTCCTTCCGCTGTTCCACCTTCGAAGCCGATACACCCTCCCTCTTCACCCATCGACGTCGGTATGAGCGATGACGATCAGGACCAGGATGCAGACGAAATCAACCAAACCATGAGCTGGACGCAAGCTTCGTATAGTCAGCCTTCTGCGCCTACTTCTCGAGACCTTTCCCCCCTTCAGACCGGCACTACTTCTACAGCCGTCGGCCACGACTCTTCTCACCATCACCGCTACTCGCCGATGGACACCTCTCCTGGCACTCAATGGCGAGACTCGTACTCCTCGCCGGCCGCTCTTCCGAAGTCCCAGCCTCCCACTTCATCCAACAAGCCTCCTATCTTCTTTCCTGTCGTCACGCAGATGTCGTCACCCGTCGAACGATCCTCGAAACCTTTCATTCCTGACGATTCCATATTGAGGCGACCACCGAAACCGAGGGCCTCGTCATTCTTCAACCCTATCCGGCTTGCGTTTCCGCGCGCCGTCTCTCCACCTCCTCCCATTCCCTTCCTTCCGAGGAGGGATACTCGGAGAGGTCTCATCCACGACGCACCCATCCATACTCCAATTCCGCAGTCTGCGCCGCCACACTCCGCATATCGGAGTTTCCTGCCGCCGACCAGGCCTCAGGATGAGCACAAGCACACGGCGGGCCCGGGGTTCGGAGGTCATGTTCAGACGATCCACCACAAGCACATGCAGACGCCTATCCAGGCGAAGGTGAACATGCACGGGCACGGACAAGGCAGCGGGAGAAGGAGGCGAAGACAGCCATTGAGGAGCGCCAGGGACTGGCTGTTCTCGGGTAGGTTATTTGGGGCTGGCGCGATCTGACTTGGAGCGATGGCAGGCTCGACGAAGAGGTGAGGCCGAAGCGGCGGATATTTTTGTTATATATTTATCAACTTCGACCGCATCACGAACAATAGTTTGTTTTATTCTTGTATATACCAGAGTCGTCGGGGTTTCCTTTCCTTCTCTGTTGTTCTTTCCTCTCTCCCTTGCTTTGCAGCATAGCATACACACTCATTTACATCAGTTTAGTTCTTGCATTCTATCGCATTTCGTTCACTCCCAAGCACCAAGCACCTCATTTCTTTATTAACTTTTCTCTTGCTATCGATCCTACCCTGATACACATTGCGCAGGGCTTCCGATCATCTTCTCTTTCACTCCCCCCATCACACATCCCTTTGCCTTGCTTCACATGCCCCAAACTTGCTTGTATGATAACGTGTTTCTTCTTGCTTCGATCGCCATATCTCATCTCCTTACCTCCCATTGCATGCATGTCTCTGACTGTACTCATCATCACTACGTAGAGTTATCTTATATCGGTCCCCGAACCAACAGTGTCACGACTTACTTTACTTATGTTAGTGCCAGGTGTACTAGTTCTTTATCGTCGACTTGACTTTCGACGCTTCATTTAGTGTAACCTTTGTAATCGAAGATACACTTTGACATTCTTATCCTCGAGGCCACAATGCGCCGACCTGTTTCGGATGGACGAAGTCCATTCGCATACCCACGACCTTGAGCTAAGGCTTCATTTAGCTTCGCAGGGAGGGTTCGGCTCCGGCTTCCTCTCCCCATGCACGCATCACCTCGCGCCAATGTCGCTCGGGTAAGCCTGGTAGAAGCGACGAGTTCTCGCGAAAGTAATCCGAGGACAGAATGCCCTCCTTTCCATGGGAAAGAACAGTCGCATCTTCTTGAATTCTGTGCCACACTCGTGCCACACCGTTCCCAATTCGGGTGGCGCACGTTCTTCCGGCATTGCCCGTTTTGTGTCGCTCTTTCCACTTGCCTCCACAAAAACGTTCTAGCTCGAACCTTCAAGGAAAACGCCGCACCATGACCACTCCCGAGTTAACTCTGGGAAAGGGTAGATTGCCCGTCCTCGCTTTCCTCGGTCCGGAAGGAACATACTCGCACCAGGTATGTCTCAAGTTCTCAATTGCACCGAGTAAGTATGTCTGTCCTCTGGTGTTTCTGTTTCATAACGGACTCGAGAACAAGAGCTCTCGATCTGGAATCTGCGGAGATTGGCGGAGCGGAGAACTTTAAAACTTTAATCAAGCTATCGAAATGGAGACTGACTTGAATCTCATCTTCTACATACTTCCGTTCATTGTAGGTTGCCCATGCTAATTTCGCGGCTTCGGTGGAGTATAGCCCGAGGGCAGGCATAGCTGGTTAGTGTGGTTCAGCAAAATTCAACTCACCGTCACAAATTAGAACTGCTCGGGGATTCAATATGTTTTCTTATTTTTGTTTCGATGGGCAAGACGTCTATCATAGCGTCGGCGAAACGATTCCTCTCGGACTGCTCCCGCAGGAAAATACTATCTACGGGGCGGTAACGGAGACCTATGATATCCTGCGTTCCCTAGATCTTGGTAAGACGAAATGGATACGCGGGGCTGTGGTTCTTCCTGTAAGCCATTGTCTCCTTGCGAGAAAGGGGCAGAAGTTATCAGGGATCAAGAGAGTGTTGAGCCACGAACAGGTAAGCCCCTATAGAAGGCGAGGAGGCCTTCCTCCGTATCGGGTACCATCAGATGTTTGACCGATTGTGTGTCACAAAATATTCTTCTGAAGGCTCTAGGTCAGTGTGGCAAGTTTCTCTCGACGCATCTACCCGACGCGAAGTTGGTGAAAGTGTCCTCGACGGCCCTCGCGGCTCAAAATCTTAGCCTATCACTGGATGCCGGTCCATCCAGTCTTGACTCAAAGGTGAATACCATGGAGTGTGCTGTCATAGCCTCCAAGTTCTGCGAGACAATTTTCGATGAACTGGAAGTATTGCACGAAGGGATACAGAACGAAGAAGGTACGACATTCCCTGCCCATCATATCGCAGATTCTTCTACTTCAAGAGACAACAACTAACGATCTCTTCGTTCAATAGACAACTTTACGCGGTTCTACGTGCTCGCGAACCATCCCACTTCCCCCGTACCTTTGATCTCAAACCCAAATCACGAAGACTCGCAAGGAAGTGGACAAGCACTCGTACGCATCACCGTTGGACCGATAGTGCACTCGCCAACAGCAGAGTCGACAACATCGCCGTCCATCTTAGAATGCTTAGCTATGCTACCGCACGCTGTCTCCCGCGTAGATCGGCGACCGTCCATACAACCTATTCCCTTCCAAGACGTATATTTCGTAGAACTATTAGAGCGGTTCGACAACTTGAATATAAATGATGGAGATGGTAGTGACGGTCTTGAGAGGGAGGGCGAGTCGCGATGGGCAAAGGGAGTCCAAGATGGTGTGCGTCGAGTAAACGACGGAGGCGGGTGTGCGCAGATTTTAGGGATCTGGTAGTTTCCCAACCAAGATGAATATATATAGCTAAACAAATTACCCTTGATACAACCGTTCAATCGAGAGAGAAAAACGATAGTAGGCGTCCACTAATCAAGACCGTCGCGCCATCTGAACCGTCACTTCAGCAACCCGTTTCTTCCTCCCCGTACTCTTCTTCCTGGGTGTAGCACTCGTCCCAGCAGCACCCGCACTCGTACTCTCATTTCCCGAAGCCTTCGCCGATCTCCTCGTCGACCTCGCCTTGGTCGGTGACGCGCCCGCCTCACTTCCGCTATCGTCTCCTTTCACACTCCCCGCTGCACTCAACCTGGAGCTCCTCCTCGTCGGCCTCATCAGTATCACACTCTCATTCTCCTCATCCTCATCATGCCTAGTCTTAGCAGAGCGTGAGAGACGGGTGGATGCTTTTTTCCCCGGTGTGGTGGCGACGGCTCTGCTGGAGGATCTAGACTTCTTCAATGGCGGGGGTAAAGGGGCGACCTCGTCTTCCTGCTCTGACTCGTCATCGTCCTCCAAGCCTACAGAAAACCCACCAGGGATCTTGCGTCTGGCTCCACGAGCATGGGCACTCCTCGAGGTCGTAACCTTCGTAGGTGACTTAGCAGCCACGGCGGGAGCAGATTCCTCCAAGATCGGGGCCGGCGGAGGCTGCAAGACCGGTGAAGTCGGACTGTTCGTGTCCTCGTGAAAGGCTCCAGGAATAAGCTTATCGACGCTCGGGAGTGATCTCTTCGGAAGAGCCCTCCTCGTCCGCGGCGGGCCCTGTGCGGTCTGTGACTGGCGTCTAGAGCCCGAGGCGGAAGCTGAGACTCGTACGGGTTTGGGTGAGGGAGGTGCGACGAAGACGGAGTGCTCGAATTGAGGGACATCATCATCCTCTGTTATCGAATGAACCTTCTGCATTTGTTGCGAGCTATTCGGTTCCGTGGTGGCCCCATCATGGTGGTCATTGTCGACCGTGTCTCCACCATCCGATTTACCGTCTGCACCCGCACCCGCACCTTTATCCCCGCCATCCATGTCTACATCCTCGTTTCTAATCGACTGCCGCCTCGATTCTCTACCTTCCTCCTTCCCGTTCGTCGCACCAGTCCCAGACCCTGAAGGCGAAGTCCTGTCTGCATCAGCGGAAGTCGAAATGTTAGCAGGATTTGTAGCGGTCGTCGATCCTGTTGTTTGAGCGACGTCGGGAGCGGAAGGTGCAGGCGGGGTGTAGAACGCATTCTTGACTTGGTTGGCAGGTACCGCCTTCGGGCCAAACAACGACGAAGGTGCGGCCGCGACGCCCGAGCCCAGACCCGCCGACTTCCTTCTCCCTCCCCCGCCAGCAGTGGTCTGTGCGCGCGAGGCACCGACACTAGCACCGGTAGACCTTGGCGACGGTGAGGCTGGGTTGGGGCCTGAAGACAAGGGCAAGGGCGAGGGATTCAGCTGTGTCTGCGATCGATTTTGCGGAGTCTGGGTTTGGGAGCCTGGGGGGGTGAATAGGAGCCCGGGCGTGCCGGGCGTGTTGGCGAGATTCGACCCAAGCGAATGACGCGCACGTCCGAGGATGAACGATTTCGATGCAGAGCTGGTCCCAGCAGACTGGGGCGAGAAATACTGTGGGGCAGCTTTCTTCTTCGGCGTCGTGTATGGTGAGGAGGCCTTGTTCGGACTGCTGGTGGTGTTCGCCACGCCATTGACGCCGCTGACTTTCTGCAGCGTGAGCTGAGTGAGTCTCAGGGCATTCACCTTTCTCTGCATCTGCTGCGCCATATTCATTCCCTGACTCTTCTTCATCATCTCCTTGACATGCTCTTCAATTTCCTCCTTCTCGATCCCACCGAGCACGCTCCAAATCTCGCTGATCATCTGCTTTCTCTCATCGACCACCGCCCTCGCCGCATCCTCGTCGTTCTTGGAATGTGAGTGTCCAGACGTAGGGGGAGGGACGATGTTGAACTGTGCGTCGAGGTCGATGGCTTTAGCAAAGAGCCCTGCGTGGATATATCGTGTGCAAAGGAGAGTTTGTAGGATCGCGGTGCCACGATAGGAGAGGTCTGGTCTGACATTCATTGGGTCGTCTGCTAGGGCGGGAGGGAAAGGTACTTCGAAGGCGATATCTTTGATTAAGGAGTGCTCGTACGGAGTAAATGGCAGGGCTAGAAGGTGTGAAAGGGGTTTGGGCCGCGGAGCCGCTGTGTAATGAACATAACAGGCCATGTCAGCCATTTAATGATCCAAAGTCCACGAAAGAAAGTGTAAACGGCGCCTACGTTCAAGACACCACCAGATTATCCTTCTCAATAATCTCGATCTCATGCTCGGAAAGTCTTGTCCACGAGTTTCTTCTGGGAAGGTTCGTTGATAATTCCAAGCATCGGCGATATTAGATTCTGCCAGAGCGATCGTGTATCGCTCGATATCATCAGGCTCGGTGAGGAGCGGTTTTGAGGTTCGGACATATCTCAAAATGAGAGGATATGGCGAGGGATCGAGCGAGAGGGCTTGCAGAATTTTAGAGGTATAGTCTCGATTGAGACGGACATCGGACAGGATTGAGACCGCTTTCTGATGGATGGAAAAAGAGTCAGTGTCCTATCACATTTTACGATAGTGAGAGAAGGTGATAAACCGAGTGTCAGAGGAGACAACGCCTTCATCGTGACTGTGGCCACTTGGCCAATACATGTTATCCACGGTCAAGAAACAGAAATGCTCGAAAAGAGCACCCCGACAGTATGTGAATGACCTCAACCTGCATGAGCATCTATCGACGAGATGAATGGTTGTGGGACTCGTCAAATGCAGAGGAGGGCGACCATGTATCCAATATCGGATTGGAGTGCTCTATGGTGTCGATTACTCCAATGCATGAAGGAAAGGTGAGGTGTCGCGAGTGAAACAGTGAGGAAGTGAAGTCTCAATGAAAGGTTATGCACGATGTTTACAGTCATCTGGACCACGGCTGCAATTCTAATACCCAGACGACTAGACATTCGCGCACCAGTGGCTGCTTCTAGTCCTTGGAGTATCGTGCACGTACGTCGTGCATACTATGCACTGGTCGAGGAATGCACAAAATCGAGGACACCACACCGTGACACTGAATGATCGCGGACATGAACGAGCCTCTGCGGCTTGAAATCGCCAGATTCTCTCGAGCCCAGCGAGTCGTACAGTCTGGGCTCAAATGACACCATGAATTCACCCCCTATGATGGAAATGACGCGCACGGTTAGACGCAGCATAACAGCTGGCGAACAAGGAGTAGGCTTCGCGCATGCGTCGCCAATGACGAGCCAGACTCCTATCACGCAAGACCACGACGCAAACGTCAAATTAAAGTAAAGACACGCACCTGTACTTCAACTCCAGCATCCAGATGCCAATAAGCATCCGAAAGCGCCGAAAACTGCGGCGGAATGCATCGTTCTTCCCTAAATACCTTCTCCCTCCCATCCCTATGCCACTTCAGCAAACTATAAACCAGACAATCTCTCTTCAACGAATCGAACTTCAGGCCATCAATCTTCTTCAACAGTTCGCGTAAAGTGTCCTGGTTAGAGGGAGGAAAGTAGTCCGCGGGGTCGTGTAGGCCGCCGGCGTGGAGAACGACATCGAAGAGGAGACGGTCCGCCATTCGTGCGCGTCTTGTTGCGATCGTTTCTATTGTTTTGGATGGGAATGCGAAGGTCGAGGGGTCGAGGTCGAAGTAGGAGAGATAGGCGTTGACTTGGGAATGGGGCTCGGCGGAGCCCTCGGCCTCTGGGAGCGGATAATCTGTGTCCTGTCATTTTCTCTTAGCTTTCAGTTGAATTATGGAACAAAAACAAAGTAAAATACCATCTCCATGGTTCAAAGCGCGACAAATGGACCAAGTCGTGGTGCGCTGGAAAAGAATGCTCGTCGTTGGTGGACGCGACTGGATGAGGCAAATCCGAACAAGACGCGCGGAGTCCGGACTCCGGACTCCGGAGGCAGCGCTTGCACGTGACTTGCAAACACGAGGCTTCCCTTGTTGTGCCACCGTGCCACAGTGGACTCGAAGGACACAAATTCATCATTTACCACGAAAAAATTCCGATAACTACGATAGATACCCTAGTAGAAAGCAGAGCGAGACCAAACCACGGTTTGATCCCCTCAGTATTCATTGCCCCACATTCACAGAACCCGAGATTCCATATCCTCAAGAAATTTATTATTCGAACAACAGACCGTTCCACTAGTGGTACATCAATCTCCTCAATCCATGGACTCGATTCATGTAGAAAGTACATCTGGATCGAGTCCATTATCCTACTTTACTTTGCCGTGGGTTGTTGAGCGGCTGACCTCTGCGCCAGACGATCTACAATAGGCGCATCAGCGGCGTTCGCCGCCGGTATCTCTAACTTGTTGCTAGCTTCCTTCTTCATCGACCTCGTCTCGCCTTTGAAACCGAGGTAGTATATCCGAGAAGAATCTCCACCCGGAGAGTCGCTCTGTATTTAGACACACACCTCAGTTTGAGTGGTAGACGATGAGCGGCTAGAGACGTACGAAGAACAACGAAAGCGTGTTGATGCTGGAAAATGACGCTACTCGTAATGGGTATTCGGACACTCCAGCTTCACCTTCCAAGAGACTAATGTTCAATGCGGGCTTCATATCTTCAGCCGCAGAGAAATCGACGATGTGAGGATGGTTCGCGTATATACGCAGGTGTCGCGGTGCGACCTCTCCTCGACCTATAGAAACCGTCATATGTCATCCCGCACGATCCAAAAGAAAGTCAGCAGTAGGTCAAACGGTGCAGAAGAAGGAAACGTACCCAGTTTGAGAAGAAGAGATTTGACGCGTACATTCTCGGAGAATGGTATGTGTATAATCAGCTATTCCATCCAGATAACCCCGTATTAGTTTGCACATCCAGACTTGAAGTATGTGCAAGCATAGCAGACCTGATCATCCACATTCGAGTCTGCCCATTTATCCGTGCTCTCTCGCTCATTCCAAGGTTTGATCGTTTCCTTCGCGTCTTCCGGTACAGTCAAGTTAAGGCCATGTACGCTTCCTCCAAGGACCACACAGTCAGCCTTGTAATTCCTCTACGGCTCAGATACCAAGGAAAAGTAACACTGAATGTCCGAGGTATATAGGAATCAGCGCTCACTTGTCTCGGTCGATCACAGTATACAGGTTATCGGTGTTGCTCCCCAGAAGTTGAGCAGAGTTCGAGATCTCCTCTGCCGTACCATCAGGCATAAGACCAGACATAGTGTAGATTCAAGTATATCCGCAAGAAAACCCGTCTTGTCCCAGTCGAGCCAGTCAGGTAAGCTAGATGAAGGTCAAGAGAAAGTAGTTATCATCTTACTCGCCACTCTCTGGAGAGACGCGTCTTCATGTGGCGTTGATGGGGGCGGACCGGTCTATCCGCCAGAGCCAGATTTTGCTGAATTTGCAATTTCGCCAACATTTCGACTTGTGGACGCGACTTTGACCGAACATCGTCTCTGCCTGTTCGACCATCCACAGCTAGCTCTCCTAGTCGCGAGGACCGCAGCGGAAAAGCTTTTTCGAAGACGAGTACTACCGTGTCGTCGTTTCACTAGGGTCTTTTGCTAGTCGAGTAACAGCATGCATCGTCTACCGCGACTCGTGGCGAGCGCATCTCGAACCCAGCTTCGTCCTCGTCTGACCACGGTCATCCAACACCCATGTCGCGCTCTCCTCTCGCACCAGTTCTCTACTTCATCTCCACGTCGTGACGATGATAACGAGGATATTCCCGGTCTTCAGTCCAACGCATGGCTCCAACTCCCTCCGGAGGCGCGTGCTCAAATCTTGAAGGACGCGGAGGCATTGGAGGAGTACCAGGGCCTAGAGGAAGACGAGGACGAAGATGGTCTACGGAGTATGGACGACGGACAGTGGGAGCATCAACCAGATAACGTGGAATACCCACCTGGACTCGAACGCACGGGTCGTTTCCACTACCAACTTCCTTTCCCCGACCTTTCTGAACCCGACCCCATCTACGACCTGAAAGAACAGCACGAATACCCACCCACTCCAGGAAACCCCTTCCACAACCGTATCGTCATCCGTAACGACCCCTCCATGTTCGCTGAGGCCGAACGTCTCAGACCTGACGAGTGGGACGAAGGTATGGATGAGGACGAGAAGAGGGAAGAAATCAGGAGGAGGGAGGCCGAGGCGGCTGCGATAGCTGAGGGAAAGGATCCTCGCAAAGGCCGGGCTAAGGACAAGAATGCTCGTGAGGAGGACGACGAAGCGGAAGAAGAAGAGTCCAACCCCAGACGGTTCCTTCCCCTCAACGGCCAAGACCGCGCGAGGCTGCACCTCTACCCTCTCATCCGCCGCCGCGTCGTCCAACAGACCGGTCTCGGAAAAATGCCACGCATAGCCATCCTCGTCGTCGTCGGTAACGCGAACGGACTCGTCGGTATGGGCGAGGGCAAGCATATCAACTTCCCGCAGGCGATGAACAGGGCGTACTGTGAGGCGATACGCAATATGGATTATGTCGAGAGGTTCGAGGATAGGACTATATGGACCGAGATGGAGTCGAAGCTCGGTTCCACCAAAATTATCCTGAGGCCGCGGCCGATCGGGTTCGGTTTGCATTGCAACCCGTATATTCACCAGATCGCGAAGGCGGCGGGGATTAAGGATATTTCGGCGAAGGTCTGGGGGAGTAGGAATCCGATCAATGTGATCAAGTTGATGTTTAGGATGTTGCAGGCGGGGAATGCACCGGTGGCAATGGGGAATGGAGTTGGTGGAGGTGCGAGGAAGTTGGACAAGGGCACTGGTGTGAGGGGAAAGAAGGAGGTGGAGAGGGAAAGGGGAAGGAGGTTGTTTGATTTGCGGACGTACTGATCGTGCATGGTGCTGTTCTAATGAAGTTTCCGCTACATTCTATCTTACATCCCTCTTCACTCATTTGAAGATACTGCGCTTCTCGGCCCTTAGCTCTTGATCTTTCTTTGCGCATATGTTTTGGGATCAAGCTTACGAAGTACAGGTAAACAAGACCGTATCCCTCATCGGTAATTCTCCTTGTCCAGTTAAACATCGAAAGTTGCCCGCGTGGCGCAAGAAAGTTCGGGTGCCACAGATCACACATAGGATGGTCTGTGGCCTAAGCCGGTCATTGACTTTCCTTACGGAATCAGATTTTGCCAGACAATGTACAACAGACCAAAGGTACACCAACGGCCAACCCAACGAAGACATGTCTTTTGGAGTTTGGACACTGGCGGCTCCGTCATTTCCAAGCCACCCGCTTCAAACCTCGCTTCCTCGACGCGGCCTGTCCTCCGAAGACACTACCGGGCCCAAAATCAGGCTGTCCCCCAAGCGAGCCAAATATATCGCCCACATAATTCATTGCCTTCACCCCCTCCTCAAACCTTTCCGCCCAACCCTCAATAATCCCTTCCACCACCTTCACGCCTGCGATGTATAAATTGACGAGCGACGGCTCGAACGCAGCAGACGGCCCAAATAAATGGTCCACCGCACTCTGCCCGGCGTACGGACGGTCAAAGTTGGACCCAGACCTCATGATAATGATACGAGAGAAATCGACGAGTCCGCCGATAGAGGCGCGCAGAAGCGCTTCGAGCGTCGCGTTGTCCTCTTGTTGCGTGGTGCAATATACTCCGGTCCCATTCGTGAACAACTTCGTCGTGTTCTCGAAAGTCTCACCGAGCAGATCTCCGCTGAAATATACGTCCGAAGTTGATGTGTCGCATGCGATGATGGAGGGTCCGGCTGGATTGGCTCCGGGAGCGAAGGACGGGGTGGTGGCGTAGAGTGCGCGGGTCTCTTGAGCCGTGGTCGAATCGTTCAGAGTAACATTACTGGTGAACCCAAGGGCCACTTGGCGGAGTGCATCATTGACCTCGAACACCTCTGTGCCGTAGATGCTCAGCGGGTACTGATCCGGCGCAAATGATCCTTGGGGTATATACCCCGTCGAAAAATTATCTGGTTTCTCACGGGCGTCGATTTCATACTGCAGAGCGACCTGAATCGCATAACGAGCGAATGTGACGGAGCCGACTGTAGCGACTTTTGGGTTGACGCCGGCGATGCCGGCGATGAGAAAGTACGTTTTCGTGAGGTCGAAGAGGGGCGAGTGAGCGAGTGCGGAGATGGTGGATGCAGCGTTGATTTCGGCTTCGCCGGTGACGAGCTGGCAGATGGTTCCTTCCGAGGTACAGTGGGCAGAGGGAAAGAGCGGGGAGAAGCCGGGGACGGTGATGTTTTGGGCGAGGATGTTGAATTCGGGGATGCTTTGCCAGACTTCACCCTCGGGGGCGAACTAGGTTTGAGGTAGCGTTGGGATCAACAGAGCATATCGTGAAATCATGATTCGCTCACCATGCTTATGATGAAGACCTTGGGTGATATCTTGAGAGTAGAAACATCAGCTCTCGGGACTTCGATGGGTGCTCCGTTGGGTGGTGCGGCATTGCATCTGAAGGCGGCCAAGAGAGCGATACCAAGAGCCACCGGTGCGGACTTCATGACGTTCCACATCCTGTCTGCAGCTATTTGAGTCAATCATGGTAATTTCGAGAACGCGTATTGCTCAACGTACTAATACGAATGACAGGCTCGGGATGACTTAGAGTGCTCAGTAACGGAGGGTGTCGTGAGACGCCTTGGTCCGCAGGGAAGTCCGGCCTAAAACACCTCACGAACCATGGCGGTATATAAGTGGGCGGACCAGCTCCAGTCAGGGGACCGATGCCGTTAAATAGCTATCTTTTCTTAGGCAAGATTGCAGTCATGCACAGGAGAAAAGCGCGTATCTATGCCAGTCGGAGCAACGTGCGAGTTGAAGAGAAGCGACGAAGATACCAGGATCAGATGGGTTCCGTTCATGCCAGCACACGTCCATAATTTTCGGCGAACTATGCGTTGCTTTCCGAAAGAGAGAAAAGGCAAGGGAGGCGATACTTCACAAGCCGCGGCCGTCTCGATCTAAGCAGCAAAGAGACTAGGGGAGTGACACTATGATGAAGTCAGTGGCCGAAATTTGCCACCATTCCATCGCCGATAGAGGGACCTTGGAGACTTCCAAGCTGCATGACTTATTGATGGATTATGTACGTTTTCTGTGCTGCCGACAGAGCTCGGGGAGTTTTTGTATGGCAAGAAAGAGTATTATGTGGGGCGAGGATGAAGTGAGAAATTAATTGATTTTGGAGGCGATTATGCAATCAGATAAGATAAGATGGCACGGCCGACTCGGCTGATTATTGACTCCTGTATTTCATCATAATACTGTTTCTGATACCTCCACCTTGTACAGGAAGACCTTTATTCCCTCGAACCCACGTCGTTCTCCCGACGAACACATCCTTGAGACTTCTTACTGTCATTGAGCTCATTTACCACGCTTTTCCTCACGAACTATGGCCACCGGGGACCAGAACAATGGCAGCGGCGGCTCGACTATCACGACCATGTTCAGCTTTCTCATCATTTTTCTCGTCATCTTTGCCGCACTCGTCATCGGAGGTATCCTTTGGCATCACATTGTTAGGAGACGAAGGATGGCGAGGGGAAGCACAGGACAAGTGTGGTTCACGTTTGACGAGGGGTGGGCGAACACGTACGCGGTGAGGAATGACTTTGGGGCCGTTCCAAAAATGTGGGAGATTGAGACGCCGGAAGGGAAGGGGATCAGAGTGAAACAATGGAAGATGGTTCAGGTGAGTCTTAGCATTCATCTTATGATGTCCGAGCATTGTGTTGACAGCAGTCTGCTACTCAGCCATTAGCGGCTGTCGTTGAGCGCTCGACAGAGCCCGCACCCAGCACTGCTTTGTCAGAAACTGTGCCTACAAAATCCGACCACCGTTCACTGTTTACTCGTATTCTACCCTCTCGCTCTCAGCCTGCTCAGGAGGAGAAAGTCCAACAAGAACCAGAGGCTCCGCCAGAATATGCACGGGCAGTTCAAGTCTCTGTGCTTGTCGCCATGCCTTCTCTCAAACATAACAATGCGGCGAGCGACAGAGCCTCACCATCCGCACCTGAACTCGCTCAGCTCGGAGAATATGCCATTGGAATGTGTCGAGCTCCTTTACCCGAAGGAACAGTCATTTGATACTTATGGCCGTGTTGTCAAGATTGTAATTCTGTGCTGTCGGTTTCACGTCCCGAGTCGTGCTATGGGTTTGTTGTATTGTCGCTTACTTTCCACTCCATATCTGTACTCATATCAATTCTTTGTGAGCAATGCTTGGACCTTGACCTAGATGTTGTACTACTGCACCTTGTCTGTTTTCCACAACCATTCACTGCTATCTTTGCTGACTTTGCTCAGAGGTCGCTCCACTTTATCTGTACTTTATGCTTACGACTTGTATCCGTTGCTGCCAGATAGTGCTCTCAGTTATCTCAACTATTCTTCGATCCCTTTCCGTCGGCTCACCGTGTAGAGCTCGATGCCGTGATGCAGCACTTGGCCCTTTGATTCATGTTCGGTATTTTTGGCATCCCGTCTTCGAAACTGAACCAGCTATTTGTCCTTCTCAGTCCAAATTCTCACCACTGTCGCTATCCGCTGTGGATAAAGTAAATCATGCGTCTCTCCATCTGTATAAGAACGTGAGTCCCTTGCCATTCACCGTTTATCCCGTGATTATTGCTTGACCTTTGAATCTCTGACTACCCCTCTACAACCTGAATAGTACTTCGAACTCGTCAGACAGCAACGTTACAATGTCTGGGGACACGAGTCGATTGCATTACTCGTCAGTCGTACACCAAAAAAATCGTGAAAACGGCCATGGTAGAGTACAGAAAATCCACTGACTACATCATCAGCATGAAACGTCCCAGTCAACAGTACACCAATCCTGACGCCGATCGCGCTCGATATGTACGATTTCTACTGTCGCTCCCCACTACACCCCCAGTCCTAACACCTTCACGGCCTTCCTTCTCATCGCCCTGCGCTCTGGTCGTCCAAGGAATCTCCAACAATCCGATCGTATACTCCCTCCCCTCCAACGCCCACTCCGACTCCTCTGATGGAGACTGGGATTGACCGCTGTTCTTTTCTCCATCACCACTCCCAGCATCTGAGGATGAGGACACAGATGAGACCACGCTCCTCCGCTTACGCGTAATGCTTCGACGCTCCGAAGGCATAGCGAGGACCACGGCGACTTGGAGACTGGCGTTCTGGCTGTCGCTTTTGGCTAGCCGTGATGACGATGCATCTGGTTCACCTTGGGAAGTCTGAGCATCACTATTGGTCGTTATTTCTGGCATGGCTCTCGACCCGTTTGAGAATGATCTGAGGTGTCCTTTGTAAAAAGGTTTCTTTGGTGAGGGAGGTGGCGATGGCGGTCGAGGTGGCGGCGTGGGATCCGTTACGATTGTGGCGGAGATGGGCTAGCAAACGCCATACGACCATACGACCGGTCAAATAAGGAAGCACACAATGTTCCTTCGACTGCGATTGTCATGGTACGCACCATCAAGCTCTGCCAACCCAAGTCTTCCCTCGCCGCAAAACTTGCCCTCTTCCCCTTCTCACTAACCTCACTAACAGGTCTCTCACCTCCACCACGATATCCGTAGCCCTTCTCGTCCCCCTCATCCCACCAAACCTCAAACAACTCCGGTTTCTTCCCCAACACAACCTTACTACCCTCTCCCCATCCTCCCCCGACCCCATTCCCGCCTCCGTCCCTCTCACCCAAAGCCAAATCCCGCCCTGTAATCCTCCGCCAAGCGCACAACGCGATTACACCAAGTGCGAAAGTTCCGATGGCGATGAATCCTATGATAAGAGGGGGAGAGGTACCCATTTTGAAGAATGGGGACTCGCCGCCTATGGAGCCGTTGCCGTCACCGAGGCCGGGAGTAGAGGTGGCGGGGATGATGGTGGAGGTAGGGGTGAAAGGAGAGCTGAGACTGCTTCCTGCTGTACCGGTGGCACTGGAAGAGGTGGAGGTGCTTGTGGGGTCGCCTAATGCCATCTTAGATAGTTGACCTCGGATCAAGCGTAAACGAGGAGTTTCGCGGTTCGATCTCTTCGTTGGTCGAACCTCAGCTGTGTCTGCGCCTCCGAGCGTGAGAAGTCCTTTACCCTCTACCTTCTGATGTCGGCCGAGGATGGATAACGTTGAGCCAAGACAGCTCTTCGACCGCAACAAGTGGAACGAAGTCCTAGGCTGGGCGGCGACGAATGGAAGGGAAGAGAAGGAGGGAAGCCGGGAAGGACAGAAGGGCGAAAAGAGAGCCACATTAGCAAACGCAGGTAATAAGACATGTATAGTCCGACCCATGAGTCCTGGGCGTACTTCCTATCTTCATCGTGTGCCCACAATTCGCTCACGCACGAGTAAAAGCACATCGGCGGCTCCCCTCCTCCCTACAGGTTCCCCACGCGGCCGTATCCTGCGCAGGATACTGCACAGGCAGCATATCCCGCCGTTACTACTCCTGCCTAAGCATGAGTACCTCGAACTTATTCTGTATCATGAAATCTCATGATCCCTGCGGACAACGGGTCCAATACCCAGAGCCCGGAATGACGGAAAAGACGAAGGGAAAATACTCTCGGGTCCACGCCACGGCTGTAAATCAACCATGAATCATCCCGAGCGCTTGACGGGATTTCCCTTTCGACCAATGAAGACACCGCTACCTTCCAAAGTTGCATTTACCGTGGATTTACCTCGTCGGGATCGTGACCGAAAATGATGCATTACCCTTGCTCGAAGGCGCCAGGCCAATAGCACGCTCAGAAAAGCCTCGGACGGCCGAACGAGGATACCCACGCCCGTGGGTGTCGATCGCCTCGGACTGGTTGAGCATTGAGTTTGGGGGTATGACGGTGAGTATATCTTGCCCATCTCGTTATCACTTTTGGGTGTGTGCGACTTGGGCCTGATATGCTCATGCTTTACATTACCGGGATTGCCTGCGCATACGAGTGAGCAAATCGGTTTGTAGGTTCAGTACCGCCCCGGCAAGAGCGAGCGAGAAATGTTGAGAGAGTGCGTGCACCAGACATGCATTGTGATACCTTCTTGAGAATACGGGGAAACGGACGACGCGGAAAGTCACGCAAGGAGACATCTGGAACAAGCCAGGGAAATAAGGGTCAGCTTCAGAAGGTCATGACCGCATCACGTTTAGGTCGAATGGATGGTTTGCATCATTGTGACAAGATTGAAGAACCAAGGCGGCCATTCCTCGAACGAAAAGAAGAAAGAAGGGGCATAGCGATGCAACTCTGTACAAGTTTAGATACAAAATGTCGACCGACGAATCCGAACGAAGATAGAAGATTTCTCTCATCCTATGCAGGGAAGTCTCCAAAGACGGCCTGTACCAAGTATAAGCGGTCGAGGCGAATGACATCACGGTCGTACTAGGGGACAGCGTAATCATAGGTTCCTCCTCTTGATTCCAATCTTGCAGTCCACGGGCTTCCTGAGGAAGCCCTCTTTTGTTGCGAACTATAAAACGTCCAGCCAGCCATCATGTTAGTACATGGTCTCATGGCATCGCGGAAGAAAGAAGAGACATGACACAATCAGGGGCTGACGAAGGAAGGGGGAAACGCACCGGCTTTGTCGGGTCCTCGAGAACAAAGTCGTATCGACGCAAGATGGACGAGATAATAATGAGGAGTTCCATACTTGCGAGGTTTCGGCCGACGCAAGCACTGGGTATGACCAACCAATGAGTTCCAAGGAGGCGAAGGCACAGAACCAGGCAGCCCATCAAAGCCGCGGACGGTCGAGACGGTCAGAATCAGTTGCGTTACACGAGCCACAACGCCACACCACATCCACCGAGAAAAAAAGAAGCATGTCAGTTAGATGTTTGTTAATCTTTCGTGGCAGTTTGCGGTGCATGTCCATCAGGGGAGCAGGTCGTGTAGACTTACCGCGGTCCAAACGAAAATGGATTATAGGCTTTCTGTATCATCTCTGCGTCCCTCTCGAACCACCTCTCCGGTCTGAATGCCTCCACGTCATACCCCCAGACGTCGACATCCCTGTGGATCGTGTAGCTCGGTACACTCAGGATAGTTCCCTCAGGGAAATACTTGCCGCACACCGTCAAACCACCTTCAGGGGCTATGCGAGGCAGGCCGATACCGGAGGTGGAGTGCAGACGGATGGACTCGTCGATGACGGCCTGGAGATACTTCAGATTCTTGGTCTGTTCAAAGGTTGATGCGGGATCGTCTTCGTTACCAAGAGCAGCATCAAGTTCGACATGTAGTTTTTCTTGAACGGCGGGGTTTGCAGCGAGGTAGTAAGTGATGGCACATGAGGTGCTGGCAAATGAAGCGCAAACAAAGTCAAAGATTAGAATCCAGATCAGGATGCTCAAATGATGGAGAGATGGGTCGTTACTTCGAAGTCGTATCGCTACCCGCAATAAGTTGTGTCAGTGCCTCGGCGGTCAACTCTTCCCTCCCCATAGGACGTCCTTCGTCGTCTTTTCCTTCCTGGAGTTTGCTGAGAAGGTCGACACGATACGTCGGCTGGTTCAACCTTTTAGAAACGGCGGCGATGGCCAAACCTGCGAGGTTCTTTACTGCCTGATCGCCTTTGCTGAACCAGGGAATGTAACGTTTGACGTAGGGACGCAACCAAGGCGGCAAGACGCCCATCGAGGCGGAAAACTCGCCACGGTCGTTGAGAATTTGGACCGCAGGGATGTGTACGACTTCGACCTTCGCCTCGTCTTGACCACTGAAGTGTAAAAGATGAGCCAGTTGCCATTGCATAAGATTTTTGGGTATCATCACTCACTAGGCGGCAATTGCGTCCTTTGCTGACTTGGCAACGGCTGAAAAAGGTTAACAATTCCAGGCTCAGCTGAAAACAATTAGCCAAAAATGTGATTACTAACGAGCCGAGTCTTTTGCAGCTTGCAACATTCCGAAGGGACTTCCAAAGGCCAGATCACCTTGATACGCTCAGTCAGTGGCATAACGCTTAGTCCGTGTCCAAAAAAATATACCGATAATATCGAATGCAAGGTAATTATACCCTGGGAGGAATGTTAGACATCTTTCGAACAGCAAGAACATGACCAGAACTCACATGGCAAACAATCCAACCACAGCCTTCCTTCTCTCCCTACCCATCCACCCTCACCTTCGGTGCCACTCTCGCCATTGACGGCAAGGTCGTAAAGCCTGTCCCACTGAGCGATAAGAGACTTCACATACTCCCTCACGTGCGGCTCGAACTCGAGCACGTTTTTCTGGGAGAATATGTGTGAGACGATCTTACGCTTGCGGGCATGGGCTGCGCGGTCTCGAGTGTTGAAGAGACCACGGTGGATTGAGACGAAGGCGTCGTAAAAGTTGGATTTGAGCGAGCCGTTGCCGTGCGCATAGACAATCTGCAGAGCTTCTGGGTCGGAGATGGAGATATGGTTGGGTGCTATGCGGACGATTGGGCCTGCAGCATGAAGGTATACACGTTTGTATTAGAGTGAAACAAGAGTTTTGGTTCGGGCGGCACGCACCGTACTTGTTATGCATCTCATGCACAACCTCCGACCGATGACCTTGGGCCGCTACCCAACCGAGCCAAAGATCTGTAAACCGGGCCCAGAAAGGTCCAGGATACGAACGTATCCCGTGAACGTCAACAAGCCAAGGGATTACATGGGCGAGTACGAGGAGAACAGGCACGGCGACGAGACACGTCTTCCCATCGACGTTGGTGACGGCGTTGACGAGCGAAGCGAGCATGACAGATGCTCGTTCGGGGAAAAGAATGAATGAGAGTTCGTAGCGCGTCTGATCGCCTTTTTATACTTTCGAATGTGACTTGATCCTGCCGGGCGCGTAGGGCGGAAACACCTGAACGCGTCTCAATTGCCTCGTAAGGAAACTCTGAGGAACGATGCGCCTCCAGCCGACTCGGAACCCCTAATGTCATGTGGCGGCCAATTAGGAGCAAAAGATTGCGCAACAAATGCCGACCGAACTATTTACTGTGGCTCAAGCTTCTGACTGCTGAGGATATACATACTGAAGAGTACACCAAGAGTGTTCCCTTTTAAAACGGCATTTATGTCTCTGCAGTATCGAGAGTGTTTTTCATCATAGGGTTACGTATAGAAATACGTCTGTTCCAAGTCTGTTCAGGTGACTTCCCAACCGCACTTTGGTTGAGCCTGCTACGCCAAAATGAGTAAACTTTCTTATGTGAGAGGGAGGCCATATGTAGCTCGCCATACTCCATGCAGCAAGGTTGAAGCAAGGTTCAAGTTGGAGAAGGATGCGCGCTCCCTTGTGCGGATGTTCCGATGCCCGATAAGTATGTACTCGAAGCTTCTTCGAACATCTTCTTTCAATGCGTGCCTGCTAGGATTGACGAGGACGACTGGGTCAATCGTCAGGCTCAATGTTGGGCCAATACGAGATGCAGAAGTATCGGATTTATCAGGGTTTATACTACTTACTAATTCCACTGGCTTCCAATGCAGCCCATGAAGAGTCGACGGAAGTCGGGAAGGTTTGGACCATGAGGGAAGTTATTAATGGAGACTATGGACTCTTGAGTTGAATATGCTAGCGCTCAAGCATGATACCCATGGGCGCTGCGAGGGCAAGTATGAATCTGAATGTCTCTGGGCCGTGGTGGTGGCGAAGGTAGAACGCGCGCGCCACATCTGAACCTCCTCAAGACCTGTCGCGTCCGAATATCGGCCTTAAAAGATGTTCTGACCTACATGAACGCCCAGGACACGCCTGCATCTTATACCCCACAAGCCCACTCCCCGTCATTGATATCCACATCTCGCATCCAGCTAGTCCCATCTAGACCAGCGTAAAGGATATCAGCTCCAGACGAACCCTATATGAAGTGCATTCACAGCGCAGAGAATGGGCTCACAGATCGAACACCGCACCAGCGTAGGGCACACCTGTCCCAAAATAACCACCGTCATTCTATCAACCTCTGGGTTTCTATCGTCGACAGTCCCACTGCCATCCCAGCACCGCCCAACCCACAGAACAGCCAGGCTGCGAAGAGATTTGAACCCCGTGAAAGCGTGTGCGAATGTCTCGATACCTTTCTACTCGACCCAACCGAGAATGGAAATGTCATCAAATCAAGGTTAAATCCAGTCTTCGAGAAAACTAGGAAAACTCACCTCCGTTACACTGAGCCTTCCGTTATAGTATGTGTGCCTCAGCTCTAGCTCTTCGATCCATGGCAAGAACTTTCCCGTTGTTACCGCAACCTTCATGTCAATGTCGAACCTTTCTCTCTTCAAGATCAGTTTCCTCAACGTCCCCGAGAATACGTTCAACTTCTCCAACAATTGCTCCTCTTTACCCCACAGATAAAACATTACACAGTCGAAATCTAAAGTGGCATCCTTCAGTGGTGGCGGTTGTAGGACGTGTGATTCGCCACCAGGAGCTTCGGCGAATAAGCTATCGAATATTTGCCAAGGTGCCTCCATCTTTTCCAGTTTCCGAAGTGCTCTGCTTAAGTCTTGTTTGACCAGCGGATCGCTACCGCCCCCTTCATTGATCGTAATTGCGACATCTTCAAGATTCTCGTGTCTCCTCAGAAACTGATATACGCTCTCGTCACCTTGAAACGCGTCGAGAGAGAATGCCTGAAGGAGAGGACAGTGAATATAGGGTAAGAGTTGGACAGGGGCTAGATGGTGGTCGCGGCTGGTTGGGTAGACTCGAATCCCGGTAAGACGCAGAGAACGAAGGTTGGGCAGAATGTGCAGGATCGAGGTCAGGAGGGATTGGATTGCTGTCAATGTTGGTGGCGAAGGGGGAGTCTGTTTCGATGTGATCTGTTCGAGTCCGGCGAGTTCACGCCTGGTGAGCGAGTCGCTCAGAGCAGTTGGCAGTGATGCTGCTGGTGCAGAGTCGTCGAAGTTCGCGATATCGGAGGTTACGAATTTAGTGAGCGCCGTCGAAGGATCTGACACTTCTTGTCGCCTACAGTCCGAGTCTTCAGTACGCCTGTTCAAAATTTGTGACGAAGAAAAGCAACGAGCACTCACGTTATCTCCACGAACTCCATCCCTCGCACGCACATCGCTTTGTTCACCTTTCCCACTTTCAGCCAGCGTACACCTACACCTGCTGTCCCAATCTCAGATCCCACTGATGCCAATGCACCGTCACTCTCGCTTCCACTGGTGCCATCACCATCACTATACATCAAAACCTCATACAGCCTTAACAACCTTCCGAATAGCCTATCCGCCTCTTCCGTTGTTCCCACGTGGCAATCGACTTTGATGTCCTGGTAGAGAACGGGGTCTGTAGCGTCGAGGAGAGATTTAGAGGTTCGCCGGAGAGAGAGGAGGGTTGAGGTGGTGCAGAAGGGGAGGATCTTCTGGATGAGGTTTGGTGGTAGTGGATCGCGAGTCTGTGATGGGGAAGACAAAGGAATAGCTGTGGATGTCATGTTTGGGTCGCGGTTCAGTATCAAAGCTTTCTGTAGTTGTAGAAGGAAGGGTCGGGTTGGGGAGGGGAGGAAGGAGAGAGACTCGGATATATATGTGGTCGAGTCGGATACGCAGCGGTGCTCTATCACCGTTGTGGCTACGCTGAGCGCTTATACTAGTGACGTCTTTTCAGCGTCCAGAAGAGAGCGTTACTTCTTCTGAGGGCCTCGCTGAGCGCTTTGGTGTAAGCATCATGATTGAAAAGCAGTGAAGAGTCTAGTATGTATAAGAGTCAATAGCGTCATGGAACCTCGAGTGCTAGATAAGACTGCGAGCTGTGTCGTCAGAGTATCTATCCCTGCGCTCTGATCTTCGGAGTGAGTAGAGTTAGAGGTTGAATTGAACTACGGAAGAAGTAATAACTTACCTTCCTCCCCGATTAATCCGCTCGTTGATGACCCGTCGGTACCAACGCCCACAATACAAACAATAACCCCATCATACCCACCAACCTGCACCACAACATTACAGTAAGTCTGGTCAAAACAAAATACAAGCAGAAGAGTGAAAATACTCACAAAGGCTGCAGAGTCCAGATCCCGGCTTTCCCCGCAATCGCACCCGTCATAAACGGCAGCAACGCGCTCCCCGTTTGTCCAAAGCCCGCGATCCAACCGATACAGCCCGTAAGGAGCCAACGGGGAAGAATGCGTGAGGCTTCGTTCATCACGATGGGGTAAACTGGGCCGAGGAGGACTCCGACGAGGGAGACGGAGACGGCGCCTCCGATTAGGGAGGGGACGAGCCAGATCACTAGTTCGAGGCTGGGGATGGATGGACGGTGAGTGGCTCAAGTCTGTGGCTTGCGATGGCGGAGGAAAGGTGCGGGGCGGAGTAATAACTTACGCTATGGCGAGGGCGATGTAGATGAACAAGACGAGGCGTTCGCCGACCTGTTAGATAGAGTGTGGAGCGCATAAGTCAATGAACTGTTATGACCGATAAGATGTTTCAGTTCTTTTACTTTGTGGTTCACCCATAGCAGAGCCACTCGTCCGACGGTTAGCCCTGACAGTCGAAAGAATGATCCACGAGCAGAGAAATACATTAGGCGAGTAGAACATGGGAGAAGGATATATTACCTCCGAAGAATCCAGAAGAGATATAACCGGAAGAGTGGCCTCCACCGCGTACTTGTTGAATGAATGTGACAATCCATCCTGTGTGCACACCAGCCAGTCAGTATGTTAGTTTTGAAACAGAAGATACGGCCGCAGTAGTGAGAAGAGTAAAAGTTCAACGAACCTCCGATGGTGACCTCGACACCGACATACACCAAGACGAAGAAGGCTAGCAAATGCAATGTCTTGAGCCCAAGAATTTGACGGTACTTGCTGTCTTCGCTAGTCCCTGTCTCAGCACGAGGGTGGCCGATTTGGGCCATGCATTCTACATATGGAACACCGCAAAGAAACACAAAGAACACACAGTGCGGAGAGGGGTGAGTTTGGGTGTATAGATGGCTAGAAGGTAGAAGAGATGGACGAACCATCTTGGGTCTTGAATCTGAATACAGTGATGAGAAGGGCAGTGTTGGAGAGCGCGATACCGAGCGATACAAGGAAGTGGAACGACCATCTTGGCATTCCCGAAAATTGGGTAGCTACAAGCGGAGACGCGAATGCGCCGACACCTGCATGGGTGAAACATATCATCGGACCTTAGTAAGGATGATGGTAGAGAGGTTAGTAGTCTGACCATAGACAGCGTGAAGAATGCCCATCTTGGCATTTGAGTTGTGCTTGTAAGATGCCACGTAGCCATTAGCTTGAGCGTCCTAAGGCCAAGAGATGAGTACAGCGTCTAGGGTAGATAGGTGACAAAGAGACATACCTGTAGCGCCATACCAAACCCAGTGAAGGCAAAGGCAATGACGAAGAGCGGGAATGGAGGAGCGGCCGACATGATGCAGTAACCGGCGAGTTGAACGACAGAGCCGATGACGAGGGTCTATTGGAGGATATTTTAATATACAGATAGTACGGCAATACTGTGTAATAACTGACGATCCCAAAACCGAACTTCTCGGTGAGTTGAATGTTGGATAATGAGCCGGACACGAAGCCCTAACGGTAGCAGATGATGAATCAGCCCGTGTCTATACCTGTAGAAGAGAAAGTGCGGTTACTATGCAGTTTGCTATGAATATGAGCGACACGACGGTGAATCCGACCTGATCGTTGCGTCAGCTATCTGGCCTTGTGGACTGCGGAAAGAAAAGTCCGTTACATGGTACACCTCCTGTATCCTAGGAAGTAGCGGACCCGTGGTGCCATCATTCCAGCCGAGAAGAAACATAGCATAGCAAAGAGCAAAAAACTGGATCCTTTCTCTGAGCTTCGTAGATGGTAAGCTGGGATCGACCATGGTCGCAGGGTCGACTTCTTGACCCGCGGTGGCATCAAGAGCAGAGGAGGCTACTGAGGGGTCTGCGGTCCTTTCGGGGAGCTCCAGTTCCTCAGGCCCTTTATCACTCTTGCGAGCAAGACCATTGGATGAGTAGTTAGGTTGGTTCAGGTATAAGCCGCCTGAGTGAAGGTCTACAGCAGAGGCAGACTTCAGATCTACTGGTGGAGAGGGGTGTGACTCCAATTCTGTGGCAGTAGACGACTTCATGGTGCGCGGGCGAGTTTTAGTGAAACAAAGAACGTTGAGATAGTCGTGTTCATGAGCAAGGTCAACCCTGTACTTATAGTGAGCACAAAGCAGACTAGGCTGGGCACTTCGAGTAAACGTAAGGAAGCGAGTCAAGTAATGAGAAGTCAGAAACCGTCGAGCGCCATTGCTGAGTACTGTATCGGGAGAAATGTCGGTGAAACCAAACGAACTTACGTGGCGTTTGCGTGGCGCTTGGAACTGCCATATGCGGTATACGCGTTAACCCCTAAATTAGGGTGACGTGGCATGTTCCGCGCCGACGTTGTTTCACGACGCGCGACGTGTCCGTCAAGAACGTCACCAACATCTTCACCGTCTCCCGTCATCGTGTCCACTCGCAATGGCAAGCCCTGCTCAACAATTACCGCCAGGTTGGGCCGCTGACTGGTATGTTTGGGATATTTTAATGTTGGAACTTATCTTACGCTTTCTGCGAATGAAGGGACGCCGATAACCAACGCTACGTATTCATTGGTATGTACGATGAATGCTTCTTGCAAATACTCTTCTTAGAATTCAATATTTTTTAGAAACCGCTACCGGTCGTGCACAATGGGAGCCCCCAGCTGGCGGAGTTGAAGGTTCACCAGCGCCGACAAGCTCACCTCCACCACAGCACGGCGGCCATACCAAACGACGTCAATACGCCGCTGGCCAAACACAAGCGTATTATAGTTCGACCGATGGACTTGCTCCCCCTCCTTCGTTTGCTGGTGGCCCAGGTAGTCAATTGCAAGCTCCAGCAGCTGGCGGACAACTCTTTACGCCAGGTCTCGCTGCAGAGAATCAATTTGCTTCCCAGCAACAACAGCCCGGAGGTGCATCTCCTTACTATGGCCAACAACCCGAGCCAGACTACATCAACTCGCAGCAGGCATACGGTCAGCAGCCGTCTATGGGATACGGGCAGCCGCAACCGAATATGGGCGCGTTGACGGATCAATTTGGACAGATGGGTGTAGGCGGACAGAAACCATTCCAGGTCTACACAACAAACCTCCTCACCGCGCCCCCTGACCCCATCGAACTCTCCCGTCCGCCACCCGAAATTCGCCTTCCACCGAACGCTTCTATCTCTCCATCTCCGCACGCGAACGCTTCCCATTTGTACCAGCGGTCGACGCTCAACGCCATCCCCACTACCAGCTCGCTCCTCGGCAAGTCTAAAATCCCTCTCGGTCTCGTCTTGAACCCGTATCGCTCTGTGAAGGAGGGCGAGGAACCAGTTCCCGTGGTCACGGATACGGTCATTGCGCGTTGTAGACGGTGTAGAACATATATTAACCCTTATGTTCAGTTTATTGATGGTGGCAATCGGTAAGCGGCCTGTTGTTCTCCCCGCTTGTATCGGAGCTCATATTGCTTTAGCTGGCGATGCTGTATGTGCTCCATGTCAAATGAAGTTCCTCAGCTGTTCGACTGGGACCAAGTACGAAATCAGCCTGGAGACCGCTGGGCTCGTGCTGAGCTCAACCACTCCGTTGTTGACTTCATAGCACCGGCGGAGTACATGCTCCGACCTCCCCCACCTCCCGTTTATGTGTTCTTGATTGACGTCAGCCATAGCGCTGTCCAATCCGGTGAATATTCTTTCCATGCACTGGACCAATTCAATTCCGGGAATTGACCTCGTATTTTTGTGTATGTTAGGCATGGTCGCCACGGCTACCCGGGCATTGCTTGAAAACCTCGATCGCATCCCTAACGAGGACCAGCGCTCAAAGGTTGCCATCATCGGATTCGACACATCTCTTTACTTCTTCTCTATACCTGTGTGTCACCCCGTCATACTTCCATCTTGGCTTCGTATTGATTCTGGTTATAGCCTGGAACGACTGAGTCAAGTATGCTCGTCGTCTCAGATGTCGACGACGTCTTCTTGCCGAAACCAACAGACTTGTTGGTCAATATCACGGAGGCCCGTGCATCGTTGGAGGCGCTGCTCGGAAGATTGAACGACATGTTCCAGGAGAACCATGTGATTGGTAGTGCTTTGGGCCCTGCTCTGCAGGCTGGCTTCAAACTGCTCGTGAGTCTCCATCATTTTGCATTTACAAATTTCATGTTAAGGTCCGTCACAGTCTTCCGTTGGAGGAAAACTGGTGGTTTTGTCGTCGAGTTTGCCGAGTATTGGCCCTGGTGCGCTGAAGAACAGGGAGGACCCAAAGATCCTCGGAACGTCCAAGGTGTGCTAGAAACCATTCCGCTTGTTTGCTACTCAGGCTCAACCCTTTTGATACGATAGGAATCTGGTCTTCTGCAAGCCGCCTCTCCCTTCTACAAGACCTTCGCCATCGAATGCTCTCGCGCTCAAGTCTCTGTCGACATGTTCCTCTTTAGCGCCGCCTATCAAGACGTCGCTACTCTCGCCTGCCTGCCTCACTATACCTCCGGCCAGACATACTTCTACCCCGCCTTTAATGCCGCTCGTTCCGAAGACGCCGTTAAATTCGCCCATGAATTTGGTGAGGTCCTCGCCATGCCCATCATGCTCGAGGCCGTCATGCGTGTGCGCGCCTCGAGAGGGCTCAGAATGGCATCGTTCCACGGGAACTTCTTCGTCCGGTCGACGGATCTGTTGGCCATGCCCGCCGTGCCACAGGACACAGGATACGCGATCGAAGTCCAGATCGAGGAGACGTTGACGCAGCCTTTCGTCGTCTTCCAGACCGCGATTTTGCACACTACCTCATTCGGCGAGCGTAGGATTCGTACCGTCACACTCGCGCTGCCGACGACGGCGAACTTGTCGGAGGTGTTTGCATCGGCGGATCAGCAGGCGATTGCGACGCTGTTGGCGAATAAGGCGGTGGAGAGGTCGATCACGCATAAGTTGGAGGATGCGAGGGACGCGACGATGAATAAACTGGTGGAGATTTTGCAGAGCTATAAGACGAGTATGACGAGTGCAGGGAGTGGGGCGAGTGCGCAGTTGGCGCTCAGTGAGAATATGAGGATGTTGCCGGTGTTGGTGTTGGGCTTGTTGAAGAACGTAAGTCTTTCTATCTTACACTGGTCCTTTTCGTTCAGTTTATGGGATGTGGCGCTGATCACTTTGTTTATGACTGTAGGTTGGTGTGAGGCAGAGCGCGCAGATTCCGCCAGATTTGAGGGCTTATGCACAAGCTTTGCTCACTTCGTTGCCGGCGGAGCTGTTGATTCCCTACATCCACCCGACCTTCTATTCGTTACACAACATGCCTCCTGAGGTTCGTTACTTGATAAGGAATGCATACATCTCTCACCCTGACCTAATCTTTCTCTTTAGGCTGGAACCGTCGGCGAGCATGGCGTCATCATGCCTCCACCACTGCCACTCACTTCCGAGAGGCTGGAGAGGCATGGCCTCTTCTTGATTGAAGACGGCCAAACCATCTTCCTTTGGGTTGGAAGAGACTCTGTTCCTCAACTTATCATCGATGTTTTCAACCTCCCTAGCTACGAGGTTCTTCGCGGCGGAAAGGTATGTTGACCTTGACTTTCCTACTTCAAGCTACCCACTAATCATCACAATTCGTGGTATTTCTCTGTGGTGTTGCAACAGACGACTCTCCCATTGCTGGACAATCCCTTCTCGCAACGCCTCAATGCTATCGTCCAAAAGATCCGTGAGATGCGCAAGGGCGTGTATTACCCACATCTCTACATCGTCAAGGAGGATGGCGAGCCGCCGTTGAGGCTCTGGGCGCTTAGCGCGCTCATTCAGGATAGGGCGGACGTGCTACCAAGTTACCAACAATTCATTGGGCAGCTGAAGGATAAGGTGCGTGCCCTTCACCCTTCCTCCTTTAGTGTCCTTCCCTGTCTCTTTGCTCGTGTCTATGGCTGCGGGTTGCTGACGTATTTTTGGGTATGGCGTAGGTGAACGGATCGGGAAGTTACTAGATAAGCTCAACACGGAAGGGGGGAAAGCGAAGGGAGGATTCAAAAATAAGCTGCTGGCTTGTCGCTTGTGTGTGTTTCCTCGTCTGTGGCTAGTTCTCTCTGTCATTATTTCTTTGTTCATTCGTTCGGCCGTTTTTTTTTTCTTGCGTGTGGATGCGGACATATATATTTCGTATCGTACTGTTCAAAGTACTCAAAATTTGAGTTTTCTCCTCACTGTGGTGCCTGATCGCCCTGTCTGTACCGAGGAAATGCTGATCTGGCACAGTTGATGGAGTATGTTCATTCATATCGGGGCTTCCCGGAGGGTGGCGTAGTCTACTTGAATATGGGCGGTTCCCTGCACTGACGCTTGTCATACCTTGAAGCTTGAAGGTTGCTATAATCGCAGTCGCACCATAGGGCCTTGACCAGTCGCCGGTGGCCGACAACCTATTAGTACACGATTAGCCTGTTCGACTTCTGTTCTCCTTATCAGCTACTCTCAGGGTAGGTGGGATAATCGAATCGGAATGATGTCGGGTCTCCGTCGACCAACTTATATTTTTGCGCTCAAAGCGTGGAAGCTTGACATTCCACGCACGGCGGCTGGCTCTGCCGCCTGTGAAAGCCCCTGAGTGTCTTTGCCTTAGACTCGCTATTCTCACTCCTTGAAACTCGCAGTCTTCCTGCACTTACACTCCGCACTGTTTCAATCCTCTCATTTGGAAATGTCGTTACCTTCGATAAATGGAAGACGTCTCAACGAAACACTGCAGTACTCATGCCAATGGGGATGGTGCGTGTTTTTCATCCTTCCATCAGCCGCTCTTTCTCCAAGCTTGCAGCTCTGTTCATGTTGCCATGGGATGACTGTGCAGCACTCCAGATGGTGGAATGAGTACGTGTTTTAGATATTTATTTCGTCTGGCTGAGCTTATGGTCCGTTGGCAGATCGTGTGGCACTTAATGATGACGACGCCAAGGTGAAGAAATGGTTCATCTCAGAGGTAGAGAAGTTGGGATGTAAAGTGACGGTGCGTAGACGCGGTCCGTCCTGCTTGAATCATACTTCTTGCTAACTTGTCGTGCACTGATTCCAAAACAGATTGACCAGCTGGGGAACATCTTCGCGGTGCGCCCGGGACAAAACCCCGCTATTGCTCCAATTGCTATAGGCTCCCATCTCGACACGCAAGCGACCGGAGGACGCTACGATGGCATCCTCGGAGTGCTCACCGGACTTGAAATTATGAGAGCCTGTCACGACGCGGGTTACAAGTCCTTTGCTCCTTTGGCTCTGGTCGTTTGGACCAACGAAGAGGGATGCCGGTTTGCGCCCTACGCGATTGGATCTGGAGTTTGGGCCGGGGTATACGATGTTGATTTTGGGTGAGTGACTGTTCATGAGAACTCAGGCCGTGACGCCGACTACACGACTGTGGTCCGTATACTTAATGAAGGGTTTTTCTCCCAAAAGACATGCATGTGCGGATGTCGCGGGCGTGACGCTTGGATCCGAGCTCAATCGACACGGATTTCTAGATGGAGCTCGAACATGCTCGTTCGAAGCACAACCGCTCTCCGCTCATTTTGAGGTCCACATCGAGCAAGGGCCTATCCTCTGTTATTCGGACACACCATCTCCCATTGCCACAGTCACAGGCGCCGCCGGTCTTCGCTGGTACGACATTCATCTCAAGGGCATTGGGGCCCACGCCGGTACAACACCTATGAACATGCGCAAGGGGAAAGACGCAGTGATATGCATGGCTCACATCATTCTTGAGACGGAGCGTATTGCAGTAGAGCTCGGGGGACAGGCCACGAATGGTCGGATTGGCAGTGACGGTGCCCCACAGGCGTACAATTGCATTCTCGGTGACGTGGAACTCGGCCTTGACTTGCGACACAAGGACGAAGGTCAGCTGGACGTGCTCGCACGCAAAGTTCGTAGCTCGTGCGAGAAAATTGCGCAGGAGTATGGAGTGGAGATCGTAAAATGGAAGGAGGTGTTGAGGAGCCCTGTGATCAAATTCACTGAGGAGGCGGTGGAAGCGGTGAGGAATGCTTGCGCTCGTTCTGAGCATCCGAGGTTCGAATTGATAAGCGGCGCAGGGCATGACTCGTGAGTACCTTTTTGCTTTTGTTTTCTTCGTTTGGTAGGGTAAATTACGGTTTTGTTCCTGACGGGCTATACAAACAGATGCTACACGAACTTGAAATGCCCCACGGCGATGCTTTTTGTCCGATGCAAGGACGGGCTCAGTCACACACCACTGGAATATGCTTCTCCGGAGGATATGTGAGTACAGACCGTCTGTTTGTGCCGCGGAAAATGCTAACTGACCGAACAATAATGACCTACACTATCGCTAGCGAGGAAGGTGCTAAAGTGCTTCTTGATGCCGTACTTACCTACGACAAGACGAAGAATGCATCGTCGAGGACCTGATCGTGATCTTGAGGCCGAACAATTGTTGTCATGTTCCTATATGGTGTACGATAGCACGGTGAATTCCATTATAGACCGTCCATTGCTATGCCGGCATACTATAGGGAGTGCTCGGAGAAGCAGAGCAAGTAAATCGTGTTATACGAAGGGTATCTGGGCAATAAATCATGGAACAAAGCAAAGAGCGCACAGCCGACCAGCGGCCAGTTCAATTACCAGGGTATCTCGGCAAGTCAGTGCCTGCCTCCGACGACGCTTCGTCAGGCCCTCTTGCCCTCTCCTCTTGCCACCTCAACCGGTCCACAGCGCTCATCCCACCGGGACCAGGTCTATCCATCCTCTGTTGCAGGAAATTGAGGAGTTGGTTCTCGAAGACAGGGTCCCGGTCTTCGAACAGTTGCTCAATGTCTATGTTGCTGTGCCCCCGTTCCTCTAGTGGCGGTGGCCCAAGAGATTCGACCGCGGAGGACGGTGGCGGTGGGATTGCTGAAGGGTCCGAACGTGAATGCGATGAAGAAGCCGAGGCAAGCCCTTCTGAGAGTAAACCGCTAGAACCACGTTCCCTCATCGTCTCCTGCTCGCGGGCCAGCATATCTCGTTTGCTCATTGCGCCTACTGGGACTAATGTGCTCGAGTCTCGTGTGCCTGGGCCAGAGCTATGGTGCGGGGAAAGGTGACGATCTTCTCCCATAAACGGCTCAACGATGAGTTCTGGAGGTTTGTGGCGTGTGTTTTTGGCGGATAGGTCTACTGCGGCATATTCTTTTCGTTTTCGCTGGCGTCGTAGCCAGAAAAGAAGCGCCCCTAGACCAACGGCGCCGACGACACAGCCGACGACTATGCCCCCGATGGTACCACCGGACAGAGTATTTGAGTCGTTCGTAGCTACCGGCGTAGAAGACCCTGAGGCAAAAGATGCGGATGATGTCGCAGAAGCGGACGATGATGAGGTGGTGGAATTTGATTCGCCAGGTGCAGCAGCGAGGATCCAACCGATACTATACCATGTTGTTAGATCCATGATGCATGACGGTCCATGATAGGAGGAAACGCACGGGCAAAAGGTCAGAGTGTAATCCGCTGTTTGGCCTCCGGGACAGGTGAGATTACTCTGTAAGGCTCCGGAGTCCTCGTCGTAGGCTGGATATAACAAACGTACATGTGTATCAGAGTGAGGACGGTCATAACGTTACGAAGTAGACGTACGCGATACATATGTCGAGGGACAGTATTGGTCTGTCGTGTTCACATAGTTCATGAGCGCGCCTAGCGACATGAGCAACCAACTTACGGTACCAATTATAGTATTCCTCTGATGGCTGTGTCAGTTTATTAGACCGAAACACGAAGACCATGGCATGGAACTTACCGTATGTGCAGTCAGTTGAAGCTGCGACATATGCGGATCAGCGGTCCAGCTTTGTTTCTGTTAAACGGAGATGCTCACCCGTGGTTTGGTTTAAACAAGGACCTAGACAAGACAAAACTTTGCCATTTTGTACTGGGCCACGCAATTCTGAAGGGCCTACACATACAATATGGGTCAGTACGCCGGTTTGCCACTCAAAGCCAATTGAATCCGAGCCTTAGCCTTACAGTTCACCGTAAAGTTTGCTGAGCAGTCAACACTAGGACACGCGGTACTGGTCTTGATCTCTACAGGTACGTTGGCTCCATCGACACTGTTCCCAGGAGATAAGTTATTGAAGAAAAATTCCGACAGTGAAAGGCGCAGAACTAGAATACAGAAGAACACGACCTACAGAGATATGTCGTAGAAATCCTCGCCTCCGCTACCGGCCAGGGAGAACTCCATCAAGGTAGCAGCGGTCCCACCGACACCACTCGTGCAGTTCATATCACCACCTGCCAAAGTCAAGATCAAATTATTCAGTGTTAACTACCAGGATCGCGTCATGCTCAATGTGAGTTAGAAGACAACGAACAGTCACCAACGGCACAGTTTGCACCGGAAGAATCGCAGCTTTGCCTTGCCCCTGCATGATCACCCGATCAAAAAAGAAGACAAAGAAGCGATCAGTATGGGGTATGCTCGACATGAACACAATGAGTAAGAGAAAGATAGGAAGGTTAAAGGACCTTGACCTCGAGGATACTCACATATGCGGCCCGACCACTGGTCAGGCAGAGCGATGCTAAATGACGTATTGGAGTCTGCCTGCCACCCGATATTCGAGAAGGAAGAAGAGCTTGAAAGAGTAGTGTAGCTCGTGACTGCCGGCCATAGTGTGTCCGAACACGCGTTGTTAACCGTCTGTTCAACACAGGAATTCGAAGCAGTCGTGTGAGGACCGTGCGTCTCGGGACCGTGCCCAGACACCGAGGGGTGAACGCACCAATTTACGGTCTGCCCCAGCAGAGGATATCAAAATACAAAGGAGCGGAAGGGTAAAGATGACATGGAAACGTGACATCGATGATGGTGGTCAACAACAAAGAGGTACTGCACTAGAACTGATGATGTCGGTCTGACCACTGCGTGGTTAACGAATTTAGGCGCCCAAATAAGACTTCGCCACACGTAAACGTACTTCCTGGGCCACATCGTTCGCCACACAAGTCGATGTACTCGGTCAGAAAAATCATCTGGATACAAGTAAATTTTTATATTCGATGTACTATGCTAATTGCGGTCAAAGAGGACAAGGCGATCTAAAAGGACGTACTAAGTTTAACGTCGCGCCCAGCGGGATACTTATATAGATGTCACCGAGGTGTTCGTGAGCCAATTCAACGCCAGTGTGTCATTACTCCGCGGGCAGCAAGAGGCACCACATACTTATCATATCCTTGGAAGCTAGAAGATAGCTAGGAGACAAAAAAAACTTTGGAGCACGTAGTTGACTCGTAGAACGTTAATGTGGCCTCAGTCAAAGCGCCGTCAAAGCGTCGACTCTCGAACCTGATTTGTCCTCGGAATCCGGCAAATGCCGCGCGTTCTTGAACAATCTTTCTGCACGGTCCGCATCCCGAGCGCCTCCACCATTTCGCCTCTGACAATTGACAAGTTTTTGACAACAAAAGGTGCGTGTTACAGCACCGGTACCCCGACGTGCGGTAGTATGTACACGAGCGAACAAAATACAAAGACACTCGGTGTTTTATATCTACGAGCCTCTTCGTTGCATGGATTCGGATGTTCAAGGAAGTCCTTGACTCGTCGAAGGACGTCGAACGCACACGGTTGGGCCCACCCCGATCCGGAGACAATTACTCCAGGTTACTCCACTGCGTCAATTACTCTCGCGTTGTAGGGCCTGGGCTCGATAATTTCGCGTAAGAACATACGAAGGTACCCTTCTCGAGAGCAGCTCGGACCGGGATACGTCGTTCGCGATGATGAAGGTGGGAGTGAGGGATGGAGGGTTCGCGAGCAATGAATTCATTGAACAATGCTATCCAGTCACTAGCATTCTACGGAGAGTTCGAGGACGAATCATTCGAACCTTGGACGCGCTCACGAGTCCAGGATTGAAATACACAGCGGACGTTCCTCCGTACCTGCCGCAAATATTGGCAACCATCTGCGGCTTTTAGAGTAGCGCATCCGAGGACGTCAATCCAATCCATTCGCGTGCCTCAATTGTCATCGCACGTCAGCGAGCTTCCCTTCGAATCTCGATAGACGACAAACAACGAGGTCCTTCGAGGAATTCGTGGAGAGGGGCAGGAGAGGGACCTTTTGCAAATAATTCACCGTTCTTTCACCCTCCGTCCCGGTCCGTGGGGCTAAATCTCTCCGGTCTCCCACGAAAACTCCTTGACTCGGAACACTCGTCCCGACCTCCGACCTCCCCACCCAAAAATGACTCTCACAACCCGAGCCTGGGGTCAGGGTTCCGACCCGTTCTGGCACTCTGTGGGCACGCAGTAATATTTATAATCTGCTCGGCGTGTAAATCGCAATACAGTAGATATGCTCATACGGAATAAGGTCGGGGAGGTTATTCCGTATCAGAATAATTGCTTTAACAATGTCAATTGTTCCTGTAAATGCACACAAATTTTCACATATCATCATACTATGCATTAACACATATCTGGGTGGTCAAAATGATAGCACAAGCTCTCAAGGGGTCTCCTTGAATTATTCTTTGAAACCGACCACCTTCCTTTTATGGTAATTTATTCCCTATCGGCGTATTCCGTATGAGCGTATCGACTGTATTTTGTCGGGTTCGTCGGGGGCGTGCTTTGGGGACTGAAAATCGAGGTGGCTGGGGATGTGGAGAGTCGAGAAAGTGCTCGGAGGTGGTACCAGGTGATTCTGGCCGCAAAGTATGGAGGGGTCGACATGGATCTTTTTGTGTCGAATCGTGTTCGGATGAGTTGGGGAAAGTGAAAGACCGTGGAATCAGGAATCTCAGATGATGACTGTCGGTGGAGGTAGTAGTCCTACTTGGGAGTTTGGAAAGGTGACTTGTGAGGCGTGAGGCGTGAAGTTCGAGGATGTTTCCGTAGCCTTGACCTCTTCTGTCCTGGTGGTCGATCCTTCCAGCGATCCGAGGTCATTGGACTAGGTCCTCGAAGTCGATGTACAGACTTTCCCATCAGCCAAGTCCAAGACCAAGCATTAATGCCGCAGCGTCAATAGACATAGTTAAGAGGGGGGCGCTCGGAACGTTCCTAAGCCTCGGGCTCCTCGTCATAACGGCCTTGCAGGATAAGCCCTCGTACAGCGTCTGCAGACATCGAGGAGCAGGTCGAGACGGGCAGGAGCTGTGTGGATGTATGTGTTAGACATTCGTCAACTCGGACCGAGTTCCAGACGAAGTCTGAACGAGATTGATGGCACAACGTACGTTCGTCCATCCACATCGGCAACACGCGCGACCATGAGGGCACTTCGCAGCATGAAAAAGGGTTCTTGATATCCAGGTCGCCGAGGAGCGATGGTAGAAAGCTGCAAGCCTTGAGGCAGAGGAGTGGCCATAATTATTGCGCGCTATAACAGGTTGCTGTCTGGAGGCATAGAAAGACCGACTTGTGGTGCGGGTACTGAGAAGAAAGTTCGAGGAAGCGAAATGCCATTACAGATAGAGGCCATTAGATGGGACAGAGGGGGCAACATCCGTAGCCTTACCTCTTCCAGACTGAAGGCCTGACGCCCGACGTGGGTGAGTGGCCGAACCTTCCCAGCAAGCCAACGTCTTTGGACCACGCCCAAAGCCGAGTCGTTCGTGTTCAGCTTAGACCCCAAAGGACACCAGCTCCAATCCGAAAGACCTGCGCGCCTGAGTTTGCCTCAAGCTCATCAAAGTCTCTTGTTACAGCGACCCATCCAGTCAGACAGTCTCTTCGAATGAAGCTTCCGAGGCCACTCCAGAGCAATGACCCTTGACATGTTCATATGCAAGCAAGCCTGCGAAGTGTAGCACGCTGGAAGTTTCCTTTCGGACCGAACGTCCTTGCCTTCCGACGTCTAGCCACACAGGCTATTCGTCCATCCACAGTGTCAGACGATAGCAAGTCGGCAAGCTGCGAGACGGAGATCACGAAACATCCAGAGCTTTGCGCCACACTAGTGACTCGGGACAATTTCAGCGAGCCACAAGGGGTGTAGCAGAACGTTGAATTGGATACAGATGAACGACCGAGGAGTAAACCAAAAATACATCACACACCATACGACGTGTATCGTACAACGGCATCTCCTTTCTTTGCTTGTTTATTCTTCGTCGCGATCACTGGCGGTGATAATGGTAACGACTACCGACCCATCCATCCCTAATGGCACAAGTGAGAAGAGAAAAGAGAACCGAATAAGCATCAGCTGATATAATCCCAAACAGGCATACACGAAAGTACTTACTCCATCAACAACGAGCAGTTCGCCACAGACATACTGGCTCGCCCCACTGGCGAGAAACACAACAGGGCCCGCGAAATCCTTCGGTTCGCCCCATCGGCCCGCAGGAATACGTTCTGATATCTGGCGGAGACGGACCGGATCGGCTAAGAGCTTCTCGTTCCTGTTGGTGAAGGCGGGTAAAATTATGTGTGAAAGGACAAAATCGCGATTAGTTTCCAGTCCGGCGGAGGGATTTAATGAGAAGATGTCCGAAATTAAGGGATAGGGCGAAGTCATCTGAAAGGGATGGAGGGCAAAGAAAGTTTCGGGCTTCTCAGGATGTTCGCGCAGCATGTATGGGCAGCGCGATCCAGAGGCCATAGAAGTCATCGCCGTGGAGGCATGAAGCAGCACGAAGAGAGGAGCGCTCGACAGAAGGATCTGCCAACGTAAGGCCGTGGCCTCTGATCACAGACCATACGGCGGATGTGGCCCGTATCTCCACACGCATGCTTAAAAGCAATTTAAGAAAGAACATGGTGGCGCATCCGGTGACAGACAGGCAGAACGACGAGGGAAGGATCTAGTCAGAAGGGAAGGGCACGTACATGTCTGTGGCAATGTACCCTGGTACGATGCCGTTAACCTGCACGTTCTCCTTGCTCCATTCGTTGCTGAGGGCCTTAGTGACCTGACCGAGCGCGCCTTTGGCAGCAGCGTAGGCCGGCACGGTCAAGCCCCCCTGGTAAGTTAAAAGCGAGCAAAAATTGATGATTTTTCCCCGACGCAGCGATACCATGTGCCGGCCAGCCGCTTGTGAGAGGAGCCAAACGGACTTCAGATTGACATTCAAGACCTATGGTACGTAGTATCATTAGCGGGGTATTAACGCAGGAGAGACGGTAAGAAGCAAAACGCGGTAGGGTAGATGCAACAAGTAGGAGCCATGCCTCGATGGGCAACTCTGTAGCAACATCAAGGTCGCATGCTATCTAACCATCTATGCAAGGGTGGATGAGCAGCTTACGTCGTCCCAGTCGCCTTCAGAGAAGTCTACACTCGGTGATCTCCGTTGTATTCCGGCGCAGTTGACAAGAACGTGTATTTGGCCTCCCATCTTGTCCAAGGCTTTCTGGAAGAGACCCTTTACGGCATCTAGGTCGCTCAGGTCGCAGAAAACGTATTCGGCGACGGCACCCAAGGCCCGAAGGGTGTGAATGGTGGCCAGGTTGGGGTCCGCGCCCTCTGCTGGTTCGCGGAGTACGAGGCACAGAGACGCACCGGCCTCTGCGAGCGCTTTTGCGCATGCGGCTCCTATGCCTGCCGGTGGATGAGTGAATGTACGAGAAGAGATAACCGGACGCCACACAACAGAAAGGATCGTCGTATGGGTGGACGGAAAGGGCGACCGAGAGGCAATGTGTAAGATAGCGAACGCGGCGGTCAGGGTGCATGTTAGAAGTGTGATCTGGAGATTTATTCAAAGGTCTGTGTATTTCGGATTGTACGTACCTCTCGTGCCACCGGTCAGGAGGACATTTTTGCCTGATAGATCAAAAAGCTTTGGGGTAGGAAGAGGAGGAGTGGGATCCATCTCTCGTGAGGGCTATGGACTATTGGCAAGAGAGAAACTGAAGGAGGAAGAATGAGGAGCGATTCGGATGGGGACGACGTCTTGGATGATGCAGGCTACGTTCTTATGAACGACCCTCGCGAGGCTGGGCAAGTTCCCCGGATCGGGTGGACGGTACGGGTTGCCGGGGGGGATGGGACTGTCGAGCATGGGTATGAAATAGAAAATACTGGAACGGGAAAATGGAGTGGAGGAGAACGGCTGGTAGAAAGGCGGCGAGGCGTGCAGATTCTTCTTCAGAACCGCCTGGCACTTGCCGTACCGCGTCAGATCCGATCTCCTGTCTACCCAGACTAGCGCGGCAGCCGGTCCGACCTGGGCCTCTCCCTCCTCCTCCACTCACAACTCACGAGACCGCTCGCTCGAACACAGCCGTATAAATACGTCCCCGAAATGTTTCTCTTCAGACCCCACCCCCACACTATTCTACGCCCCCCCTCGCTTCCCAACACATCCTACCATGTCTCCCGTTGCTCTTCCTAGCCAGCATGCTGCTGTTCTCTATGGTCCCAAGGACCTCCGTTACGAGGAGCGTACCCTCTGGCCGCCTTCACAAGGCCAAGCCCAGGTAGCCGTCGTTGCTACTGGTCTTTGTGGAAGTGACCGTATGTCGTCATCTTCGTGCTTGATCGCCGTTACCCAACACTGACCAACGAAATTCATTATAGTTCACTACTTCATCCATGGCAGGAACGGGGACTTTGCCCTTCAGGCGCCCCTTGTCCTCGGCCACGAAGCCGCGGGTATCGTTACTGCTGTCGGTCCAGGCGTGACCAACGTCGTACCAGGACAGCGCGTCGCCATCGAAGCCGGCGTTATGTGCAGCAACTGCAACTATTGCTCGTCTGGCCGATACAACCTCTGCAAAGGTCTCCGCTTCGCTTCCAGCGCGAAGACATTTCCCCATCTCGACGGCACTCTCCAGGAACGTATGAACCACCCGGCACACGTTCTGCATCCGTACGTGGATATGTTACGTTGTTTACTTACCGTGCAGCCGTCTCACTATCAATATCCTGCTTCTTTGGCGCCCTGTCCTCTGGTTCGCATAGACTACCGAAGGATTGCTCCTTTGAGCGTGCCGCACTCGCCGAACCCCTGTCTGTTCTCATCCACGCTTCACGACGCGCCCAATGCAAAGCAGGACAGCGCGTCCTCGTTTGCGGTGCTGGTGCTATCGGTCTCCTCGCCTGTGCTGTCGCAAGGTCGACTGGTGCATCCCGCGTCGTCGCCATCGACATCAACCATGCCCGCCTCGACTTCGCCAAGTCGCAAGGTTTCGCCGACGATGTCTTCTGCCTACCTGCTGGTCCTCGCGCTAAATCGCCTGAAGAGTCATTGCGACGAGCAAAGGAGACATCGGCAACGGTATTGAAAGCGTTCGGCGAAGAGGATGGATTCGACGTGATCTTCGAATGCACAGGCGCGGAGCCGTGCATCCAGATGTCCATCCACGTAAGCGTCCTTTTCCTCTCCATTTCCACGCTATCCTCAGACGCGCCCGACATTCATCTGGAACTAACTCCTCTTCATTAGACTGCCATGACAGGAGGCAAGGTTATGCTCATCGGGATGGGCACTCCGAATATCACACTCCCCCTATCAGCAGCGGCCCTGCGCGAGGTCGACATCCTCGGGTCATTCCGCTACGCAAACACCTACCCAGAAGCGCTCTCCCTCCTCGCCTCAGATAAGCTTCCCAACATCGACGCCCTCGTCTCGCATCGGCTGCACCTCTCCGAGACGAAGGAGGCCTTCGAGCTCTTGGCGAAGGGTGTTGACGAGGACGGGCGCATGGTCCTCAAAGTCGTCATAGGCCCCGGTTCGGAGGCTTAAAATTAACAGGCAGCCGGACCTTTCTTATGTTTCTTGTTTGTTTTTTGTTTATGCCTTCATGCATTCCGCTTTCGATCTACACTGTGCTGGTTTACAATGACTTATTAGACCGTTCACTTTTCCAAGCCTCGTACAAATGTTGTTTTTTCTAGCCTTTTCCCTCCTCTTCTCGCTCGTCGGTGCTCTTCGTCGGGGTCACGGTGTATACTAGAAGGACCATTCTTCTTTTTCCCCTCTTCTCCAGGTCGTTTGTAGGAGTATTACGGTTGCTGCATGAAACACATCCAAGTTCATCTCTCTTGCATGCTCATTACTTCCTCTTCTTGACATAGCCTAGACCGCAACTTGTCGAGAATACTTACCTCGTTCTCCGCCTTACTTACCTCCCGTCTTGCTGTGTCAATCTTTTTCTGTCTTACCCTTCTAGTCACAAACATTTCTCTCAAATCAAACCATCCGCTTACCCCGTACATACGCATCCACGCATCGCATTCTTCTCTTTTCTTATTCTTTCCATGCTTCTCAACCAAGTCATGCCCCTTGTGGAAAAATAAGACGCGTTCGTCGCCCTTTGTCTCTGGACCATTCATTTTCCGTCCGAAACACTTGCAGTTTCGCCCTATCAACGGTCAAAGCCTCGACGAATATTCTCATCACAATATATCTCCGTCAGTCATCTTCCTCTTCGTCCCAATCTCCGTCCCAGATCCAATCGCTCGCACGCACGCAGACTTCCCGGTCGGGGTGCCCAATCCACCGCCTTCGCCTTCATTATCCATTGATCCTCCGCGCTCCTTCCTTCCTTCCTTCGAAGTCTGACTCATTTTCAACTCGAATCACCATCATGTCCGCGGACCACCGCAAAAGAAGAAGAAAAGAAAATCGGAAAGATAGACGATACACGATACACTGGCACGCTGCGTCCCAAACGAGGCTTCCGTCCGGCTATGTTCGTCTTTGAGGTTATATCCCCGACGCCTATAGGACCTGGTGGCTGGGTCTTACGCGGACTCCGTCTGTATCTCTTTCTTGAGTCGATAGGACTCAGGCTGGCGCAGATGATCCATCATTGACATCTGTAACTCACTGATATACCGGTGTGTCTTCGTCTAGGCCTGCCAGCGCCGCATCCTCTACTTAGGGCAGTCATGTTCTGCCTGTGGTCTGATTTGTTACTCGAGTATGAATGAATTTTCGATGAACAACTCGAAGTCGAAACGCATGCGTTTGCGCCTTAGACCTCAGGGCGTCATCGCCGCCCCCCGATGTCTCGCCTGTTCTACTACAGCTACTTATAATTAAATAATCGCTCTCATCCGTCGTCCTCTTCCGGCCTGAGGCCTCTGAGGTTCTCCACGTCCTAGGCCCTCAAGACCTTCTTTACGGTTTATCTTGGCTCTACACCCGTCCAGTCACACGCCCGCGGCCTGAGCTGCAGATCCACGACGGGTCCGCTATTTTAGCTTCCAAAGCAGAGAGAACTTGGTCCAAGGATGGATGCCAGTGGATGGAAGGAGAGAGGCGCACTCTGTTCGTTCGAATAGCGCATGGGGGTACCAATCAGAGCGAGAGACCCGAACCTGCCCGATCGCGAGTCGTTTGAGTAGATCGAACGGCGAAGTTCAACTTTCCAGCGTCTTTCCTTGATTATCATCGAGGTCCGATCTCGAATGAGTCGAGGCAGGTCTCCTACACGCCAGTGGCACTGCGTCTCCGAGTGGACGATGGATGATCGTCGTTCGCCGAGCTGGAACGTTCGTTACCTCGAAATAACGTCAGACTTTGATAGCTCTCCTTTTCCTCACGCAAAGAAGAGCGGTGTATCGGAAAGGAGTCTCTCATTTTCTCCCACCACGCTCTAACTTTAACCTGGGGCCGCCGCACGCAGCCGCTCACGGACCATTCCTGTTGCATGCGCAATATGAGCACATTCTGCGACCACCGTCCACACGCTTCAAGAACCAGTTGCGGAGCGGCCTAAGCCTATAGCACGAACCCGACCAGAAGATCTGCATCGTCGCGCGGGGACTCGGACTCGGACTCTAAGTTGCCCGCCAGTTCATGATTACACGGGTATTAAACCATAAACGTTAACTATCTCAAGCCAAGCTTCGTGAGGGTACCCTAATGCACGGGCTAGAACATGCTCTGGTTCGTAGAATGGACACTCATACTCCCACTACCACCGGACCGTCTCGAAGGACCATCGACTTCATGAACGTCTTAATCCGACTACTACTTATCGTAGTAAGTATTAGGCGCCGACGATAGAATTGTATTCCTTCCTCCGATTCGGGATGTTGTCCACGGTGAAGTGGGAATCAATCACTGTGTCTGTGGGCATGCGGCCCGCAAAGTTCCTGAGGGTTACAGTAATAGGATCTGAAGGTATTTAGCATAGGCGGATATCCGCAAGGAGAAGCAGCCAAGACAGCGCTGATACGATGCGTATTACAGCAGCTGGATGAATTGGGCGAGGGTTGCCGTTATATATATGTTATCCGAGTGAACGACGCCGATGTGCAGGTAACTTCACCGCTGCTCAACGGACAGCCTCTGAATCTAGAGCTCCAGAACCGGTATATCTCGTTGTTTACTTGTTGCTATCAAGCAAAGCGTAGCCCGCTGGCCCCTGTGTGGCGTCCGCACCCCTTGAACTCCGAATTCCAGAGTGCGGATCGTATCGAACAACATGCACCGGAAGTTCATGATCAACATCTGTATAAAGTTACCACGAAGGCTCGGGACGAGTTTGAGGACAGAGTAGATCCCATCTTGGGATGAGCGATGCTGAGAGGAACTCTCGAGATAAGAGTCGCGAGAGCTGCTCTTCAATAATCGCCGCTGAATGAAGCCTCCAGGGGCCCATTAAGCCCTGAGCGCTGAGCAAAACACCAATATAGACAAAGTAGGGAACCGATCTTAGAAACCACAGTAACGCTGCTATGACTGATATGACCAGTCCAATACTGACAATGGCATAGACCGGGCTCAGCTAAACCGCTGCAGAGGCACGATTTTATGCTCTAGCGTAGGGCCGGGAGCCTGACAATCGCGCGTCTGGCATGCTACTCAGCCCCCCTAATCGGCCAAACATATGGCGCCCGACTTACCGCGCATGTCAGTGGAGTATGAGGTAGTCCATGTGGGGTATTTTGGAAAAAATGATGGCCCTGCCAGTAAAAATCAGCGTGATGTGGTCTCATGATGCCACCAATTTATTGCACCATCCTGGTCTGTTCGAACACCCATTCCTCGGAGGCTTCGATCAAAGGGTACCCGTAGGCACAGGTGTGGAGCCGCCCAATATCACGAACCCAACTGACAGGCGTAAGTATACGATGAAAACAAGGAAGAGGCCGCGGCTTGTGCCAGTATGGGCGTTCAGAGGAAAGAAAACCAATATAACATCAGCATTCGGTTCGCAGACACCGAAGGCGCACATCAGCACCACTAGTCCACAATAACTCGCAGGAGTCATGGTATCATAGATGAATCCACAGAGTGGTCCCACAGGCAGGCTGCTATCGCATAGATGCTCGGAGAAAGTGGAGCAAATTATCGCCGTGGAGCTCGAGGTGTGAAAGAGCAGAAGGTAAAGGGAGCCATGATTCCAACCGGCGATGATGGAATCCTCAGCGGAAGGTTCAACTTAGACCGAAAGTCATCGGGCCTCATGTCGAAGGCCTGCTGGGATGAAGGAGAAAAAAATCACGACGTTTTCGCATAAGACTTCTGATTCCTGCAAGTAAAGTGGCCGACCGGTACGACCTCCACATTCATGCAGGATTTTAGAGTCAATGTATCACCTGGGCAGTTGCATGATATGATTACCCATGGTGAGATAGCTGGCACCCGATGAGGAGGATGATGCCCATGCGAAGATAAACAATTAGACGGTGTCGGGCGTTTCAACGAACGGCTGACGCGTCGCATGTTGTGCTACGAGATAGTGGCAATGACGATCGTTTAGGGCCAACGGACAAATCGAGAGATATATCTGCAGCTTTCATTATCATGAATCTCTCTGCACCCTCGAAAGCTTCAATGCAAAAGTATGAACTTAAACAAAGGCAACTTTGACGACCGCCTCCCAAATGGCGTTCGGGTTGTTGACTCTGTAGAGTGATATGAACGCGGCAATCAGCAAATTGTTAATACCTTGTTGGGACACATGGATCGGAGCAATACGATTCTCAGTGTTTGAGGCCCAAAGCTCACAAAATTAGAGTAGAGCAGAAAGGAATAAAAAGATTTGGGAAGAGACATGAGAGGAAGAGTGATGGGAAACTGGAAGCAGATTACAAAATACAACTCACGTGCTCGCCGTCAACGGAAGGTTGAAGTCTGCGGGATGGTCTTGCCATTCTGCGGCGAATACAGAACATCAGAATTTCGGTCAGTATAGGAGTTAGTCGAGTCCCAGTTAAACTGCGTGGTCAGAAGTCGAAATGGAGCATAATGCTTCCTAACGAGACCCCATCCCTGATAGTAATAGCGCCAGAAGAGACGCGGATAACGGGTCCTAGAAATAGAATCAGAATGCGCACCTTCGGGCTGTGTTGTGTCGTCGATACCAAATCCGAGCCTCCAGGTGAGACCTTGGACACTATTGGTCATGCTGCAAAAGGAGACGAAGGTTAATCGCGTCTGTTCGTGGATACAGAAGAGCTGGGGAAAGAGGTCAAGAAGGACGGAGCCCCAGATCGTGAGACGGAGTCCACATTTCGTGTGTGGTTCAATCAAGTTGTTCGTAGATAGGGTGCTTACAAGTCAGGTGGCGCCAACGGGTTGTCCTTGAGCTTTACGCTCTGTGAGGCGCAAAGTTGAGCGTCAGTGAGCAGCGAAAGCACGTGTGACAGCGACGTGACAAAAGGTATAGTGCCAGAGTACATGCCTTGACTTCCGTATCCATCGTGGAAAAGTCGGAAGACTGTCCACCGACGGTGCCACAATACTGTTGCTGCACGTCTTCTTTCCCGCCAACAACAACGGTCTTCGCGCCTTCTTCTTTAGCCATCGTTATCTAGCGCCGGGATTTAGGATACTTTACCCGTCAAGGGAGAATCTGACACTCACGCTGAAAAGAGAGCAAGAACTGGCACATCTAAAATCTAGATTCAGTGCCGCGCAAGAACGGAAGCTAGAGATGAACGTGGGTTACGCACCGCCCATTGGATACGATAGCTACCCTGGTGGGATCAAAGAGAGCCTCATCCGGAGGAGTAATCTCAAAAGGTTGGCATTCCTGCCCTAATCTGGACGCGGAGCACCTTGGGTCAGCGGGGCGTACAAGCGCTACCTCCGCGACAGGCAACACGAGATATGAGCGTGGCACACGTACCTTTGGCTGAACGCGTCCGAGTGATTGTTCACGATCACGTCAACTGGCGGATCTAACCAATTCGTCTCTGCGGGCATTGCAGTCCCGTTTGCGAAGTTCCAGTTCAAAGGATTGTACATGAGGAGATCATCTGGGTCTGCACCGGCGGAAATGGCGTCTACAATTAGTCTGGCAATGGGCTGGGCTCTCGTTTCCGTGGCAGGCAATCCAGCAGAAGGAACGGAGGTATCCTTCGGTCCGACAATCTGCAGAGCATTGGTAAGTTCCCTAGCGGCATGGATAGTGAGAAGGCATACAATTCGATGTAACCACTACATGAAGAAGTCAGTCTACGGTTCATGGAAGAAAATTTTCGCGCTGGACGTACATGTGCAGCACAAATAAAACCTTGTTGGATAAGAAGGAATCAACCGTGTGACGATGATCAAGAAGAGAGCTATTAGGCTCACCTCCGCCGTTGTTTGTCTATATAAGCATGAGCCTCTCAGATCAACTTGTGAAGGGGGAAAAGAAGACATACGACGTCTACAATAAGTTGAGTGGCACCAGCGTTCTTCAGTGTCTGCAGACCGGTGAGCATATTCTGCATGAACGGCGTAAGGGAGGTGTCCGAGAAACTCCCAAGCGCGAACGCCCCAGTGACATTGTCCGACAACATGTAAAACTGGGCTACAGAACTGCTACCGTTTAGCGGTGTACCCGGAGGTATCAAACCCGGTGGGAGCGTGGCGTCTGCGATGGGTTTGTCGTCGAGGCTCACGCTGACGGGATGTTTACGGACATCCGGGCTGCTGATAAGGGGTTGTTGTTGGAACTTCACGATAGGCCTGTTTGGGCTGACGGCCTGGGACAAAGCAGCGGATGAAGAGACTGAATCCGCGTATACATCAACGCCATTCGTGGTATTCGTAGCAACGCAGTTGAGCGCGCGATAGGAAGCACTGTCGGTGAAGTTTTGTCCAACTGTGCCGAACTGTGATCGGTAGGGAAGCTATACGGATTTCGTCCATGAGTTCATGAAAAGCCTATCATTTCGAAACAGAGGGAATGTACCGTAATGGTCTCTGCCGTGGTACTGTTGACACGTTGAACTTCCATGATTACTTGATCCACGACAGGCAGCGATTGCTGAGCGAAGTTTCCGAACACATATACCCATGAAGTCGATGAGCGCTGGTAACTTGAGAAGAAGCTATAGGGCCAAACGCGTCAAATCACGTCGTCTTGATAAAAGCTAGCTTCAAGAGGCGACACACCTGTTCTGTCTAGTTCCAAATCCTTGGAAGCTGCCCGTAATTTGTGCATTCGCATTGACAGCGACAAAAGGGTCTTGACCGTTGATCTTCAGAACTTTTGCGCCTGAGAGCTGGAAGCGCGATCACAGTTACAGTTGTGCTAATTAAGAATGTATGAGGGAGACTGTTACAGATTCCAAGGTAACACCTTCGGGCAGTGCTTCTTCCCAAGTGTGTATCTCACTGCCGAAGGCAGCAGATGAGACGTTGAAGGCCTCAGGTGCGATATGCACGTTTTGATTGCCAGCTGAGTCAGTCAACAGCGCTAATGGCGTCGGCACGAACGTTAAGAATAGTGCTGGTAAAATGGTCCGAAGCATCAGTCAACTATCACACGCTGTCCGGATGAGACACAGACAGTCGTAACAATTGCTAACATAGACACAATGTCCTGCAGATTGGTGATGAGCATACACTAGTCGAAAGAAGGAAGCAGAGTAGCGAGATTATACCATCATCCAGCCGCTTGAAGGTCCGTGACAAATCAATATGCAGGTCAAAGTCGGATGGGTAACTAGTTGCCTCAATGCGAGCGAAGTCGACCATAAGGTTTTCATGAACGTCCTGGGTGAACGGTTCCGGTGCAGAGATTTGATAGTTCACAGACGTGTGAAATGCCATGGTTTTATTTACCTAGTTGCACGGTATTGAGTTTGAGGTAAGGGATACGGAAGTTCGCGAGACCAAAAAATGTCCGAACTTACGACCTCTAGTATCTGTGGTTCTACGATGAGTCCTGGTCAATAAAGACTCTGAAGGAAGGAACATACATTGCTCTTGATAGTCTCATTCACAGGAAACGACGTAAAGCAGGCCCGTACTTCCTGAGGAGAAACCCATTCACGTCCACCGATGACCGCACACGGATCCGATTGGGCTTTCGAACACCCCGCGAACAACGCCAGCCAGAAACCGAATACGACCGCATTGTGCACTACCATTGGTGAAAGATGTTGTGCTGAACTGGAGGGTGGGACTCTAGAAGCACGGCCTGAGCGGACGCTGTACTCTCTACGCGTATAAGTAGAGTCAGGCCTCAGGCTTCGAGATAACAGAGGAATCAGTTCGTATGGCGACGCCTTGGCAACATGTTGAACCGTGGATTAAATTCGCAAGCGTCCAGGGCAACAATCCAAATGGAAGAGATGGCGGCATCTGCCAGTGATGGTTCACGTACGGGTGCAGAAAAGGGTCACTTGCATCCTCAGGGAGAGAGATATCGTATTTTGACGCTCATTGATAAAAATATATACGACGATGCCGTTAAATAATGCTGTCAAGTGAGAGAGAGAGAGAGTTGTTTCGTCGGTGAAAGCGCAGCTCAGAATTTGTGGCTGCGAGCAATGATATCTTCCAGAAATAAGAATAAGCAAAACAAACGGCGCCGACGAATCTCGGCGGATTCAAGTTGTTTGATTCGAGGGAAAAACATGCAGGTCCGAAACAGTATCATCATCGGCCCGGTCATCCGGCCTCTCCCGGAAAGTCTCAAGCGCCGACCTAACCGGGCAGTCCGTTTACAGCTGCTCGCCAGCAGTAACTGTACAGATGGCGATTTCGGACAGCTGTGCACCGTTTTTATGGGCGTCCAGGTCGAAGAAACACGTCGAAGAAGAGTCACGTATTGATAAAACTGAGCATCGCCTCGAGACTTAGACTCGAACACTTCTTCTTCCTTACCATTCACACCAGATTCTAACCATGTCCGCCAAAGTCGTCCTTGTCACTGGTTGTTCTAAAGGAGGCATCGGATTTCACTTGTGAGTGCCTCATGTTTGTAACTTTGTGCTATCGACTTGACCAAGACTTTCAAGATGTGAAGAATTTGCTAAAGAGGGATGCACAGTCTATGCCACCGCGCGCAAGGTAGAGAAAATGGAGGGTTTCGTACACCCATCTATTCACAAGCTTGAGCTCGACGTGGTCGACGACAAGAGTGTCAAGCTCGTGATAGACCACGTCATCGAGCGTGAGGGAAAGATAGATGTCCTCGTTAATAATGCCGGTGTAAGTCTAGCCTCTCCTTCACAAAATTACCCACCCACTGACCACGAGATATCTGTACAGGTCCCAGCATTCGGTAATCTTTACTTCCAATCCCAGCGTATGCATTAAATATCTGCTGATACCCTACCGTATCGATTTCAGGACCCGCCCTTGAGGTTCCGTTGGACGAAGTCAAGGCCGCGTTCGACGCCAATGTGTTTTCCATTCTTCGTGTCTCTCGAGCCGTACTCCCACACATGGCTTCCCGAAAGCAAGGACTCATCTTGAACGTCGGGTCCGTTGTCGGAGAGATGTATGTTCTCCTTCGGCTCACATATTCCCAATTATATAGCTAACAGATCTGCACGCTCAGACCTACGCCATGGTCCGGCATCTATTCCGCCTCAAAGGTACACTCCATATTTTTTCGCTCTTTGGTTCGTTTGATAGCTAACATCTGACTAGGCTGCTGCTCACTCCGTCACCCAAAGTATGTGGATGGAATGCAAACCCTTCAATGTCAAAGTAATGCTCGTAGCCCCCGGCGGCGTCACCTCCAACTTCGTAGCAAGCTACGGACCGCAATACACCCTCGCCCCCGACAGCCTCTACACCGCCTACCTCCCGCACATCATCCGACGAATGTGGTCCAGCCAGACCCCGCAATCGATGCAGACGGACGTTTTCGCTCAGAAGGTGGTAAAACAAGCACTTGCTTCGTCCCCGCCTTTTTATTTCTCGGCGGGAAATAATGCGACGATGTTTGGGTTCGCGAGGTGGTTGCCGAGGACTTGGATGTTGAGGTATCTTTGGGGGATGTTCAGTGGGCCTGTGAAGAACAAGAGTTCTTGAGATTGGGTGTTCGTGGTGGTGTCTAGCTTCGACGACCTACTACCTAATATTTGCTGAATAATATGTAGCGCACAGACTGCCTTCATCGTCCTTGTACGCTGCTTTTCCTTGGAGGGACGCCATTTCACAGAGACCACAAAAGGTCCCGCACAAGGTTGCGAACTTCTGTGGCAGGCGCTACGATGCTACGGCCCCGGGATCAGGAAGGCGCGTGGCGCTATATGGCCAGTCTATAAATAGACCTAACGAACGTCCTGCCAAATAGATCTCGAAGCCTTATTCTCGAGTGAGCACAGGTTTCATTCTTGCCATGCCGTACAGTCGAGTAGGTTCAACGTATATAACTTAGCCAGTCAGATCTCTAGCGTCAATCTATAGAGGCGAAGGGAATTCATTATTTTACGAGGTCATAAGGGAAGGAACGTGCTAGGAGTACACCCAATTACAAGTGAACGAGACAGAGGGAGACAAGAGGAGAAAAGCACAAGTATGAACAACGACAAAGGTATCTAACGCGCGTGCAAAAAAAAAGCCCCGTATAAGTGAAACCCCGACACTCCAGCACGAACCGAGCAACGAGTAGCCACCCACCCCTATAACATTAAGTAACACAACATACAACAACACTCAACCACAGAATGCAAAATCAGGGCAGCCCACCGCCGTGCCGTATACTGTTCGAGAAACAATCCATTAGCCAAAGCCAAAGCACAATCCTATCGCGGCACAATGCATAGAAGACTCACTTGACCCATCCACATTCGCAACGGCCAATATCGCACCGACGACTCCACCGAGACCTTCACCCGCCATGAGACCAGCGGCAATAGGGAACATATACATATCGAAAGATTTCGGGCTGCGGCGTGCCCAGATGAAGTTCGCCGTCGCGCCGAAGGCCCTACATATCCCAATAAAAGAAAAACCGTTGTCAGAAAGCAGCTCTAATAGCAATAGTAATGATGAAGGCGAGAGAGAAGGGAAGAGAAACGTACATCGCGATGGGGTAGTACACCTGCGGAACGACGAATGCGAGACCGATGGCATTCCAGTTCGGGATGAGGTAGTGGTATTTGGGCTTGATCCAGAGGTGCTTAGCGACGACGGTGGCGACGGCGACGATGGTGAGTGCGATGGCGGTGTATCCCGAAGATGCGGAGATTGCTTTAAAATTCAAGTAGGAAATAAAAAGAGAATCAATATAAATTCATACGGTAGAGAGCACACGAATACTCACGTAGTCTAGGGCTCGAAACGGCGAAAGCGACGGCAGCCCAGGCAGCAACACTCGGAGCGCCATACGAACCTGATAGACAGACAGACGTGCAAAAATCAGCACCGAGAAACTAAATCCCTCAAAAAAGTAAAATCAAAATACAACGCACATTCGCCAGTCGCTGGGGGGTAAAGGATACACGGTGCAGCGGTCGTGAACAGGACGAAAAGACCGGTGGTGAGGAAGACGGCGACGATGGCTCCGACGAGTTGCGCGACGAATTGATTCTTGGGCTTTGCGCGGAGGAGGTAGCCGGTCTTCAAGTCACCGGTCATATCGGCTAAAGTAAAGTAAAGTAAAGGAAGGTTGGGTTGAGCGTTGAGTGACGGAGGTTTGAGAAGGTGTGGTAGGGGCGACTTACTTCCTTGGGCGGCAGCACCAGCGGCGACGGTACCGGCGACCAGGTTGAGGCTCTCGCCCGCGGTGGTATTCAGGCCAGCACCCTTGCCAATCCCACCGAACACGATTTGAGAGGCCTGTAATAGTCAAAAAAAGAAGGAAAGAAAGAAAACTGTCAATACCGATTCGCTTCGAAGATGGGATTGAAGGAATCGTACCTTAGCGACAGTGGAAACGGGATTGATGTCGGTATACCCTGAAGACTGCACGCCGATGAAGGAGAAGAGGAAAGCGAGGATAAGCGCGAGTATAGTCTCGCCGACGTTCACATGGAACTGGGTGCCCATGAGCGCACAGCACATGATGACACTGATCAAAAGACCGCCCGTCCACGCCCACTGATATCCAAAATGTAGGTTAAGAAGCGAAATCAGTGATCCAGTCCACAAGCTCGCAGGAAGTCAATATTGAGTACGCACCGTTGGAACCTGGTCCTCCTTGGGAGACGGATCATCGTAAGCCGCATCGGTCTCGCTGGAGAGCCAGTTCGCAGGATTCCTTCCGCCGACCCATCGAATGGACCTGAACGTGCGATAGAGAGGACCAGCAGCGCCAAATCCGACGTCAACCGCAGAGTACAACAACATGATCAGGACGCCGGGCCAGAGAAGCCAGTAACGGGGTGATGGAGAGTTGATGAGCTGGTCGACATCGTCGAAGGACATGGACATGTACGAGATGAGGGGATAGTCCTCAGAGGCAGCGACACCGACGGCTCTGCCAGTAGCAATGAGGGATGGTGCGATGATGCCCCAAGCAAGTACGGCACCGCCGAAGAAGGACCAGGAAGCGTTCATTCCAGAGAGTTGACCTGCATGTCATTGTGAGCATTATGACTCCGAGAAGAAAGAGAGGAAGAGAACTGACCGGCGCCGAAGAAGGCAGGCGTGAACTCGATCCACCAGCCGAAGTTCTCCATTTGAATCATGCTGGTGAAACCGATCCTGTACATAGTCCAGCCAATATGCCAATCCCAGGTCTTAATAAAAACAGTCATGTAAGTACGGTGACGAAAACGAACGGCAACGATTGGGTAATAGATGAACTTACGATTCCAGGGGCGTACAAAGCGATGACCTTCCATGAGATTGCAGCGCTGAAGGTTGAGATCAGAGCGATAGCCTTTTTCCTGGCCGTGATAGCCCCTGAGCAGAAAGTCAGCACGAACGGATATTGTGGAGCCAAATGATGCGATCCTCACCAGTTCTGCCATCGTGGAGAGCTCTGATGGTGAACGCAGTGGCGGTGGGCGTGGGGAACGTCAGCTTCTGGTTGATGATGAAATGTTTCCGAAGCGGGATAGCAAAGAACACGCCAAAGAAGCCCGAGCAGGTTGTCAAAGCGATAAGTTTGCCGAAGTCGGTCTGGGGCAGCTCCGAGAGAAGGTTCAGACGGTACATGGCAGGGATAGCCGACACGAACAGGATCCCAAGTCCACCGGAGGCTGTCGCAGCTGTCTGAACGGTACAGTTCTCCTTGGGACCGAAGTCGCCACCGAAGAGCTTGCCGAGGAGGCCACTCTCGGGAATGGCACGTGAGATGGGTTTCAGGATGGCAAAACCGAAGATAGCACCGAAGAGTTGAGGGCCAAAGGTGAAGCCTGGAATGATAAAGGTGTAGTCATGAGACCGATAATTGCTAGGAAGTACAGAGCTGCGGTCAAAGTAGATGACGTACCGGTTTTGAGACCGAGGTAAATATTGGATGCACCGACGACGCAACCCAAGAGGCAACCAACGATCAACGCACGAAGTGTGAGCTGATGTGTTTCCTCTGGAACAAGGTGATCGATAGGGAAAGGCATCGTGCTGTGGCGGACATGTTAGCACTATAATGACAATTCCGAGGTCGCGACGGTGAACCTACGGATCGACGATGGGCACGTCTTGCTCTTCAGAGTCAGACGTCCCTGCATGTTTCTCGAGTTCGCTCTTCTCGTCGACATACTCATCGTGCCCGTTGTGAGCCTGGGACAACGTAGAGACGTTGTGGTGCGGAATCGAAGGCCCCTGGAAGTCTGTATCTGGAAACCCGGCAGACATATTCACAGACTGCTGCTTGTTCGCTGGCTACAATAGCTGAAAGCCTGCAGTGGTGCACCAAGCACGGAGAGAAAGCCTGAGGACAGAGGATGGAGGACGGAGGTGGTCAAAGCCTTCCTCGAGCCAGGGGTAGGGCTTTATATATACCGCATGGACGCCGGCTGAATGCTTCTTTCCCACCTGATCGCAAGTGGTGAATCCCCTGGTTCTTCAAGCGGGGATGCGATGCAAATGAGGAGTCGAGCATGTGCAGACGATGCATGGAGGACAGCGCAAACGGCGCCAAGACGGTCGTTGCGACTTATCAGCGACCTAGTTCCGGCTCGCCACACGCCCCACCACAAAATTCTCAACACGACTCGGGGCGAACCGGCAAATCGCAGCTCTCGCCTGTCAAACACCTCCGCAGCGGCGTGCTGAATGTTTTCGACGACAAAAAAACTGACATTTCAGAGCGAGACTCGACGAGGGAGGGACGAGGCACACAGCGTACTCGGGAGGTCGAGCTCGCCGAAGCACGCCGGAAAAGATGGCCGTTCGCGACAGTTCCATGTGCGTCCCGAGCGGTGCACGCTGGTCCGAATACTCGAGGAATGAAAAGATATGAGAAGATGCAGTGTATATATTGTGTCCCCTTCTTCCCTCGAAGGTTTCGTGGTTGCTCGCTCCCTAGTTTTTGCTTTTATTCTGGACTAGTAGACGGTCCGCACAAACCTAGCACTGAGACCTCACCTCCACAGCATTGTCCGAGTGATCCTCCATGTTCTTATCGCAGAGCGCTGCAGCCGCAGTTGGATCACCGTATGACCCGGCTCTCGTGGACTTTGGTCTTTTTGCGGTCGTGTTGGCCCTGTTTGGGAAACCCAAACACTTCAAACAGATCTAAGTTGTTCGGAGCTGGATGTCCACTTTGACACCGTCAACTTTCGTCTGTCACGTTAGCTTCATCGGAGTCATCAACCATACCTGGCCTTCCGTCGTGCTCAACACTTCCTAGTATGGCCGGCATAATCTTTCTCATGAAATGTTCCGGTTCGAAGCTTTGACGCAAAGCTGCAGACCATCCATGCTTTAGAGCGTTTGTCAGTGCGGCGACGGTGGCCTACTGAATAACAGGGTCTCCATAAAGTAGTCAGTATTATGGAGACTACTACAGGAGTATCAGTGAACACATGTCGTACCTGACAAGATGGTGCAGAGAACGCCAGATTAGGTCAATTCAATCAGCTATACAGGAAGGAGTTTGACGAAACACGGAGGACAAGACCAGCTGGTCTGATAGCGCCAGTCTACGTCCCATGTTGGGTATGTCTTACACACAGACATGCACCACGGTTCCTTGAGATCTGAATGATGAGAACGTTATGTGGCGTCCGGGTCTTGGCCTAATAGCCGTGGTGTGGAGGTGTTGGGGGTGTACTGATCGGATGCACGGGCGGGCATGGATGGTGTGAGATAGTAGTAGGCTCCCAGGAAGTTATGTCTTCAGGACGTGAAATTAAGGTAGCTCTGGATGAGAAAACGGGGGATGTATCCTGAGTAGTCAAAGAGTAATGCAAAGAAACAAACCAAGGAATAAAAATCCCGACCTCGAAAGTTGATTTTGACACAGTGAGAAAAACTACCGCGGTTGATCCGGGCTCGGTATCCCGACAAAGAACGGGATGCCTACTCTTTACCTCTTACTAGAGAATATATTCTGCGAGTGCCGGGGTCGGCATGGATTGCACTTCAATGGTTTGATTTCTTCTTACTCCTTAACGTACAGAGAGGGTACGGCGTCATATAACTATGCAGAAAGAAAACCTAGCCATCAGACTCCATACAAGGCTCCCCGGGGAGAAAGAACGTCGACTAACCACGATAAGACACCTAGGCAGAAATTATCCACAAAAGGATCAGTAGGAAGACGGATGCTTGAGCAAAGTCTACAAAAATCAATCAGAGACTCTTAGCTCTAGGCACACGACACAAAAAGAAAACAACCAAACTTACCCCTCCATCAATCAACACCGTCTCGCCTATACATCCAAATCCCACACACAGAACAAAAAGTCAGTCCGAATTCCACCAACACACGCCACTGTGGTCCCAAACATATAGTATGAGTGTGGAATAGATAACACTAACCGTTAATGAACCGATTCGCGATGAGCATCAACGCCAACGAGCCCACATCTCTGTTCGTCCCACCAGTCGGCACACAAGGCGTTTCCCAGCCCCAAGGTTCGGTACGTCTGTTGTGCGATACGCCAAGCTCGTCCATCGCGCCTGGGGCGGACATCTATTGGACAATTCACAGTGAGATCATCCTAGTTCTATGTTAGAACGTAAGATACAGTAAGTAGTGCATACCTCTGTAACGAACAAACCCTATCACCATAAAACGCATCAGTACGCATTACACATCACACAGTGTAAAGAGGACACAAGAACATAACAAGAGACTCACCGGCGCAATCCCATTAACCCTAATCCCCAACGGCAACAACTCATGCGCCAAAGTCCCCGTCGCATGTCCAATCGCGCTCTTCGAATACAAATACGGAAAACTATTCCCACTCGTCGCGGGGTCCTTCGTCCAGCCGTTCATCGAGCTCGTCATGATCACCTGCGGGACGAACTTCTTGCCCAATTCCCCTTCTTGATCCTTCCAGGCCTCGAGGAGGGGGAGAAAGGCGAAGGTGAGCCAGTAGGGGCCGACGGCGTTTGTTGCTAGGGAGTCGGTGAAGTCGGAGGGTTCGACGGGGTCGAAGTAGGCTTTGAGGTAGGCGGAGGCTGTGGGGGAAGTAGGAGGTTTGAATTGACCGGCCATGATGCCTGAAGCATACTACGTCAGGAGGGTGCTTGCTGTAGAATTTCGAATGTTGGGCTGACCTGCGTTGTTGAACAGAACGGTAACATGTCCTTCACGTTTCTTGAGCTCATTCGCAAGACGAAGAGCCTCCTCCTGCGATACAGCTGTATCAGATCCCCGCATTTATTTTTCAAGCAGCCTAAAGGAAGCTCACTTTCGACCTTACATCCCCCTGCAACCCGATCAACCTCCCAAAATTTCCAGCTTTATTCTCGGCAGCATCATTATACACCTTCGCGATGCTGCAATCGAAATCGTCAACCAAACATCACAAAGAATAAAGAAGCGATCATCAAGGTAGATAGGGGCAGCCAGCGTCATGACGCCACCCGTTTGTGTAGAGGAAGATTCGACGGGGTACGCACCGGTCCAAGTCCTCCTGCTTGGGCCCAATGATATACACTTTCGCCCCGTTCGCCATGAGCGTCGTGCTGATCATCAGTCCGATACCCTTTATGACGAGAAGACACGGAACACTGAGTAAGAACGATGGACGCGGAGATGCAGCAGAACGTACAGTTCCTCCGCCGGTGACGACCGCCACGACGCCCCGAAGATCAAAGATATTCGTCGCTGTGAGGCGGTCGAGGATTGCGTCGGCCATGGTATTTTGTGAGGTTCTAGGAGGTTGATGTAAGTCAAGTTAGAGGGACGAGGAGAGACAGGGGCTTATTGACTATAGATGTGAAGTTGGTATACTGACTGTCAGTAAATGTCAATACTGTGGGGAGACTATTGGATATACACGCAGCCTCTATGTAGCTCGAGGGATTGAGTTTGCAGACGAGTGGGTCAAGAGCTTCTGAGGTTAGTCAGCGTCGTTGATAATATAATGATACTCGGTAGGACCAAGCTCGAGAACCATCGAGAGCGGACGATTTGGAGTGAGACTCGGCTGCACAGTGGGAAGAGGAAGGACATGTTACATCGACGTCGACGTCAATACAGCACTTGTACCTTGTTCACATGTTGAACTTCAGTTCGAGCGCGTTCGGGACTCCGTCGGGTGGCGCGGATGCGATGCGTGTGGCGAGAGAAGGAACGATTTTGTGTGTCATGATCCTCGAATCGGTTCAACTTGATGCAAATGCACGAAAGACAAAATCGACAACTGTGATTTGATTCGTTCTATAATACAAATGATATGCAATGCTAACCGCTGACCATTATCACAGTGACCGCCAAAAACCCAGGACTTTAGTCCGAACGCATATTGTATCTCGACCTTGATGCCCTTATTATCCGTATCCGTAACTCGCCTCCTTTCTTTCGACAACTTGGTTCGGGTATCTCCACACCTCACTTAACCTTCCGTGCTCGACGTTTCCGTGGAGGTTGTACTTATGTGCCAGCCATGCCGAGGACACCGACACGATCCCTGATCATTGCGATTTCGCTCGCGGTGAGTTGACCCTTGCTCGCGTTGAGGAACTCTTCGAAGGCGGTGGAAACGTCGCTGCGGTTCGAGAACTCCTCACTAAAGCACCGACACAAACACCAGAGAAAAAGGGGGTTCGTCAATACAATAATCCATCACTGACCGTGAATCAGGCCCAATAAGGCGCCACACTACGCACCTGAAAAATACATGCAACTTCTCCCAAAATTCAGGCTGCGAGACCGTATTCCGATACGTAGTCTGCGGCAAGCCCGCAGACGGAGGCCTATCAATATCCATGTGCACCTCTCCATGTATCCCTTTCCCTCCATTATCATGCACGAGCGTCACATCCGGAAGGTCCACGCCACTGCTCGACGGCGAAGGCGAAAGAACAACGCTCGGTATCCTTCCGTGCCCTTTTCTCTTCCCTCCTGGTCCTCCTTCACCCACGCCCGAGCCCTGGGGATTAGGACTCAACGAGCGGTCGTCGTTCGCGGTGGTCGCCGGGGGTGGTGGGGTGCTGGGCGCAGCGGGGGCGGGAGAGGATTCCTTGGTGGGATCCCATTCGAAACCGGGTTTGACCATGAGGTTGATGGTGTCGCCGGATTTGATGGGATATTCTTTGAGGAGTTTGGAGTCGGCCAGGGCTTTGCCTTTGAGGAGGAGGCGTTGGGCGTCCGCGGGGGGTGCGCGGGGTTGGGAGGAGAGGAGGGATTTGAGGGTGGAGATGGAGTCGGTGGGGTTTATGGGGAGGGTTACGGAGAAGGGGGGTTTGAGGGATTTGAAGACTATTTGGATGGTTTCTGTGGATATACAAAATGTAGGATGGGGGATCAGAATCGGGAGATGGGTGAGCGACAGATGTGTGTGTATGATGGACCGAGGACAAGAGCCGAATTGAGAAACGAATACATGGTCAGTCAGACAATTCGGGTGCTTGCATTTATGGATTGAGAGATAGACAGGAGGTGCGTACCAGCTGATGATGAAGACGAGGACTCCCCGACTTTGCGTTCTGGGGGCTGTGGTACTGGCACCTTTTATACGATACGTCCCGTTGTCATCGCATTGCACAGCGGGATAGAAGATACCAAAAGAACAAAGATAACACGCGCATTAGCCTTAGCGCAATGCTAGCACACCTGTCTCATATCACAAGGCCCAAGCGATTGCAACTGACCTGAAGTACAGGAACCTTCCTCAGCGTGTTCTCTGGCGACTGTTGAAAGTCGTTCTCGAAGGTAACGGGTTGAGAGCCGAGAGTGTTGATGAAGTTCTTGACAAAAGCAACTTCGGCTTGGTCCGCCATTCCTGTTGTTCTTGATTGTTTTGTTAAGGGTAGGCGTAGACGTCAGACGAGCGTTTGGGTGTAATGAGGCGGTGAAGTGCAGGGGCGTGACGCGGTTCAGGGAGAAGCACAGTGACGTAATGATTGCAAATGGATGTGACACGCTGGAGGAGTGACGCTGATCGGGTCGAGGTTCGCGCAACAACTCTCAGCTTCACGAACTATGGCGGTACGTTGGGTCCTTGATTATCCAGACATGTATTTCGCTGAAATAACACTCGAAACGTAGTCCGGTTTTGGCTATCATGGAGGTGAGTGGCTCGTCCGCCAGTCAGAAGGCCCGCTTTACTGACAAGCGTTGCGATTCAGGCCGTTCACGGTGCTTCGCCTACTGGCAGGAATTCTCTAAAGTATAGCTTTCTGTCATTCCTGCTATTGCCGAGTCTCGATTATTAACTGCCAATGGTATTACTTTACAGTGCTACGCCCAGACCGAGAGCCCCTCGGAGTGCCGGCCACAAGCAGACGATTACCTAGAATGCCTGCATCACACCAAAGAGGTCCGTTGTCCATCCTTTTCCATTCTCCTTCTCTCCAACGCGTATCGCGCATTCGGTTGAACTTGTTGCTATGCGGGTATGTTGTAGGTTGCGCGTGCAAAGGCAATCAAAGCCGAGTTCGTCAAGAAAGCGGAGCACCAGGCGAAGGAGGGCAGGAAGGCTGCAGACGTATTGGCGGATGGTGTCATCGTGGGCGTTGGTCTGATATCGAGGGATCAAGGCGGGGATGCTGCTCATGCGAAATAGACTTGCCATTGTGGTGTTGGGCATGTGATATGGTGTGTGGGCAATCATCTCTTTCGTTTCGTTTCGTCTGGCGGGCGTAAGATGCGAGAACTGTGCCATACGAGTGAGCACTTCTTCGAGGGCTTGGTGTTTCGTTTATGACAAATTTGTCTGATTTTCTTTTTTGTATTTTGTGTTGTATCAGGTCTCTACCGGGATGCGCTTGTGTGAATACCCTAGGCAGTGCCGCGAAACGGTCTCAACCTCGTCATCATCCGCCGGGCAAACCAAACACATCCTTTGTGCTCCCTCAACATCTATAAGCTCGCTCAGAGATTCTGCCCACACTAGTCACTTTCCTGAAATAAGCTTCCCCTTGCGGATTGACCTGGTTGTTTGTTTGAGTCTATTCTGGTCAGCAAAGTGCAAGCCTGTGCCACAGTTTGACCAAGGTACCACACGACTCAGTCTGACAGCAACCAGCTCTATTGTTCTCAGATGTGTCAGAGTACAATTGTCGATTCATACCCGCCCTTTACGCACAGTACCGTACTCGTAGTGTCTAAGGAACAAACGTCTGAGAGACTGGAATAGGCGAGACTGCCGCAAGCACGAGGCCAGGCTTCCGATTTTGGCCTCTGTGTAACGTTTGTCAGTTCGCGCCACCGCGTTTGCCCTTCACCGTTCGACCATCCCTTTCCGTTCGCTTTTTTGCACTCTTTCGCCTGTTCGACCCCTCCCAGGCGCGATAACTTGACTTTACAGGAACAAACCTTTTTGTCGAAGCCGACCCGCGATGGGTACCTACGGCGTCGGCTCCTCGAACTCTCCCATCGTCGTTGACGATTCCTCGGATGATGATTCCGTCGACGCACGTCAAGTCGATGAACAGCTCGAATTATTGGCGGGCTCGGGCTCGGGGGTGTCGAGGACACCTTCGGTCATTGCGCTTGATGAATCTGAGCCTGAGATCGTCGAAGCGGGTACGGAGGTTGCGGGGATTAGTAATGGTATGGCAAGTGGAGATGAGCGGCGAGATGAAGGTGACGGTGACTTTGACAACGAAGATGGAGATGGTGATAAATATGGTGACTGGGAACAGGAGGACGAGAATGAGTACGAGGACGAAGAAGGAGAGCCAGAGAGCGGAGACGAGGACTTGGCCAATTTTATGGAGAAGTGGATGGAGGAAGGCGAAGACTCGGAGAGGACGTGGGTGACGGTGAGGAACGGTGGGTATAGGATCCTCGCAAGGACAGGTTATCAGCCTGGGATGGGCTTGGGCCCTCGGTTTGAAGGTGCGTTATTTGTTGCTCTCTCTACTCCCTTTCTCGGTACCTTTCTTCGAAAATTCTGGTGCTAATATCCAGTGGCGTTCTTTACTTTCATCAGGTTTGACTCGACCCGTGAAGATCCCAATCAAGCGAAAGGGAAACTTAGCAGGACTCGGGACTCCTTTCAGACTTCGCAAACGGATTAAACCACTAGAGACTGAGACCTCTGCCATCGCCACTGAGTCTTCCCCTGAACCACAGGTCACAGCTGTGGCGGAAGAGTCGTCTCAGCCTTCAGTGGCACCAGTCCAGCAGAATAACGAGGACAGCATGGCGATGAAAGTCGACCGTTCTCCTTCACCTCCTGCTAATCCTCCTTCTCAAGCTCTCGAAGCACCAGCTGTTGCCGCTCGAGAAGTACGGCCCCAGTTACCCGCGCCTGCCCCTATCCCAGCGGTGAATCCGTTGAACAAGGCTCTTCCCACGTTGGAGGCTTTACGCGCACTTGGACAGTCCCTGGCTTCGCGGTCAATTATTCCTCCGTCTGTGCCTGCACCTGCTACAGCAGCTCCTCAGCACGAGCCAGTATCTGAGGCAATTTTAGCTCGCGCTGTTCCTCCACCCGATGTCCCAAAGGTCAACAGGAAGGGTTCGAGCTCGAACGGGCCGATCGAACAAGCTTCTTGGTCTCCCATGTATGTTGCACCCGAGGCTGAAGGAAACGCACGTCTAAGTAATCGTCGAGGGCGTAATGCGCGCCGCTCGCCGCAGAACTCTTTTCAGTCTCACCGCTCATACAAGGACCAACAGCATGACCATGTTCGAGTGCCTGCTCCTCCAGATCCTGAACAGGTGCAGAACCAGCAGCACGATCAGGCGCAGGAGGAGCAGTCATCTCGCTGGCCTACTATCTGGGATTCACCACCGGAGCCACATCTAATGTTCAATCCTAACACGGGAAGTTACCAGCCTTACATGCCTTTCGATAGCTTTGACTTTGAGCCTGAGCACCAGCCTCGTTCGCCTCCTCCGCTACCCCCACCCCCACCTCCACCACAAGAGCCTCAATTCGAACACCATGCACCACCGCCACCCCCGCCGCCACTTCAGTTCCAATTTCCTTCGGACCCTTCGCATCCTCAGCAGCAATCGCAGCCACAGCAACAGTTCGAAGCGGAGCAGGACCCAGAGCCATACAACCCGAACCTCCCGTTCTTCGCTCAACAAGCGCACTCTCTCCCGTCGCAACAACCGTCTACGCCATTACACCCACTCCCTCCGCCTGCGCCTCCACCACCACCTCCACCCATGCCCATGCCTCCCATCGAATCCATCGATCCGGATCTATTCGCAAGGAACGTGAACGCGTTGCAGAACATATTTGGTTGGGCAGGTGCGCCCGCTCTCGGCGCTGGCGGTGGCATGGATGGCTTCTTCCCGCAGCCGATGCCACCGCCTCCGCCCGGGTTTGACGGGATGGGCATGGGCTTCCACGGTGGTATGGGTATGGGTGGCCTTCCGATGGGAATGAGTATGAACGGCGCGTTTGGTGGTATGATGGGCGAACAGCAACATCCTGGACCGTACGTGCCATTCGGTTCGACTGCGTTCCCACCGTTCGTTGGTGTTGGTGTTGGTGTTGGTGTTGGTGTTGGTGTTGGTGAGGGTGAGATGCCTGGGGCGGGGATGGATGGCCAGTTTGGGGGCTTCGACGCGAATGGGTTCAGGATGCCGATTCAGCTACCTTCGAGACCTTCGGACTCGCCCACGTCGGCTTCGTTCCCCAATGGTAATACTAACGGGAATGGGCAGTTCGATTTCGATGGTTCCAACGCCGAAGGCGGGCCCTCGCACTCACACTTTGTCAATTATGACTTTCCTCCTCCAGACCACGCCTACGACGACAGCGGAAACACCTACGTCGATTTCTACGGCAAAGTGAGGACCAAGCCGATTGACAAGAACGCGATTCAGCCGCTCCAGGACATGGACGACATCACCATCTATTTCGCCGCCCCCAATCTCCAGCACCCGAACAAGATCGGGGTGACTTACGAGCCTTCACAAAGCACGCGCGGTCTCTTCCCCATCAACCCCACCTTCGTCCCTTCGACGGACCCCGTACCGCCCCGCCGGCCTCACCCTTCTTTCTCCTCCTCCACCCCGTCCTCGCCACCCGACCCCGCCGCGACGCTCGTCATGGAAATGATCCCGCGCAAGTTCCGCACGAAGGCGCTTATCTACAAGTGGCTGGAACATGTCGAGGGATGTCCGAGGCCGAAGAGGGTGGAGGTGGAGGGGGGGAAGGCGCTGATTGAGTTTTGGGGGAGGGATAAGGTTTGGGCGAGGAATGTGTTTGGGAGTCAGAGGATGGCGGGGAACGATGGGTTGGGGAGTGTTAGGGTTTGGTGGTGGAGGGGAGAGGGGAAGGGGGTCAAGAAAGCGGTTTGGGGTGGACCGGGGACGAGTGGGAGGAAAACGGTGGACAGTGCAGGGGCAGGGGCAGGTGGAGCGGCGACTGGAGGTGGTAGTGCAGGTGGAGGTGGAGGAGCGATGTATGGTCCGAAGAGGGAGGAAGAAGATGGCGATTATCCGGCCTCTATGAAGCAGAAGGTGTCGAGGCAGATAGAGAGCAAGAAAAGAGCAGTGGCGAAAGAGTTGAGGGCGCTGGGGCAGGAAGATAAAGAGGCGCGACAACAGGCTCTGGCGGGGACGTCTCGGTCCCAGCAGGCGCAGTCGCAGCCAGGTCCATCGAACCAGCAGTCCCAACAGCAGCAGACGCCAAAGAAGAAGAAAAAGAAGGAAAAGTGGAAGGAGAGGGCAAAGGAGAAAGAGGCGGTGGAGAACGGCAAGGGGAAAGAGAAGGAGAAGGAGGTGGTAGAGAACGGCAAGGGGAAGGGGAAGGGGAAGGAGACGGAGAAGTTGAAAGTTCCGAAGAAGGAGCCGTTGGACGATGCGTTGTCTGCCCGGTCGCGCTATCCGTTGAGGTCCAACAAGACAACGAAGGAGTCGACTTCAACTTCAGGTTCGGGCTCTGGATCTGGTCCGGTCAAGATCAAGACGGAGAACACAACGGTTTTTTCTTTGCGACCTCCTCCCTCACCCCAGCCTAGGCAAGCCGTTCTTGCGGCTCCCTCCACGTCATCCAGGGCTATGCCTTCTGCGCCGTCTTCAAAGACCTCTCCGATGGGAATAGTATCAGCAGGCGCACGGTCAAAGGCGTCTGGCGGCCTGACCTCCATCACTTCTGACAAGCCTAACGAGTCGTCTCAATCGCAGCCACAATCATCTCCCTCTCAGCTCTCGTCTCAAGCGCGAACTCAGTCCCAGCCAGACTCACAATCTCAACGACAAGCCATCGTTCCGCCGCCCGAACCAACGACTCCGATATCTGACATGTCGTTGTCGTCCGCGTCCATCTCGATGGCGAACACGACTTCCGCCACTACTTCGATCTCTGGTTCGTTCAGTCTGGAACACATTCGGTCTGGCGACAATGGTGCACAGAACAATATGGCGGATATGGAAAAGAATTTGAGTCGGCAGGAGGGAGCCACTGCTGAATCGCCCTCGAAGTTGCTGGAAGAAAAGAGGCGTGAGCGTTCGGCCGCACCCGATTGCAATCGTACGGAAGGACGGGTGCCTCAGTCGCGACGACCGGTTTCTTCCCCGGAAAGAGAAGAAGGCGAGCTCGTGGAAGGCGAAGAGGTTGAACAGATGGGCATGGATATCGACGTAGCTGTGGCTCCTGGAGCCCCTGCAGCCGCGGAGACGGTGGACATGGATATCGAGTCAAGTCCCCAGTTATCTCGTAAGCCTCTTCCGGTGAAGACAGCTGAGAGTTTGAGTACGGCCCTCGAGGATGTACGAGAAGCACCGGGCGTAGATGCGCAGGAGCAGTTGGAAGTGGCGTCGGGTGCTGGCGCTGAACCTGCAATTCCTCCAGAGCGGGAGGTGAGGGAGGTGAGGGATCAGAATAGCGGCGTTAATGGCGGTAGTGATGCTGAAGAGGGCGAAGTGGCAGAGCTGGTTGGTGTTTCTGCTCCTCCTTCATCCCCACTACCCACTCGTCTATCGTATCCCATTACTGACGCTGAAGTATAGGAGGCAGCTGCTACCGCACTTTCTGCACCTTCGGGGTCAGACTTGCAAAAATCGGCGGCCGTCTCTCCGGTAGGACCAGTAGGGCAATCTGCCACGGTTTCACTCGATCTGAAACCTGCCAAAGCGGACCGCAGTAAGGAGCTTGCTGAAAAGCTTGCGAGGGCAAAGGCAGAGATGTCGAGGAATGTCAACGGTGGCTCAAGCGCCACATCTACGTTCTCCGGTCTCCCTCCCAAACCAGTAGTCGCCTCTATCCCGGTTCAAATATCCCCCGAGACCACTGGCCCTAGGTTTCGTCGTGGCACGTATCACGACTACAAGAACGAGAGCGATAACGACTCGCCCTACTTTACGGGAAAGACCAAGCACCTGCACACGAAGGCTAAAATGCTCGCAATGGCCGACGCTGATCCACCTTTCAAGAAAGGAAATTTTGATCATGTACATGCCCAGCTTCCTTTACTCCCGGGGGCAGTGGTTCATCCTAACGGATTTTCGATTTTGAAGGAGCCGTTGCCACTACTTCCCCCACCTCCTCCTCCTCCCCAACCTCTTCAACCAATGTCCGTCCCTGCGCCACTTCCATCGACAACTTCCACGGTGTCTACATCTCCAATGTACCCGCCGTCACTCGTTGCGTCATCGGAGTCTATGACTCTTCCACCTATGTCGAACGATATGGCGAAGGAGGAAGCGTTACGAAAGATGGTGTTGTTGAGCAAAAGGAAGAGGATGGCGGAAGGGGCATCGAAGTCGGCGACCCCTGATGTCTCGGCGGACCCAGGAGCCATGTTCGATCAAGGAACGCAGGCGATCGTGCGACCTTCCACCACGCCGGTGGAGACATTACCGACGATTCCTGTCGCAGTCAGTTCCTCTAGAAGTTCGTCGCCGTCCGGTACGTCCTCCTACTCTCATGATTTGCCGGGTGATAGCCAATGTATCGACATGCTGTGCAAGTAGATGTTTTGCACGATCTTGCTGTTTCGTTTATCTCGGAAGCTATCAAGTCTCGCCCGTCGAGTGACGACGACCGACAGCCACCGACTAAACGACAGAAAGTTTCACCTCCGGCCGAGAAGACAGATCTAGCAGCACGACAGAAAGCGTTGGAGGAGCATATCGAGGAGACCAAGAAATTGATGGCACAGTTGACTCTTGCGAAAACGAAAGCAGACAAAGACAAGGTTTTGGTCATGTTGAGGGAGCGCAACAGGTTAGTCCAACGCTGTCCTTCATGACTCCCACACCGTTTTTGTCCGCGCTTCAGATGTAGTTTGTCAGGTGGCCATGGGAAGGAGAGAGTTGAGGGTTCTGGTTTCTTTTTTTTACACATTTGAACAGGGCGATGGAAGAGTCAAGACCTAGCACGCCGGAGAGCAGCCACCAAAGACCTCCACCACTAGCAAGATATACGTCTCAGTACTCAGGCGAAAGTCGTCAACACTACGCTGCAAGTTCAAGATGGCCTCAGACGTCAGCGGATGCATGCGTATTTGATGTTAGCGATTCGGAAGGCGAGGACGGGCTTGCATAGCTCCGTTCTTGGGGTGGATACTCGAAGGTAAAGTATAGTACATGTTGTACGCGACGATGATGTCATCGTCGTCTACGTGTCCCATGTTCGTTCATCGTTTACTTGCAAGTTGCAAGCGATGGTTGCTGTCTCTGGGAGTACATGTCCGTTTTCGCTGGGGTCTTAGGATAACTTATTTGCATCGCTTTGTCAGGACCTTCGGTCTTCTGCTCTGTTGCTTTCCAACGTATATTTCGCCAGTTGTTCCTGTTCCGTCTGCACCTTGTGAACAAGGTGACGTGACCGCCTTCATCCATCCCTAGTGCACCTCCCATAGCATTATCTTACCTCCATGCACATACATCTGTCTCACCAATCATGTTATTTTCTTCCTCTTCAAGTCTTGAGCCATTCTACTCCTTCCTTTACTAAAGGATGCTGTGGTATGAGTTCAAGATTGAGATGATGCTGTCGGCTTCTCCCTATGTTTCCTTGTCTCTTCCCTATGTACAGGCTTCTTGTGACTTCATTCTTGAAGATATCTTATCCCTGTTTTGTAAGATTTCGATACCTATTCATGCAATCATTGTTACCGTCGCTATTCATGATCGTGATGCTGTCTCCAAGAACTTCAGACGAAAAGACGAAAAAAGAGAGGAGTTGCGGGACGGAGAACTTTCCTTCTTTCCTTCCTGTGGCACCGGAGCCTGCCGAATTCCGATGGTTACCTTACCTTACCTGATGGCGGCCCCTCGTGTCCTTGTCTTCCCTAGGACACATATCTCAGCCCTCTTGAGGTCCTCGCCATAACCCTCATCGTTCCGCGAAGCGGAATCAACTATGTCAGGCCGGTCAGTTCCAGCCTTTCTCTTCAATGAGCATACTTGGCGCAGGTGTTATTCTGGGCCTGACGAAAATTTCCACACCAGAATATCCTCTCGAAATCATGCTCTACTGTCTCTACCACCCGAACTCCTGACGTCCATATTGGTTCACTTGGAGTACAGAGACATTTTGCGTTGCTCGCTGGTAAGAGTTGCAGTCTGTCGTGTGACGAACTTAGATACTATAAAGCTTGACTTGTTGCCTAGTCGTGCAGGGACCTTCGTCGAGTGGGAGCAGAATCCATAGAGCTGCAGTACAAGATCGACCTAGATACCCACGGCATGTCTGACTGTCGGGTTGGCCTGCTCTCTATACGAGAACGGCTCGAGTTGTTATCGGAATACAGACAAGCGTGGCGCACCGGCCAGGGCAAGAGAACGGTCGTCACACACCTACCATACGCTGAACGTGCCGACTGGGAGTTTCAGATCATGGACGGAGTAGCCGTGTTGGTGAATGAAGCCAAGTTTACCGTTCATTGGCTTCCTTCCCGGACGGACGACGGGCATTGTATCAGTTTTGACGATGTCGACGTCCGCGCTGTGTCGGGTTGCTGGGCCTTCGATCCAAGTCAAGACTTGCTCATATATGTGAACACCGTCGTCAACAACGGCGAGGATGTTCATTCCATCACTATTCACACGCTAAGTGGAAATACAGCTCACCCAAGTGCTGCAAGACCCTCTATGGCTTACCCCGGCGGAAACGATAGATGTCCAGATCAGATAGACATATTAGAAAACATCGCTACTTTCTCCAGCAAACAACGCATGGATGTTCTCCTTTTCGATTGGAAGACCGGTAAACTCCTAGCTGTGCGTCATAACGATTTAACACGAAGTTTGTTGCTGTTGCTCACGAAACTTGTAGAGGCACGCACCCGGAGAATCCTTGGACAATACTGTAAGATCTTCGCCAGCCTTCATCAAACTCTCTTCGTTCAATTTCGACTATCTCTATATAGCCCGGGCGGCCCATTCCACGGTGGACCACTGATCCTACGCTCTCGTTGCTCTCACCCAAAGCATTTATGATGACTTCGGCGTCAGAATCAGGCTCCCTCGAGATATACGCTTTTAAATTACATCAGGAAGATCGAGCCAGCCATATCGCCTCCCTTCTTTTCCCCCCTGTGAAACACAATGTCAAGGTCCGCTCCATGCGCGTCATCGAGAGATCGCTCAATACGAAACCTGATGCAAACTTCCCATTCCGAACAACTCCGAGCGGACGAATCCATTGGGTCACAGTCGCGTACGACCGCGGCCATTGGCCAATCGAGTATTCTTATATCGTGCACTCGCGGATCATTCAGTCCTACCTCTCCGGGAATGACAACTCCGAGTCGCCCCAAGTAGTACCATGGTCGCAGTGGGGACCTGCCAACACTCGACTTATTCAAGAATACGATCAAATCGGTGGGCTGGACTTTACGTCGGTAGATGGGGGCGCATCGTATGCAACTTCTTTGGTTGTGTCATGGTGTCTATGCAACTCAAGGTCGCCCTCTCCATAACAGGTTCGATGTTGCTGGGCAAAACGCAGTCTTTGCCCCAGGAGATGGCGAAAGAGGAGATGGCGAAAGAGTCATTGTTGAGGCTGGCTATCATCTCAAACGACCCCCGCCGATCCCGCCGCATGCTGAGACACAAATGGATAATGTCACCACCAAAACCGTACTCGATGCTTCAGTTGTACACGATCCTCGTTTCTTCCTAGACGCAATCACTTCGCGACTACCATACCAGATGACCGTGATATCTGGTTTTGATTCAAGACCTTCGTGCTACATGCTCGACAATAGACGCATAGTTGCGCTTTACACGAGGGTGCGTACAGTCCTTTAACTAGTAAAACATTCTTTATTCTGAACGACTACTCGTTGGTATTGCGTACTGCAGGATCAACATTCAGCTATGCTAGACTCCCTCCGCATGGAAGTGACCGTTTTGTAAAAGTCGTTAATCCTCCGAGCGGCAAGTGCAGGCTAGACCCACTCTCAAATTCCCCACCCGAATCTTCCAAGAACACTTGTCCTACCCGCACCACCACTTATACCCAGGCCTGATCCAACGCTCCCACCCAGAAACAACCCGACCCCTTGTTGAATGGCGTGACTCACCGGTCTCATCGGTGCAGAATCGTAAACGTGTGGACAAGGTTGCGGTAGAGGGTCGGGATTGAGGCGTGGGTGAGCGAGCTCACGTTCATAGATTGATTGCTGACGGGGTCCAGGTGGGATGACGGAGGACGTTGAAGGTGTATTCGAGGTATGTGAAGGCACTGGCTGGTCATACGCTCGCCGAGCAGTATGAAGGCGATTCAGGATCTGAAGGCCGTCGTGGAGTGGTTAGCTCGACGTGGACGATGCCGAGAAAAGGTAGTCCTCACATACCTGTTCGTAGAATTCAATTTCACCATCTAGATGTTCCTTGGCTATCTGAGTAAAGTCTTCAACCTTTTGCGAGTGATAGATTTCCATCTCAGCCATGGTCGTATTTAGGACCGTCTCGCAACGTGCCGCGACCTTGTCGTCAGTCTGCGCAAATGTCTATCAATCTGGCTGACGGTAGGGACATCAGGGCATAGCAGCTGGCTTACATTATCGGTGCGCGTAGCCTCAGAATATCTGGAAAGTGCGTTTCGATGTGTGTCGATCACAGGCTGAAGGTAAAGTCCAGTCAGCTCAGTTTATACCTTAGTACGTCGACGGGGACGAAGTTCACATACAGCGTATGTTGGCGTCGGGTGCGCTACCCCTTTCAGAGCTTCATGAGTGACAAGTTGGGTCCGTCGGGCCTGTGTAGATGAATTATTATTAGTGTAAGCTAAGGGAATGATAGATGTGACGAACATGGTCATCGTAAAGATCGGCTACACTCTGCAGTGCCTCACTTGTCTTCTGCATTGCCTTGGTCAACTCCAGACATTCTGAGATTTTTGTTAAAGTTGATCAACACAAGCTATATAGAGAAATGGAACGATAATAGCGTACCTTCACACCCTTCCCTCCAACACCAAGCGCCTTCCTCATTGGACAGCCCCCTGCATCTGCCAGTTTTATCAGATGCTCTTCCTTTGTGAATTGAAGTCGTTTCTGATATAGATTGATCGTCTTCTACATCGTATTCGGGCTCATATAGCGGGTCGAGATGCGCGGGATATACTGGACCGTTTGGTGTAGTGGCGAGAGGTTTGGAAGTTATAAGTGAGAGAAGAGAGTACGATAAAAGCCGTTCGGCTTTGGACATTTCTGTATCGTGGTAGACGATTGGTATTCATGGTGAGCTCGTCTAATGGTACAAGAGAAACGCACCGACGCGAGCTTGTCGAATCTGTCCAAAGGCGTTACGTAGGCCTTGGATACCTAAACCAACAGCCTTGGTATGTGTCTCGAAGCGCTCGACGGCCTCTCCAGCTTCTTCTGCATCGAGATTGAAAGCAGGATGGAAAACGTTGGCATAGAATGATGACCCCGCAGGAGGTAACGCAAGGTGGCGAGGAAGCTGGCGTTTCCATTCCTACGACCCAGCATTCACGAGGGTGAGCTGGCGTCAGGCAAACATCGAAAAAGCAAACAAGGTACCCACAATCTCACTCTCACACCCAAGGAAGAATGTGAGGAACTCTGCATACCGCGCAACAGGATGCCTTACAATCCTGGCGAGGTATCGCTCCAGATCTCCTCGTCTTGCTTCCACAAAATCGTCATTGAAGCGTCCTGCATATTGTTTCTCAGGCAAGGGCGGAAGAGCAAGCCCAGGAAGGCGTCGTGTGAGGGCAGTGTGAAGGACGACGAAATGAGAGAATCGACGGTAGACGGTTATGCGCATTGGAGACTGTGGCTCAGCTTCTGGGTCATAATCAGGAGAGCTGGGGTCGGGCAGCATCTGAAAGAGTGATGTGACACTATAGACCGTAAACGCGCCGGAGAGAGTAGAAGAACGTCTGGAAGGCGAATGGACTAGGACTCGGAATGGAGGCACCTTGGACTTCCACGAAGGACCGGACTCGACGTAGTGACGGTCGGCTTCACTTGTCGTTGGCTTCTGCCCCGAACTGGCGTATTTCTCTTCACCGAAGATGTCACTATCGCTTCCTTCGCTGCTTTCCTCGCTCTCGTTTCTTTCATGTGATGTAGGAAGAGATCGCATAGTAGGCGGCAACACGTGCTCTTCACTGAGTCCACCAGCTCCCTTCAGAACGTAGTCTTCGGCGCCTGAGGTCACAAAGGCTGAGAAGCGGTTGAGGTTCTTCCCTCCGAGGAGGGATTGACGAAAAGAAGGAAAAGCAGCTAGCATCCTTTCGCCAGTAGTTTGTAGCTGTATAGGCTGTGAAGAGGTACTCGGCGCTTCTAATTCAGGAGTGGATGGTAATTGTTGGGAGGTCTGAGTGGGGGATCCGCGCGGTGTCAGCGACGTTGCCGACGCATCTCGTCGTCTAATTTTGCTGAATGTAGGAGGGGCACCTTCTGGAGCTACCAGAAAGTCTATCGTAAACTGCATGGGTTGACAGAATACATTGAGCAACAAGAGCGACCATGGCTCCTGTACGAGACTATCAGACTCACAGTGTAGTACGCCCTAGGCAGTAATCCCATTTCTCCCGCTACATTCCTGACCAAACTCCACCCATCGCCAACCTCTTCCTTCAATACCTCAATTTCCTCACCGCTTTCGACCACTAGCTCCCTGAACTCTGGCTTCCCTTCAAACCCATATAGTACCCTTGCAGGACGACCATCCTGCTCGCCTTCTTCAATTTCATCGTCTTCGGGCTCGTCGTCAGATAGTGAATGCAGTTTGGGCGAAGAGGAAGGTTCTGGACCATCTGTGAAAGGTTGAGTGGGTGTATTATCTGCGTCTATGTGCCCTGTCCAAGCGGCAGAGGTGTTGATTCCTGCATCGAAGTCAAGACCAGCGTTCGGATCGGTCCGCGCCTCTGGGCCAGGACGAGATTGAACAAACGAGAACCAAAGCGAAGATATTCCTGGAGGAGCCATCGTCGTGTTGGAGTCAAGCGAGATTGTGAAAAGGCTACCAGCAAAGAAGTCAAGATTGGGCCTAAAACGCTGATAGTGACCTTCGTGAAGACAAGACGTCTCAGGGCGGTGAAATTATTTGGCACCCACCGATCGTAGAAATACTATCAACAGCGACAGATAGAGCGGCCTTTCCTGGCTAACAGCACTGCTACAAAGCTACCCTACTTAGCGACATGAAACCTGAGTAGGAAGGCAACATGTAGGAAGTTGGGGCTACATTAGGCGGGATGCATAATGGTTACGAGGTTCGATCCCAATGCGTACAAATTTTGTGCGAAAAGACCTCCATGTCCGATCGCAAAAGTACAAAGACTGGGCCTTTTTTCAGCAGTGGTCCGATCCCAAATGCTGACACAAGCCAAGCTTTGTATCTTAGGTTCGATCCATGTACGCACAAAAGCGAGTGGAATTTATCATTCCCTAACTTCACAGTAGGCAAATCTCGACATTTTTTGTCCGCGACACACATGTGCGCGAAGGCAATCTCGAACGCGCTGTCCTCTTCACTGAAGTTCCACTGAAAAAAGGTGTTTTTACTCGCTATCGGGTCCGAAGTACACATTTCCACCGCGAATAATAGCGATGCTTAGCTTGCATGCAGGGTCTTCGCAAACGATGGTTCGATCCGTTGTGCGTACCAAAGTCTCTGAAAAGCAGGGTTACCCGATCCGAATGCGTACATATGTGGCGCCAAATGTTGTGACAAATTTCGCCCAAATGTTAGATTTAGGATCGAACCTTCGTACCAATATGCATCCCGCCTGCTACATTTCCTAGTCGCACGTTACGAGATCGTGGCGTGTGGCCCAACGGTACTAGTCAGACAACGTTAACGAGGAAAATTGTATGTTGAAAGCCATATCATTGTACAATTTTCTAAGAATCGGGTACTTGGAGGTTCAATGTCTACACTGGTACAAAGCCAAAGCCCGCAAAGCAGAGTAACATGCCAACGGGAAACGCGTCCGAGGGTAATGATATACAGGTGGGAGAAGAGGCAGGCAAAACAGACGAGGAGAGAAAAAAAATGGCAGAAAAGAGGGGTTCAATGAAAGGAGTATGTGACAGCTCGCAGAAGAGCCTGAAGTCTGAAGAGAACTAGGTACTGTCCCCCTACACTTATATCACCTTTCCGTGCCCCCTCCAAACTTCTTCATCCTTCAGCCTGACGGCTACTTTGTAGTTGGGGCCGAACTACCAAATATACTCCCTGGTCCAAAGTCCGGCTCACCACCCAGCGACCCGAAGATATCGCCAATGTAGTTTTGTGCTACCACACCCTGCTCAAACGTCTCAGACCATCCATCCAAAATTCCCTCGATCACCTTGATCCCAGCGACGTAAAGATTCTGCACGGCAATGTCATGTCCCGGCTTGGCACCGAATATGTTATCGTATGGGGTCTGGTCATCATACGGGCGATCCCAGTCGGACGCCGTGCGCATAATGATGATACGGGAGAAATCGACGAGGCCAGCAATAGTGGCGCGTAAGAGGGATTCAAGTGCATTGTCCTCTTGCTGGTTACTGCAGTAACTCCCGGTGCCGTTCGTAAACAGGACTGTCGTATTCTCGAATGCCTCCCCGAGCAAGGCGCCGGTCCAATAAACGTCGGAGGTAGCGGTGTCGCATGCGACGACGGAGGGAGGTTGTATGGCAGCAGCGAAGATAGAGTCATTCGCGTAGTTTGAACGAGATATTCCGGCAGCGTCGGAATCCACCAGGGTGGCGATTTTGGCGAAACCGATGGCGAGCTGGCGAAGAGCATCGTTGACCTCGAAGACCTCTGTGCCATAAATGTTACGGGGGTACTGGTCGGGGGCGCGGGCACCCTGTGGGATGTAACCTGTCGAAAAACCAGCAGGCCTCTCGCGAGCATCGAACTCGTATTGCAGAGCAACCTGGACTTGCGTAGCGCGCGAAGGTGACGGCTCCGATGGTAGAAACCTTGGGATTGATGCCTGCGATTCCGGCGATGAGGAAGTAGGTGGTCGTGAGGTCGAAGAATGAAGAATGGACGAGAGCAGATATGGTGGACGCAGCATTGATCTCTGCCTCGCCAGTGATAACCTGACAGATCGAGCCGTCGACAGTGCAGTGAGCATCTGGGAATATGGGGGAGAATCCGGGGACAGTGATGTTTTGAGCAAGGATGTCGAACTCCGGAATGTTGAACCACACTTTTTCCTCGGAGCTAAACTGTATGGCATCATCGCCGTCATAGTCGTGGCGAGAGCTTGAAATGCTAGTGAGTACGCACTGGGGGGTACGCCTTGGGTGAATTTCACCTTGATTTTTCACCCGAATACGCATGGGATTTTCACCCAATCCTATGGTGACGGATATCGGCTTCACCTCAAATTTGGGTGAATTTTTTGGGTGAAATTCACCCAGTTCGTTTTCGTTTTCACCCGAAGATTTCAGTCGAAGTTCGGGTGAAAATCCACATATCTTCGGTTGACTCTGGGAGGTCCGATAGCTAGTTCACGCTTCCCAGCTTAGGCCCTACTAATATATTGTGACGCTGTTTCGAATCCCGAGAGAGCCGGGAACACGAGAAAAAATGATTTACTAGTGATTATGTAGGTAATGTACATAAATACATTAAACATAACATACTCCTACATACTACTGAAACACCTTATCTGTGCCCTATCTCAGCAACTTCACCCATCTCCGTTAAAGTTGAACCAACCATTGAGAGGTCCGAGGAAGAGAGAGGGAGTGGTGGAAAGGCTATGGAGAGTTGACAACTGTCAAGAATCTGTGAGTGCACGAAGTCAAGTCAGTATACAACCAACGGAGCAGACATCATAAGCACGATCACCAAGGAAGGAATGGGATTGGCGAGCAGGGCACCTCGACAGTTTG